TATAATTTTCGGATAACTAGACTTTCAGCTAGCAAATCTGAACAGATGAAAAATTTTTAGGGGATAAAAATATGCCTATATCTACCGTTTAAAGTGGTTTTGAACTATATTCTCGTTGGGTGCCCCTGATATCATATACTTTTCTTATACTGTTCATACATAAATACAATGATGATAGAACTGTGGTTAAATGTGGTGACCTCGTTTTGTTGTACAGCAATATAGGTTTTCAGCACTTGATGTCTGGCAGGAGAGGATAGAGCCTTTATCATGTTGACTGGTTCAGACTGGTTATTTGTAGGGGTTAATTAGAGATAACGATGTTTAAGATTTACTTGTAACTTGTAAGAACAATTTTAGAATTAAAGAAAAAACAACTACAGCTTAACGCGCGCGGTGAGTATTAACTGATAGCTGGTAAGATAAGGCACAGTAGGTGGAAATTGTTCGTGGGTATCATTGCGGAAGATTAAGCAGAGCAAGAACTGAGAAAGTTCTCAGATGGAACGAGAAACAAACATCAGTTCAACTGACTTTGACAAGAAACAGCTAGTAACTCGAGAAAATGACTAAAAAGTTAAAAAAAGACTTAAGACTTTTAAAATTTTATAAAACACACTGAATCAATAACAGCATGAAATCAAAATCAACATCGTAACAATAGCAAAAAATTGCCGTTCCATTCGCGCGAACGATTGGAGCACAGTAAGCAGCACAGGTAAACTAAGTTGGCACTACATATTTCTGTCTCCTATCACGGAAAAGAACGCAAGGTCATGTTGACAGAAACCTTTCCACTGACAGTTTTCTTTGTGGATCTCAGAGTTTGATCAGCCTGGCGAGATCGTAATCGGTACTTTCTACCGTACGTATACATCATTGGTACTAAACATGTTGACGAGTGGCTTGCTTGAATACCTGGCTAGTTTGAAAAGCTTTTTTGAATACCTAACAATCCACGATGTCTACGTAAATGAAAACCAAACACTGCGGGTCTTACGCTTGCATAGTGGAAAAAATAGAAGTCAACTCATTGTGGCAACTGACTACAAACTACTACAAAGTAGAGACTGACATTCTTACTTTGTTTTCAGCCGTTCTTATCGCGTGCGTACGAAACTCTTGTAGCACTGATGTCAATAATTTACTTTAATTTTCTTCAGTTTCTTGAGTTTATCGTCTATATGTACTAGATTTGAATATTCATATGCTTAATCAGTAGCGAAAGTTCATAGAATGGACAGTACCTGTGGGTCTTTCACTGTCTCTTCCTTGGTTTTGAGGTTTTCCGTCACTTTCTAATACATCTAAAGAGAAAAAAGACGGTCAAAACCAAGACTGACCATGTGTGTTTCTTCGGCAGTTCAAGTCTTCTCGCTGAAAATTATCTTGGCGGTACTATTCTGTGTCCATTACTACCAGTTCTCTAAAGCGTGTGCTGATTACGGTCAGGATGTAATAGACAAATGCCTGCTGGCCAATTTATCGTAAGCATCGTATGCCCTCTCTTCTTCTAAGGAGGGAAGCAGAGGTATTTCGATAATTGAATAAATGGGAGATGGAACTTAGATCAAAGTCACTGTTTTTTGTCGACGGTTCGCAACTTTGCGGTCTTTGCGCTGAGAACACTGTCGGTATCTAAAGTACTAGCAAACACAAAAAGATCTAAAAAGACTGACACGTGTAATAGTTTGATATAATGTTAAATGCCTGTAGAGCAAGCAGTTTCTTTTGGTTGGAGAACCCTCTTCCAGGCTGCAGACATTGATTATTGTGTTTATCCTGTTCTGCGAAGGAACTAATTCAACTTTAAAAAGCATTCAGGAATCAGTCACGCACATCTTAACCGATGAGCTCTGAGTTGGAGGTTGCGCCTCTTCCAGTTCCTACGTGTACGTTGAAAGCATTACTACATATTTACCTTGCAGTTTCTCATAATAAAACAAGTTCGAGGAGGTGGCACCCTTAATTTCTTTGGCTCAATGCAGAGGAACTGCACTTGTTAAAGCTTGTCAAAGCTTTCCATGTTTCAACTTCTTGAAGTGAGAGACCTCGACGGAGTATTGCTGGTAGTAAGGGAGAATAAACTCCCGTCAACGTTTTGCTAAACAACGCAATAATGGATTTCGTACAAAGTAGATACACAGAATAACTGAGATGCGTTACAGTCTCCATTAAAAATGTGGAGAGCCTACGTATCTATGTCACACTCCAATCATTGCCTTTTCTTGTAGAGATGAAGATCGATAACAAATCTGCAGTCTAGTCTTTTAAACTCCTACAAAGGCCTTATACTGTGTGCTGTTGAGGAAGAACACGGAGCCTTGTCATAAACAAGCAAAGGACAGCCCCAGAAAATAGTTTCCACGATCTCAATTGCATCCATGTTTTAAATCAACTATTTTTATCAACTTCCCCGCATGCGTGCTCTTTATTTGACAAGACACCTCAATCAGCCAACCATGGACCCAGTGACTTGACACTTGACATAAGCTTTCTGGCTCTTTTTGTTCTAATTCCTAAGATCATCATCTTTTATGCCTTTTTTTTACGGCAAATGAAGGAGGAATCCATGTCAAAATTATCCATTCACTGATGGCTCTTTGCTCGGTACGAAGGCCATATCGAATACAGTAACTCTTTGTTCGAAAAGCGCATCGCATGTTGCAGAACCATGTTGTCATTAACGGACGTTGCCTTTAGCCTTAAGGCACGATTCGATATAGAGATGATTCTGTGAAGGCACTGCTTCGAAAGCTGCATTCTAGCATTACAAGCGTGGATCAGAGCGTTTTATGAAGCATATTTCAGGTGCTGCCATAATCGCGAGATTTTTTTCTTGAGATGATAAAATTTTTTGAATACCTTGTATATAGATGTTGTATGCGTAACATGAGGTAACATGAGATATGCATCCGATATCTGATCTTTAGACATTTGAACTATTTCATCCAGTCCAAATTTCTGATGTGATTAAAACAGCTTACGAAAGAGTGACTTAAATCCGACTACTGGCCATGGATGGGTGGATAAACTGAAGTGACCCAAGATTTATACTACCCATGCATAAACAAACAGCTGAATCAAAGTAAAATCATGATTTTTTTCTTATTGAAAGTACACATTACTCCGAGAAGTTATAAAAAATGTTTCGATTTGAACCCAACGTGATTTTTTTTAGAAGTTTCTCGAAACGTTCAAGTTTGGCGCCATTTTGGCACACCATTCGTCTTAGTCCTCTCTCGGAAGCCTCACGAAAACGGCAAAGAACTGTGACGTTTAAGGCCCGTGTGAAGAGTTCTAGAAACGTTTCTTCAATTTACAAACTGAAGCAGCTCTTGAAAGGTAAAACACGCCCGTAAGATGTGTTTCATTGGGATGCAACAACACTGGCGTCGTCCCAAAGAAAGGGATATAAGGAAAGCATGCATCCATGAAATCCCCTTTTTCAGTTCCTGAATTTATGTCCTTGACGTCACGTATGGCCTGTCAATTTCGTGATCACCAGAACGGTTGTTCCAAAGAAATGGAGGCTTTAAAAAATTCTAAAAAGCCTCATTTTGTTCAAACGAAAAATTTTTTCAAAGAAGTTCTTTTGGTAATGTGTTTTTTCAGTTAACGTGATAACAATTTTTACCTCGTTGGCACATAAACCTCCCGACAGCACACATGTCCAATACTCACCACTTGTTCTCGACGAACCCCTAAGAACGTCTGCGTGGGAGGCTAGATAATGATTTGTAAAGAGAGAGGTTTCTTGCGTAAAACCAAAAACAAGGAAAAACCAGTTACCGTAAAATTCCGAAAACAAGCCCTGAGCCTTATATTTTTCAAAGGCCCTTTTTGAGGGGCTTATCTACGGAGGGAAATTTGCGTTTCAAAATCGATTGGGCTAACCTTATAGTTGGAAGTAAATTTACCGTTTTTTCTTTGTTTTACTTTTTATTGGAGGGCCATTTTCCAAGTACCAGCCCCCGGGGGCTTATATTTGGAGGGGCGATTTAACGGAGGGTTTTTTGCGTTACCGGTTTGGGGGGCTTATACATGGAGGGGCTTATTTTCGGAATTTTACGGTATGACTTCATGGGGACCTCTTTTCGCTCGCCTCATGCAAAGGAATATGTATTCCAGAATCCGGGAAATTTTTGCTCTTGAAATCCGGAAATCGGGAAAATTTTTTTGGCGAAATCTGGAATCCTGGGCTTTGGAATACGGAATACAGTTCACGAAATCCGGAATCTCGCTAGTGGAGTCCAGCACCTGGAATCCGTACTGCATGCAGTGGAAGTGTTCCTAACGGACAGCTCTACTTACGGCCGCCTTAACAAAACCCCGTTTTTCTTAACTCCCATACAATAGGTGGCCAGCTCAGGTTACGGGCACCTTTTTCGCGTCCCGAGGGTGTACGCTTTATATGAGAACTTCCACTGCACATATTTTTAGCCTGCGTAACAAACGCTAAAAAGGGGAGGGACGGGAATATACCCTTCTCTAGTTTCCCCTCCCCATTCGACGTCCCTCAAGCTGCCTATATATTTGTTGCTCCCAGCTCTAAACTGTGGTTGGCCTGGACTGAGAGCTTCGTTTATCAGATATAAACAAATGTCATGTGAGAAGTGCTGTTACAGGAAACTGATAAAGAGTAAGCGATAAGTTAATGCGCAAGAAAAGGGAAAATAAAACACCATATAAAAAAAGACGATTATCATGTATCGATTATCATCGATTATCACTATGTTTCAATAATGAATAAAAACTTAAATAAAATAAATTTCTCTCAATTTGGAATTTATATTCCCCATTCCCATAAAAGTGTGGCTTTTCACATCTTAATAGTATGAAAAAAATTATAAATGCTCCATTTGATTTGATCATAGTCAAAAATAAAACTTGCGAAGAGTTGTCTATTAGGTTTGTCAAAATTGTTGAGCTTTCTTTATAATCTTCAGAAATGTTCCGTTAAATGAAAGAAACTGAAGTGACGGTGATACCAAACGTTTTCAAAGCGGTGATGTGCCGTTATGGAAGGTTTGTCCGGTGTTGTTGTCCAACAAGTTTGTAAGTTCAGTCAAATCCAGAACCAAATTGTCCGCTTTTGCAGCCGCCCGTAGCTTGGCTGAACGTGAGCGGGGATTAAGGTAAACCTCTTCATCCGAGGGGTAAATGACCTTTTTATGGAGGGGTAGCCATGTACTTGTCTTGGCTTTACCCGTGACATTCGTTCTCGAACGCAAATAACTCACTTCGGAGTGTGTTTCTTTGAAAAAATGCCTGACAATCGAGTCCTCTAGCGCATGAAAGGAAATCACGACAAGGCGCCCTCCAGGGCAAAGAAGTTTATGTGCTGTTTTCAAAGCGCACTGGAGTTCATTCAACTCGTCGTTTACAAGAATGCGTAGAGCTTGGAAGGTTCTTGCAGCAGGGTGCAGTTGACGCGAGAACCTGTCAGTTCTGACGTTACGAACTGCTGCAGTAACAATGGCTGCCAACTGTCTGGTGGATACTATTGGAATCCTGTCGCGAGCTCGCACAATAGCTCGAGATATGCGAACTAGAAACAAAAATAAAAGGTTAGCCTTACATTCAAGCCTTACTTAACCTGAACTTGCGTACGAACCAGACGTGGCGTTGGCTTACGCATTCGCCCTTGAACTGCCCGTAACCCTTCTTACGGATCCACGTCCCTTATGCCGCTTGTAACGCCATAAGTTTAAACGGCCATGGAAAAAATTTGATATCTAACTTGAACAGGGGGAAGAAATCTTTCAAACCATGCCAGAAAGAGCACGATTCAGTCCCGGAGATTCAGTCAATCAGGCTGGAGAAAAACTAGCCTGCGTAGCAAGCGTTTCCGTGCGGTTTAGGAGCAAAGAACGAGGAACGAGAGTCAAAGACCGCGCGAAAAATGGCGTAAGTTGGCTCTTGTTTCATTTCTCGCGCGGGAACCCGAGAATCCCGTTCCTCGGTCTTTCTTTGCTACGAAACCAAACGGAAACGCTTGCTTCGCAGGCTAGAGAAAAACGCAAAAAACTGACGCGAAAATCCCAATGAAACTCTTGTTCCACTACCCACTTGCACTTAACAGAGCACTTGACTATCGGAACGGACAGAAGTGATTGTGTAGATCCTGGTGTAGATCAGCAAAGAGCATACATTTTTTAGTTGCTGGTTTCAGGGACAGAAGATCTTTAGGCAGTTTTGGTTCGTTCTGGCCAAATACTGGCCTAGACTGCAAAACAGTCCGTATTTTTGCATTTTCAAGTACGCGTGAGCAGTCAAACAAAGGTCTGGAAGTCTGGAGGCTGAAAATGGAGAGCGAGACTGAGGAGAGACAGTAAAAATATGGGTTTCTGCCTCGAACTACGGTAAACCGAATTTGATCTGACTGTTCTGCAGTCTGATACTGAACAGAAACACAGCTTCTCTTGCTTTGAAAGGTAATTTTAGGCAAAATTTCCACGAGTGAATAATTTAAACCTCAAAATTTGCCAGGTAAAAAGTGACACAGGTAGTCAGCCAGCATGTAAACATGTAGGAAAGACTGCAAGCCAGCAAGTCAGTCAGTCAGACAGTGTGTACGTTACACAGAAGGCAAGTCAGTCAGTCAGTTGGTCAGTTAGTTCGACAGTGTGTACAGCAAATAGTCTGAAAGTCAGCCAATTGGTCAGTCAGACAGAGTGTACGCTGCACAGGAGGCCAGCCATTTTTTCAGTCAGACAGTGTGTAGAATAGGACTGCATGCCAGCCAGACGACCAGTCAAATAGTGAGTATGTTACACAGAAAGCCAGACAGTTAGTCCACCTGTCAGTCAGTCAGCCAGAGAGTTTGACACCCGGTCAATCTGTCAGTCAGACAGCTAGTCAGTCAGTCACTCAGCCAGACAGGGTGTATGTTACACAGAGGGTCAGTCAGCCAGTCAGATTGTGTGCAGGGTAGACGGCAAGCCAGGCAGCGAGCCAGTTAATAGACCTTCAGAGCTCCAAATTAATGAGTTCATGTAGACCTGCCAATCAATCTGATCAGTTAGCCAATCTATCGACCCATAATTTGGTCAGCCAACTTGCCATTTATCCATTCATTTACTCTTTACCCTCAGTTTCCAATCAGACCGTCAGTCAGTCAGTTAGTGAATGGGTGAAATTAGTAAGAGCAAGTAAATATGTAGTTGAAAGCTAGCATTAGCAAGGACCATGGACCCACTACAGAGTTGTAATGTCCTGCAAATACTAACCTGCTTCCTTCTCTTGTCCATACTGTCTCAAAACAGCAGTAAGTTCTGTTTCATTAATAGAATTCACCACATCAGCTGCTGTCATTGGTAATCTTTCACCTTTTGCTCCTTCTTTAGTGACATTCCTAACATCCATTCTCATGTCCAAAGGTCCATTTTTATAAAATGAAAATCCTCTGTCAGGGTCGTCAAACTGAATACTGGATGCACCAATGTCAAGCAACATTCCATTCACAGATTCATTCTTGACACCATGGCTTTTTAGTGTGTTATAGATATTACTAAATTTTCCTAAGACTGGAAACAGCCTTCCCTTAAATTCTGATCTTTCAGATAAAATGTCTGCTATTTCAATTGCAGCTGGATCTCTGTCTAAAGCAAAGACTTTACATTTTGCACTCATGAGGATTGCTGCAGAATGACCTCCAGATCCAAATGTGGCATCTATAAAAACCTTAAAAGTCAGAAAATAGAAATACATCACAGTAGTCATACGTACACCTACTCTCATAACTGAATTTATTATTATTATTATTATTGTCTCTATTATCACATTCTTTGCTGGTGTTCTTTTTGTGCATCAGCCGGGCGCAAACCATGCACCTAGAGCGTCATTCACTCAAGTCAATCATTCTGTTCATACACTGAGCACCTTTCTGAGGATTGGTGCAGATCCCAGCATGCAGACCCGGTGGGGGTACTTTAGGAATTTCTGGGTGGGGATGTGCCGCTGGGACCCTGGAACCCTTAACCTATACTAGAGCTAGTTCAGCTGAATTTTGCTACCCTATACTAGAGTAAACTCCCCAAATCCCCCCTATCCTAGAGTAGCTGTTTCCCTAGTCTATATAAAATCTTCACCCAACAGATCAGTTTCCTGAAAAATGATACCCTATTCTAGACCCAAACGCTCTGATTTATATACCCTATCCTAGAGTAAACTGCTTGAAAACCATACCCTTCACAGCGGCACATACCTATATAGCCCATATGTGGCAGTGCCCCCCCCCCCCCCGGGCATGCAGATCTTTTGAATCTCTGTCATAGTAGCTCTCTCTGATACTTTCTTGATGTTTTCTACCATACCCTTCTTCACTGTACCAAGCGCACCAACAACCATAGGGATCACTACACTACACTATTATTATTATTATTATTTTTATCATGGCAACAAAAATCTGTATTAACATATGACCAATTTACATTCCACTGTCATAAATAACAACGTAACTGGAAAAATAAATAGATCTACCGAAAATTGTTTAAGCTTTTACTGGTTTTGTAAAGCTAAATCTCATAACCTTAGAGAACCACAGGAAAAAAATATAAAACAAGGGATAAAATAAGTAAAAAGTAAACCACTCATGACAGTTTATATATCACACCCCAAAAATGTCTCAAATGGAGAGTTGCAATAATATTAGAAATTGTTTATCTGAGCAACAGTAGCTTTAAGAACATTAGGTACAGAATTAAGCAAAAGAAAAAATAACTGTTTCATTCTGACGTGACAAATTTCCGCGAGCGAATCGAAACCGATGGCAACTTTCATCACTTACTTGGCCATCACGGGGTGCAAGAAAGCTCAAACATTCCTTCAGCATCACAGGAACATGAACGGTGTGGGAATCACCTTGAGTGCAGAAGCATCGCAGTTTCTGATACGGAAATATAAACAGACTTCTCGCGCAATATAAAGACAAGGGACTCGCCGCCATTTTGTTGGCTGTACAAGTCATATATGAAGCTGCATCCTTTTGATGGAGGACAACTGCTGATATGATATACCGCAGACCCAAGCGCGCTCACTTTCAAAATGGCGACTGCCAGAGCACACGCTCACCACGTTGACCCAGTGGAAAGATTGCAAGAAGAACACAAAGCTTGGAAGCACGATCATCCAAAGGTCGGTAAAACCAGCTTTTAGATTATTTAAACTACTCTGTGAGGTTGATCAGTGAAATTTTTGTAAATTCTGCATTATCTGCAAGGCAACTCCTGCATGTCATTCTTGAGTTGTCACTTTCCAAAATAAGTTATAGAGTCTGTTATTATCTTCTCTTTTTCAGGATTTTATGGCAGACCCTGTCAAGAAGGACAATGGAGAAATCGACTGGCTAACGTGGCAGTGTGGTGATTATGAAGATCAATAATTATTTGGTTAAATCATTTCTTGCACCTTTAAGGGATCTAGCTATGGGACGTTCTATCTTTTATGTAACCCTCCCCCCTCCCCCTATGGATGGCGGTTTTGACAGGAGGGGTTAGGATTTCTCCGGAATTGGACTCTTTGGATATGTTTTCAAAAAAAAGAGTAACTGCCAAGGTATTTCATTGTTAAAAGGGTATGTGCCGACAGAAAATTGAGGCTTTGGATTTCAGCCAAATTTAGGGGGTGTGAATAACCGTATTCACCGTATTTAGGTTGTGGATAAAAAGAGGAACTTCGAATTCCCTCTGATCGTTTCTTGCCTCCCCCACAGACGTTCTTGGGGGTTCATCAAGCAGGAACGCTTGACAAACCCTTAAGGATGTCTGCGGTGGAGGCTTGATGGTTTCATAATTCATAGGATTTGTTGTTTAAAAGCTTATGTTTTTTAAATTGTAAAATTTCTAATTTGTCATAATGTCTGATTTACCAAACAGCTATTCCAGGACCCAAGAAGGTATGGTAACAATGCATATTGTGTCTTATAATTTTCGGTAGGTTTTTATCCCTACTTGGCATTCCCACTTCCTGCACCCCCATGTTAAGCCAAACCCCCAGGGATTTTACCATCTGATGAAGCAGAAGGAAAGTGCTCGACCAGATGCTGCAATCAACTGTATATCTTGATTTTTACACTTGGTCTTTTTTTGCAGCTTCTTTGTATTTCCTTTATGTATTAAACCTTTTCTTTCCATTTTTACATTTTGCTCTTCAGACCCTCTGGGAAGGTGGTTTTTACAAGTTGCAGCTTACATTTCCTCAAGACTATCCTTTTTCACCACCCAAATGTGAGTTATGTTCAGAAATAAGAAATAATAGAAGACATTGACCAAGGCCATGCCCAGTTGCAGTGTTATGTGCCTGCAGCCTAAGGAGTGCCCCCTTACTGCCATCCCCCCTTCTCTCTCTCAAAGTTTCCATCGGGAAATACTTGAATGCAAGGCTGTGCTCTAAGAAAAATTGAAGAGAGCCCAGTACTTTGAACCTGTAAAATTTAGGGTGCCCAGCATATGATTTGAATGAAAAAACTAAAGATTTTCTAGTTGCCTGAGGGCAAAAGTTAGGCGCCAGGGGCCACTGGGCTCTACTAGAGCACAGCCCTGTGAATATACTAGCTGGGGATAAATTCCTTGGCTTGTTAGTGCCTTACATGTAACATTTATGGTGGGACAGTATTGCAAAATGTTCATTTGTTTCAGGTGTATTCAATCCTGTGATTCTGCATCCAAATGTGTTTCCTTCTGGCAAAGTATCTTTATCACTGATTGACAAAAACAAAGGATGGAAGCCTCAAATCACAACCAAGGAGGTACCACTGGTTTCTTACACAACAAATTTTCACATTGTACAGTGTTAGATTCATTAGTACAGTGAAGATTTCTTATGCATTTCGTCATGTGCTGGTCATGAACACACCAAATGGACATAATATTGTGATCATATTATTTTGATCTGAACCCTGGAAAAATAAAACCTAAAAGATACCAAGGTTATTAATAACTTCATGGAAGGTATTTCTACTGGGAAATAGATTTGACATTTACTCAAAGAGAATAAAAATATTGTAGTATTCACACTTCAGGCCAAGAGGCGCATTTGTTGTATTGAATACTCCTACATCACTGAAAGTTCTTCTCAATTTCCAGGTACTCCTTGGGATTCAGCTGCTTTTAGGTGAACCCAATTTTCAAGATCCGGCTCAAGCAGAAGCCTATGTAGTTTATAGGTTAGTTCAACTTTTTTCCTTGGTTACACTAGTCAGTCTTCGTCCCAGAAATTACTACTTTTGAAGCAGTGTTAGGCCAATGTTGCATCCATTAAAGATTTGTCCTACTATTAGTTTCTTAGTTTGCTCAAAGATACAGAGAAGTAGATTGAATCAAACAGGATATCAGATATTCCAAGTGTGGAGGGCAAAAGAAAAATAACGTTTTCTTCAGGGTATCTTGCCTTGCAGAGGCAATAATTATTTTAATCTTCTGTTCTTTTCTTTTAATAAATAATTTGTTTGAAAAAATGTTTGGAAAAACAGGTACAAATTGACACCAGGTTTAATATGGATATTTCCCCTTGAAACAAGACAAAATAGATTGTAAGGAGAATCTAACATTTTTTTAGAACACACTATAGGCTTTACGGTGTATTTCAGGCACCCCTTCTTTTTATTGTACATTGTATAGATCTTTTGGAATTTAGAGACTACTGATAGTCCATTCATTCCATCCAATACTAAATATTTGAGTCTGTGTTTTGTCCTATGCCAGCCATTATTGGTCATTGTTTGGATCGGTTTTTATCAAGGAAATCATAATATTTACAATCAAATTATTATTGTTGCAGCCAAAGTCGAATGGAATATGAAGAAAGAGTGAAAAAACAAGCAAAAGAAATGGCTCCAAATGGACTTGGATAGAATCAGCTGAATTGTAGATATACATGTAATTTACAAAAAAGAAAACTATTGCGGATGAATGTCAAATTTGTAAAGTGGAAGCAAAGTTAATGTGTCATATGTTGTGTTGATAAAGCCAAGTATAGATAGTGCTGCTGAGATAAGCAACATTGAACAGAAATATGCTACTAAATGCAAACTTCATAAAATCTAGTTTATTATTTCTATTATAGTTTTTTCTTCATCCAAGATACGGCCTTCTTGTTTTTGAGTTATTGCATTTCTCTTGTATTTATTTTTCTTTTGAATAATACTAATGATTACATCAGTAAATTTATTACTCACTCCAGTTTTACGTGACCATGCATATTTACAAAAGGGACCACAACATGAGATGGTTGTTTCAGAATTGATGTTACAATGTATCAAGGCTTAGTGATTTTAGAAGAAAAGAAAATTGGAATTAATTAACAGTCTAAGGAAGGGAAGATGAAATTTTGGCCTTGTATCAGAAGAATACATGTACAGGTTTTAGTGATATACAATGAGATTCAGACTCATGAAATGTAGTCGTAATAAGACCCAAGTTACCCTCCTGAACCAACCCTCTGCTTACCAAACAATCTGCATTTTTGCTCAGTGATTTACTTGGATAAATGCTTCCCTACTTCTTTGGAACTATCAGAAAGTGATCATCAAAATGTTAAGATTAAAATGTTCCTTAACAATAATTTGTCAATAATAACATTATTTATTGTTATTGCTCAAATAAAAAATTAACTTTGATTCAGATGTTGCTTATTAGATCTAGTTATAACCTTGCCTTGTCCCTACATGTCATAGTGAGGGGAAATGCCTGAACCCCAGCCATTAATGACAGCCCTGTATAATTTCACTGAATAGCATTGACTTTGAAGACCTTAGAAGATACAGTACAGGGAAAAGACAACTTACAACCCATCCTACCCACAAAGATAGGCCTTAAAAGTCTCTGCCACCTAGGACATGAAGTCTTCCATCTTAGGATACTGGGGGGTGCTTCGGGGGGTTGAGAGACAACTAAGCACGATAGAATATTTGACAGGTAAAATCATAACAGACAGAAAATACGAGAATGGGAGCGCCCCTTGGAACCAACCTAGCATTAGTGAAAACATTGAGGGAAATAAACTGAACTTGAACTTAACGTTTTACATTGGCCACTGTAAGGAGTATCAGGCAAGTTTCATTGTATTAAAAACATAAACTTTTTAAAAGCCCAGTGTGTATCACAGAGTGGCAACACTGAAACATTAGTGAACTGGGTGTATGAGAGTAGAAGTAGTATTTTCAACATAATTGGTACAGGAGCCTGTTGGTAATAATTTTTTTTGTTAAAAATTTGCATCTACCTTTTAAAGAAGGATTTGGAAGTGACAATAAAAACTCAGGTTTTGAATGGTAGAATGCCCACTGTTAGCTACCTACAGCTATACTACTCACAGAATAAATAATTGAGTTCTACTCTATAGGGAATTCAATAAGCAATTTATGCAATTCTTTACACCAAAAAGGCTTCATGTTATAACTGATGACTGATCATGAAGGGTAACACCTGCTGGTGGAACAAGGGTAACGTTAGGATCTGAAAAACCAACAACAGGTGATGTGGGTTCTTTGCTCTCATCAGTCATCTGAGGTTGGCCATTAGGCTGGTTAACTGGTGTTTCCATAGACATGTGAGGCTGAAAATCAATGAGCAACAATTAATTAGAGAAGTAAAACACTATATTGCTGTTCACCTGAGGAAGGGTAGAAAGGGGTGAGACTAACCCACACCCCCTCCCTTGGACAGTACTTTATAAATTTTAGGGTGAGGGTGCGCCAACTATGTTAATCAGCATTTTTCAATCCTACTCTACACTAGGCATGAGAAAGAGTAAGAATTGAATTCGTCAAACCACTCATCTTGATCCAAAGAGCTAAAGGGAAACAACTTTTCATGGGGACTGTTGGAGACGAAAGCTGAAGAAAGGCTACAGAAGCATGTTCTGCTCAAAGCACAATGAGGATTAAGCCATACCCTTCATGGCAGCACAGATCTACAAAGCCATAATCATTAAATAATAGTCCCAATACCCCCTTAATCCCTCTTCCTTTTCGTTCAAACCATAGTAAAAGAGTACATAATGCACTACACAACAAATTAAGTTTCTCTTTTTTCTGTACAAAACAGTTAGTATTAGTAGCTTGTTGGTAAGAAATGGATGGGTAGTCTGACCAATGTCAATTTAATGAAACTTTTACATGTGTAATTTACAAGGCTGTACCACTATTGTTTTAGGGTCTGAAAAGTTTTATGAAATGGACCCCAAGACCACTTCACTAATACAGCCTAAAAATATTACTGCCAAAAGCAAATATTATTATTCTTTATTACAGTGTATTTGAAACTTATTAAGCTCACCTTTTCTTCCTTCTTGTTGAATTTCACCTGACAAGTTATCAGGTCAAACAAGAAACCAATGAATGAGTGCATCATTCCTACAAAAAATAATAATAATACTTGCAAATCAACACAACGGACAACATCTTTTTATAAGGATGAACTATGCAAGCAGTTTCCATTGTGACTCTATTTATTTACTTAGGTTTGCCAGTTCTTAACAGGGTCAGCGCAACAGTGCATGGCACCACTACGCGAGCCCTTAACAGTACCTCCCGCCATGAGAGATGGACCACCACACTGGGGACTATGTCCCCTACTCTTCATGAACAATGCATAGGTTCTTTAACGTCCCACAGGATTTACATGTGCAAGGGTTGTGAGATGGGGCCTATGGTTTATCGTCCTTATCTGAGAAGAATAGAAAGTCTAGCCATTTGTAGATGTATTTACAAACACAGCAGTTTCTCCTCAGTTATTTAAAGACCCTGAGTGTTGCATTGGTCCGGCTGAGGTTTGAACTAATGACCTCCCACTCAGCAGGCCGGTGCTTATCCAACTGATCTAACCAGGCAGCGGTTAAAATAAGGAGGGAAAATAGAAAATTAAACAAACCAACTATAAATCCCAGCTGGCCAAAGGAATTTAAAACAAGTTGACTTTAATTTACAAGCATAACCAAGGACTCAAAACCAGACCCCGCTAGTAATGGAGCCTTAACCATTGCTTGTTCACAACTAGTTTGGAATTTTCTTATTCTGAGCTTTAGAGACTCTTAGGAGTAAGAGGATGACTTATACAGTCGAACCTCCACTAAAGGCCCCCTGTCCACAATGGCCACCTCTCTACAATGGCCAGGGTTGTCAGAAAGTCTTGAAGTAGAGAGCTGAGTTGTCAAAGTACGCGGCCAGTCCGGGATACTTTATTTTAAAAACACCATCTATAAAGAAATGCCAAGCAGAGTAGCTGGCCGATGTTAACCAAGTAGGCGGCGATTTTCGCCGGCAGCCGGCCACTTATGACAACCCTGTAATGGCCATTAGTTTTGGCAGACAGTCTATACATTCACTCTATTGACTTCTTTCCACCTCTCTTGAATGTCCACCTTCTTCTGTCCCCAAGGTGGCTGTTGCAGAGGGGTTCAACTGTATGTATTTTTAGAATAATTGCACTGGGCATGCAACACAATACATTATAATATTATCAATGAAGGAGTGTGTCCAAAAATAACCCTAGTGTCTTCAAATAAACAGGGCTCAAAAAAGGCCCTGTTCAGTATTCTAAGACCAGTAAATTTTCTTGCTGGGAAAGTAGCTCTGAAAAGTCACTTGCTCAATAGGTAAAGGTCCAGGCGAGTCATGTCGTACCTAAATCAATAATAATTTGTGACTGCACAAGCAAACAATAGCCCTGTGCCAGCAAAATATGAGAGGTGCTTGCCCAAATGACAGGCTGGAATTAAAATAATCATGATCTGCTTGATCCCCCCCCCACCCCCCCGCAAACTGCCTCAAATTTTCTGAGTAAAATAATTGTTTAACAAACGAAAAAGTTCAATATTACATCAGGAGGTGCAAAAGGGTTCTATTTCACACGCTACTTGTACCACTTCAATTACTATTATTACCTGAAGTAGCAAAGATTCCCCCAACTATGCCACACAGACGAACCAGGAAACCCCAGAATGATCGTCGACGATTTTCAACCCGTACCATGATGGATGACAAGTCATACTTGAAGAAAATTCCTAAAAATCAAAAAACAAAATGAAAGAAAAATAATGAAGTTTTTGAAATGGATTCTTTTCAGACATGAGTGCAAGCAACTACATGTATTGGTGGATGTTCCACTACGATTTAAAAAGATGGCATTTATAGCCGGGGTGCAGATGTTACAAAGCATTACTGTGCTTTCAAAAACACAAACTCCGAAGTTTAAAAGCCGCCTTCACAATTGCATTTTTCACTGCCATCAATCATAATTACGATCACAAGCAACAAACTTTGAAACAAAGAAACACACAAAACGGATCCACATCCACCAATCACAAATCACAAGGAAATTTACCTTTTAAACCTGTTGAAGTAAACTACTCTTTGCTAAGAGGTCCACAAGATGATCGACGACAGCAAAAAATGCAAACATCAGTTAGTTTTTTAACTTCAGAATTCGCGTGTTTTGGAAAAGCGCATAAAGACATATTTCTTTATCGCCTGAAAATACACAATGGCCACAAAGAGTAAATTCCATTTGACTGTATTCTAGAATACAACCAATAAATTAAAACTCACTACATATCTGTACCTTGCTGTAATATTAATGCAGGTAACATCTTTAAACTACACTGTAGTTAGCCTTTAAGTGAGTCAGAACGACATTAAGTTAAGAAATTTTGAAAAATTAATTTTCCTACCAGAAATACCATGGCTCCCAGCATTGTGATTTATTTCTCGGATCTGGCAAAGAAAATGACAAAATCTTACCATTAAGAAAATTAATAAATGCAAAGACAAGGTTACTTTAAAAATAACTTGGTAAAGCTGCCAAATAATCATTCAATTGTAAATCTAGACGTAAGAAGGTTAACCCAGGCTACTAGTCAACACATTTTTGTTTTCTTTGGTTAAAATACTTATTATCATTACACTGAATACAGAGGTGATCCTTTCTGACTTACTCTTTGTGTGACTGAATATTGGTTAGTCTTGGTTTCATGGCCAGTCAGTGATTTGACAGTTGTTGGAACAATCTGAAATTAACAAGACAACAACATGTTATTGCAAAGGTCATAATAAGAGACATGCATCATTAAAACTGGCTGGAAGCCTTTGGAATTTTGACAGAGTAGGCTAAGTTTAAAGTTGATCACAAGGCTTTCTGCAGTTTAGGTCTTATTCGCTCAAACAAACTACTAGGTAACAAGTTCCAACAACATGTGGTGGTAAAACATCGCAGCAACAAATTGACTTGTATGTTAATTGTCTCCTCAACAGAATTTTGTTGCCATGACAAGTCACACACAATCAAATCAACAAAATTATGTTGCTGAGACAATGCTTTTTGCAAAAATTCTTTGATATACACAAAGCAACATGTTCCAGGCTAGTATGTTCCAAACTTCAAGGCTGGCTCAGCCTTCTGGCTAAGCATACATGTAAGTTAAAGAACAGAACAAAACAGGGCTTGGTCCTGCAGTTTGAGGTGTGCATTGTTTAAAGGGCTGGGTCAAGATGAAAAAATGCCAGATATTATTACACCTAGGATACAGAAGACAGAGATACAAGAAAAAATAATGGTCAGAAAGGGTAAACTCAAACTCACCTGAATGTAGTATTGATACATTTGTAAGTCTGAAATAAAAGAAGGCAGAGCACATTAAAATACAGTTGTATGAGATAAAACTTTTGAAAACAGCAGCACTTTGGAAACTACAGAGAAATTCTTCAAAACTTTGGGCTCTGATCCAGGGGTTCTCACTCATGCTTCTAGTAACTTACAGACATCGTAAGTTCCAGAAGATAATTTACTTAGTGATCAGGGTTAGAGATCTACATTGTATCTGACAGATATATTTCATCTGCAAGCAGAATTCAAGTGTTCAAAAGCTGCTGGATATATCAATTTCTCTGATACCTTTCTTTAGAAATACTGCACCTTAGTAATTTTGTATTTTGTAAATTAATATTCATGGCACACAGCACCCCAAAAAATTAAAATCGAGTAAAAGGCTTTAAGTGCACTCCTTTTTGGCACATGGTAAGAACATTTTGCAGTTTATTTTTCATTTCAGTTATTTTTCGTTTTTCGTTTCTTTCAAATTCATTAGCATGCATTACCATACCCCCAAACAATAGAAAAATAAAAAATTAACTGAGATTAAAATTAACTACAAGATATACGTCCCAAGACACTCAAAAACATTTGTCTTACGTTTATCTGTAACAACGATATCTCCATCAAGAGGATTAATATAGCCAGGTGCCCAGGGACCAAAGGACAAGACATCAATCCTGTGTGAATAGTTAAATCCTGTGGACAGACAGAGAAGTTAACCCTTTAAGCCGCAATATCCACAAGCAAATTCTCCAAACTGATCTCTATACATTTCTTTAAAAAATAAGTTGAGAGAATTTGAGAAAAGATCAAAGTATTTTCTCTTTGGTGATCATTTAATTAATTCTCATAACCTAATCTCTTGACATTGTATGGATATTGTTAGGAGAAAATTGATGTTGGTCACCATTGGGACTTCAGGGGCGGATCCAGGATTTTTTTTGGGAGGGGGTGCACTCGTCTCTTGCTCTACTTTAACACCAATAAACCACATAGTTTTTTTTTTGCAGAATTCCAGTTGTATTTGAAAACCGCAGGTCATCTCAGGGGGGGAGCGCCGTAGCTAGTATGAGGCCAACCGAGGCACTCGCCTCGGTAAAATTTTGACGAATTTCGCCGATCATTTTTATTTTACATAAGCAATCATCGATATTTTTAACGCATCATGATATTACAAAGAATTCAGCAATTCAGTCAATATACTATGAAAAAATTACCATATCATCGATCTCAAGGGGCTACGTACGTTACCGGTAACTCAAATTTTTTTTGAACAAATACTGATCAAAACCATTGGCGAGGTTAACGGTCACCCAGATTATGTAGCTTGTTTCTGATTATTGCTTTTTAAATTCCACTTAAATTAACTCGAAAAAAAGTTACCGAAAGGCCCAGAAAACGCTGCAAATCGCATTTGCGAGAGACTAAAGTTCAAAATTTCTTGGGGGGGGGGGGGGGGGGGACATGTCCCCGAACCCCCCTAGCAACTCCCGCCTGCCTCGGTTGGCCGTTTGGTCTGGCTACGGCACTGGGGGGGTGCGCACCCCCTGCACCCTCCCCCTAGATCCGCACCTGGACTTAAAGGGTTAAAACAAGAGATCTGAGAGGTAAAACTAGTAATAACCAAAGGTTACAGAGTACAGGCGACATTGATCAAAGGTTCAAACATTTTGGCTCTAATACTGTGCTCTGTATAAGATTCATCTCATAGATGGTCAAAACATGCATGATTAGAGTTAAGAGATAGAAGGTCCAAATGTGCATGACATCAGATTGCATTCTGGGCATTCCATTTATTCTAATGGCATTCTATACTAAGCTGGTTGTGTAATTATGTGCTGTGCATGAGTACAATGTAACAGCAACCTAAGGATTATATAATGATTAATGTGCGTTCCTCTTGTCGCCCACAATAAAATAAAATAATTTTGTTATTTGACAACAGCCTATGTGGGGAACCAAAAATGTTGTTTCCATACTCTGAATTTACTTTCATGCCCACATTTTAGAAAACTCAGAGCAAGAAAAATCTACCTGGTAAATTGTTAATACAAATGTAGAACACTCACTTTCTGGAGCCACGAAGGCACTCAGATGAGCATGTCCTCGAGGGTGATAAATTGATCTGAGCAATGACAAACAAACAAACAAAAATCATGGGATATTATACACTATAACATCATCAATGAATCTTTCTAGTCTCTCAACTATTTTGTCAAAATCAATTTCCAAAAACATAACAATTAAGTGGGTGCACCAGAAAACTACCTTATTAGTATTCCACAAAATTGTTTAATTTAAGAGACATTGTTCCTAATACAGTCAACTTCCTTTATAGCAGACACTGTAGGCACCTCAAATTTGTGTGCTCTTTCGTGAAAGTCCATAATAGCAGGGGTTTATTTCGGTCAAATGTCTATAATTTGTTTTGCCAGGGATTTAGTTACTGTTTGTTTTATCAGAGTGTCCGTTATAGTGGGGTGTCCGCAAGGCGAGAGATGACTGTATTGATTCTTAATAAAATTTTTAGTAACTCTTTTTGGAATTCTACATCTACAAAATTATTGGAAATTTCTTAGCTTTGATTTTTGATCCTCCTTTGAAAGAGTAATATAAAAGTCAACTACAATGAATGTATATTACATATCCTGACTGTTCTTACTTTCCCGCAGTGATGTGGAAATTGCCAGCCACTTTGTTGACCTCAAAGGAACCATGGACTCGACAAGCATCAAAGGGTTTGTTTTCATCCTCACCAGTTCTGCAAAAGGAACCAGTAAAAGAGGAAATCAGTTCACATGTTTAACTACAGGGAGAGAAGGATGGATGCACTTTATTAACCCTTTCGCTGCCAGAGTGTTTGATAGAGTTTTGTAAGGTGACTCTAACTATTGAGTCTGTGGATGAAATCCTATGATGTGACCATTCAAATGAAAGCTCTCTACCTGTACTTTCACAAGATGCTATTTGTTTGTCAAAATTTTAGAAAATGAAATTAAGAAATTTGCTCGAAATTTGCCTTTGGCCACATTTGGCAGTGAAAGGGTTAACAACAGGGTTACATAGAGTTAAATGAAAGCAATCATTAGATACTCTTTACTTGCTCTTTTTTGGGCAATGAAGAAGATCTAGGTTGTAAAAAATATAAGAGAGTCTGCTGTTTGTGAGTGAAATATTAAGGAGCTACCCAATTATGGGATTTCCAGACAAAGAACCAGAATTCTGAGCAAAAGGTACTGCTAAACTCTAGTCCTCAGTTCATGAATACAGGACTCACAATACTTTTTTGGAACATTTTAAGGCTGATTATTGCAAGATGACAGACAAGTTGGTAATATTAGAATCATTTCTCTCACCTTTGAGGCATGTAGGTGGGTAAATTACTCTTAAACTGTTCAAGGATTTTTACAGCTCTGACTCCTTCCATAAAAGCATGCATCCCTCTAAACATCCTGCAATATTGCAACCACAACAACCAAACTTACATTGACACTGAGAACAAAAACACTGAAACTTTTTAAAAGTAGAACATTAGTATTAGTGGATGAATACCGTATGTGTGTCAACAAAACCTGGGATCAATTTAATAAAACTTTTACAAGTGTAATTTACGTGTTTGTACAATAATTATGTAAAAATAATGTTCTCAGACTCTAACACTTGCAAAAGTTTTATTAAATTGACTCCTGGATGGCATCAATCATGGGAACCCAATCCCCTACCTCTCATGTTGTGACTTACAAAGGTTGGTCTGATCCAGGTTGTGTGGACGCCTTTTGTCTTCCCCAATTATGATATTTTTACTATTATTTAAACAAGGGGTGTGAGGAATAAGGCTCTAACTGACTCAGTCTTGATGTTATGTCTCAGCATTGTTTTGTTTGCAGACCAAATAAATAAAAAGGAAAATGAAAGGAGACTCTTGCACAGATGAGAATCCACACTGATTTCCACCATTTTACGGAAACTGGTCAGATTCAACCCAAGGATCTTCCCTTACAGAATGGGAGGGACTTGGGGACAAGGTTGCCGCCAATAAAACTTCCAGGGGTAGTATGCCTCCAGCCCCCCTAGAAGCTTGCACCTTTGGCGCTTGTTTAAGAAATAGATCAGCGCTTATCCTATGCCTATTGCCCAAATCAGACCTCATATACTTGAGGGCTTTTCTTCACACAACCTTGAAATATGTGTATTTGAGGCAGTTGTGGGAGGGAAGTGTTACATTTTGTAACTCAGTCTAACAATGTGGTATTGAATAAACAGGGCTTCTGATAATACATGTACTATTATTATGTGACGGTAGGGTTTTGCATAATAGTGATCTCAAATGACATCTGGCCAAATAACCCATAACTTTACAATAAAATTACTTCATTATTAATAAAATACGCATCATTTAAATGAAACGACAAACAAAATGGCAGGCTAGTTTTTTCGTGAAAAGAGAGAAATTTGAATCCTTGCCTGGCCTTGTAATAATATCCTATTTGTAATATCACTATATTAAGCAAGGGAAATATATATATGTACTTACTTAAGCCAAGTTTCCTGTTCTGGTGTTAACTCAAAATGACTCTGTTATCAAACAAATTGGTGGTTAAAGTTTGATCAACAGAACTCAATAAAAAGGACAAAAACAAAAAAAATTAATGCCAAAATGTATGATTAATGAAGACCACTTAGTGGGTGAAACTCCATGCTAACAACTTAATTTTCATCCTTTGAATGTGTAATAATATCATTATAAATGTGTATATGGAAATAACCTTGAGCAAAATACATGCACATCATGTGGAAACATTATTATTGATCAAGAACCTTACATGTATATTATTTTCATTGCAATCTACTGTTTCAACATGCAGCTTGGGGAGTGGAAAAAAATTCATGAAATGCTCCTTCCTGTGATGTGCATAATAATGTGACTAAATAATTGTAATTTAAGCAAGGTAAACGTCCAACCAAATTGAGGGCTGGCTGTGGTTTGACTCATCTGTGCAGCCGACCTGTGCGGTGCTCTCAAGTTGGCTATGGTGTGTGTGCTATATGCTGTAGCTTTGCATTCTTGTGATCACTGTGGATCAGTGTCTTTGTGTATAAATAATTATTGTGATTTCTTTGGCCTCTCCTTACTTTTACCATGGCTAGGGTAACGTAGGAGACACAAGTGGTGATATTTACATTGCAAAAGGAAGGAAACTAGGTTTGTGTGTGATCAAGTACACCATGAGAGTAATTTTTAAGCAAGGTGCAACTAGTAAATCAAAAGCGTTGCAATTACTTACTGGTTCTAATTTTAATTTGTCTCCCAACTCTAATGTGCTACCAGATAAGTCTAGAACATCAGCACCAATATCTAAAAGATAAAAAGCCTACATGAAACTTCACATAACATTATTGATAAACAGTGTATTTGAAAGCACAATGATGATAAGACAGGTCACTTACTTTCACATAGCATTGCTACAGTGAGATCAACATTTATTTGAAGTTTACTGTTGACAAAATGAGCAAAGATGTACATGTATTAATATCAAAATAAAAAACACTTTACATGTATCATAAAATTGAAAAATAAAAAGAGCTACGCCAGAGAAGAAGTCTACCTCAATTTAGGCGCAGTACTCCAAGAAACAATAGATCTTATTCCTTGTTTGATGGTAAAAGTTTTTTGAGTTTTTCAGAAGCAGTCAAGGTTAAAATGAATGAAAACCTGAAAATTTGAGACTGTAAGAGTCCCATGAAATCTTCGCAAAAAAGTGTTGAAAACTTGTACACAACAATTTTTCAGCAAGAAAGAGCATTTAAAGGAAAGTATTACCCACCTATTTGCATCTGTGTCTACTGCATAATCATACTTGGTTTCCACAGCTCTGTAGTACCAGAACTCAGAAACCACAAGAATACCAAGAAATAAAAACGTAAGGATGGAAACTGCAAAAATTAGAAACAAAAAATAATTAAGAAAGTAGGTATTGTGATTCTTATAACATTACCTCTTCAATGTCTTCGAACAGCTGGAAAAGAAGCTGAAAAAATTTCTAGTCAATTCAGTTTTTAAGCCAACTACAGTCAACTCTTGCCTTGTGGACACCTTGCTATTAGAAAACCCATAGTATACCTGCCAACTCTCACGCCTGCGGGTTGAAAACTTCTCTCTCACGCCGACTCACGCTTGCGGGCCAATTTCTCACGCCTGATTGAAAAATGTGAGTTGTTGCCGTTTTGCTTGACACAATTTCCATAAATATGTTAACTCAGACCCATGTAAGGAACGAAAACCATGTGTAAAATGAATAAATGACAATACCTTCCTCGTGATCTGATTTTGTGGATAAGCGTTTTCTCGATAACTTCGCCTTCGGCAGACTTCGGACGTCTTCGGAAGACTTCGGACTTCTTCGGGAATCTTCCGAAATGATCGTGTCGTCTTCAAAAATCCCAGCACTTCCAGGATAAAAATCTCACGCTTATATCTCAGAAAAAGTTGGCAGGTATACCATAGCTAGAATGGTGATCCGTGGGACGTCAAACCAATCAGAACAGAACTACGTAAGATGTATTCCATCTGGACCAATCACAAAGAACTTAAGATTCTGGCTATTTTACATGTGATCTGGTAGATTATGTAGCCTGATGTTTATATACATGTAGTTACTGATATTTTTAATTTTGAGAAGCTCAACTTCATAGACATATTCATGAGGATGTCATGGATGAATGCTAGAAACTTTACGCTGTGACCTGCATGTACATGTTATTGTATATCGTAGTTGAGTATGTGACCAGGAAGTAGCGGCCGGTGAAGGAAGGAATAAAATTCAATAATTTTGCTTATTTATACATTTTTTAAGGAATTCTCAGACTCAGAAACTGAGAGCCTTATCTACAGTTCTTGAAAGTACTTACCAGAACCACCGCTAGCTGTAGTTTGTTGATAATTTTCTGGGACTTTAGGGAAAGCATCCAATTCTTTTAAAACTTTGAGTGTTTGTTTTCGGTTCCTAACGGCTCCAAGTCTACGCATTTTGACCCTGATGGCTTAACTAGACGTTTATATTAATTTTTCAACGCGATCAGCTCACTAAGGATGCACTAAATCCTAAAAAGGAAAGAGAAACAGCGTCAACTTGTCGTACAATCACCAGACGCCATGTTGAAAATCCACGTTTGTGATCATGCGCAAAACGTAATTGACCATGATGCACTGCCGCCATCTTGGAAAGATAGAAATGGTTCTGGACTCAGAGGTCTAGGGATAGCGGAGCGGTAAGCTGGGATGGCTTGAGCTTCCCCAGAATTACCAAAAATAAAGTAAGATAAGAGCACTTTCTAAGAAGAGAGTCTCCTCAGATTCCCCACTTCAATGGACTAGTCAGCACTCCAACTTGGAAAAGATAGCGATGGAATGGCTGAGGTTAGGCCGAGTCCACGCGCCTCCCACACCAACCAGACGGTCTCAGGTTCCTTCTCCACATGGGAAAAAAACACAACGTCTGTGTAAAACGGAAACTTAGAGTTGGTCCCTGCCTTTCTTTACTCCCTTTATTTGACTCTCTATAAGACGGACATCTCTCTAAGACGGACACTTAGGGACCAGTCATTATTTATCGCCGAGGCGGGGGGAAGGATTTTTGGGGAGATAACTTGATTTTTAGGAGAACAAAAGGGGGGATCAGGATCACTGAAAACTTTGGAAGGATTCAGAGGGGGGACCACTCAAATCGCCATCGTTATTTCTTTCCCGTAAGCGTGAAAAAGGGCAGGATTTCAGCACATTACAAGGAAATTTCCCACTAACGTAATCGTCTGATTCTTTTCATAGTCAGAGTCCACTGAGAGGGGGTGATAAGCTCCACGCTAGATCTAGAGCGATCTAGCGCCCAGTTTTTTAAACTGAGCATAAAAGTAAGAATAGACTGAAAGAGACACAACAGGCACACTTTAGAATTCAGATCCAATCATTTCACTCTCGTATGCCATTGAATAAGACAACCTTCAGACCCTGTAACAGATATTTTATTGATTCATTTACATTTGTCTTCCAAAGTCTGTTTTCTACAACTCTACAATTGCAATCTTGTTCTCGACCCTTGTCTCATTTCATTAATAGTTTAGAGTGGTTTACCTGTGACTTACAAGTAGCTTGGGGAGTGGAACGCTCACGAAAGAGGGAAAAACAGTAAAAAACAAAAAACAAGAGGTGAGGGGGGGGGAGAATGAGCTTAAAGATAAGGAAAGGAAATAAGAAAATCTGGAATGGGATAAGGAATAAAAACTGTTAAGTTTAATGATTTAATTTAGGATATCATCTTCTTATTATTTCTTTTTGTTATACTTAATGAATGAAGTACAAAAGAATTTTATTTCAGCGTTGAGATAGCCTCGGTTTATTTTTGGCGTCGCAAGCTCCAGCCTAACGATGGAATTTAAATTTAACAGTTTCTACAAAAAAGTAAGTCCGCTTTAATCGTGTCCCCAGGTCCTCTCTTCTTCCCGTCCGTCTCTTTCCAACTCTCTCTCGCTTTAGGGGACATGAAAAGAGAGACCCTGGGTCCGACGTTGACTTAGCTCGTGTTTTAAACTCGACAAAGCACTCCCAATTTGTACCACGTGACCAAGTTTTCCCCTTGATTGTCGTTTACCTGTTTACTACCTCTACTCAAAAATAAGTAGTTTCACGCCGGTTGTATCCTAAGAATTGTTCTGGACAGTTTTTATCTGCTTATTTTCTATCCTGAGAAATATTCAACTTGAATCTGACGTTTGCCATTTGTCGTACACGTGACTCTTAAGACATAAACTCCACCTGGTGACCTCCTAATTTACGACATTCTCAAGTTCTGCCTGCCGTTTTCTATGTTTTAGCTGCAAACGCTTGTCTAATTTCACCACCTCACTGGCTTCAGAAGCAAGTCCCTCCTACTAGAATACTTGTATCTTATGATGTCCTCTGTCTGCTACAACGATATTGCCGTGCCTTGAGATAGCAAGGCCAGTCGGCTTGCCAAAGACACCGCCATTTTTAGTCTCTGTGTCACCAAGCTTCTTGATAAACACTCCATCTGAATCAAGGATCTGTACGTTAAGGTTCTTCAAGTCCGCCACAGCAATGTGCCCCTCGGAATCTACCGCAATGCCTGCTGGGCAACTAAGTTGGCCACTGTTGCTTCCCTTCTCTCCAAATTTGGCCAGAAACTCTCCTTCACAGTTGAACTTTTGCACTCGGAAATTTCCAGCATCCGACACAAAAATGTCGTCGTTTTGATCGACGGCGATATGTCGTGGGCAATTGAATTTGCCTTCGCCATCTCCGTACACGCCAAAATGCATAACCGCTTGGCCTTCGGAGTCGAAGATGTGGATTCGGTGATTGTCGCGTTCGGCGACTATAACCCGACCATTTGAATCCAAGGCGAGACCACATGGACCTTTAAGCTGGCCGAGACCGGTACCTTTAGAGCCAAACTTTCTAACGAACTGGCCATCGTTTGTAAAAACCTGTGGGATCAAATAACTCTACAGATCAAGACAAGGAAGATTAAGTACCATTAAATGGGTCATGCGATTGGTATAAATTAAAACAATTAGCTAGGTGTCATCTGTTCCTGAACTAAAATTGGACAAATTGTATATTGATTCTATTTTTAAGGGTTTCTACTCAGTAGCGCATTCGCTTACTTGAATTCTATGGTTGCCGTGATCTGCCACAAAAATATGTCCGCTTTCACTCATGCACACTCCAGCTGGGTACCAGATCTGCCCATCTGCTTTTCCCCGCGTGCCGAACTGGTGCAAAAGGCGTCCATTGGTGTCAAAAATCTTAGGTAAAAAGAAGTTAGAATTATTTTTTTGTTCTCTAGCTTTTTTTCGCAGTAAAATACGTCTAATACATGTCAACCAAAACTAACTACGAGAGAACGGCTGGACAACTGACAGTTTGACCAACAATAAACGACTGTTTAACTATGACGATAGACGGATCGAAACGCACCAGTGACATTACGAGTCTTCATAGCCAATGACATCATGGCTTAACTGACAGAAGACCAATAGCATCGCGACTTTATTGGCCAATCAGGTAAACTGATAACCAGAGTTTAATACCATCAACTGACGTGATACAACTCTCTTTCACTCTGAAGATGACCACCGCACAGGTTGTCGAAACGTCAGTTAGTGTCAACAATAACAGTCCTTTTCCGGACTGCGTTCATCCGGACGATGATATTCAACCTACTTATGAAATGACCTCTGGGTTCAAACCTTTCACAGTTTTAATACATGTCAAGCTTACCAGTTTTCAACCTTCAGTACCCGGCATTTCAAGTATAAAATTTTACACAAATACTTACGCCTCTTTAACCAATCAGAATGCGAGATTTGGTTTTATACTAAACTTATTTAATTGAAAACTCCGGAAACTATAAGGGGAATGGGTACAAGCTTTCGGTGCAAAGATTTCTGGGATCTTGGAGGAGAAGCGTTACTTTTGATTGGTTAATGGTTGCCTTGAATACCATCGACCAATCATAACTGAGGCTTGTCCACCCATACGATCCCAGAAATCACTGGACCCAAAGCTTGTACCCATTCTCCCTAGAGTTTCTGAAGTGGGGAATTCTCACTAGTGTGAAATGTTATCGGTCTCTTCCCCCACCCCACAGGGTGCTAGTTGGTGAGGGAAGGGGGGAGGTGAAGAGACGGATTCATTTTAGACTAAATTCTCACCTGAATGTGATGATTATGATGGTCTGAGACGACATACAGCCCGTTAGGATCAGCGGCAACTCCCCAAGGCTCGTAAGAATCGTCATTGCTGTCATCGCTGTTGGGAGTAAACCTTAGCAACACTGGTCCAATTTTGGTACAGTCTATACCTGAAGTAACCTGTGAATACAGAAAGGTATTGCCACAATAAGAAAACAAAAGGAGAAAACCTGTATCTTAAGACCATGTAATTTTGAGCTCCTTTGGCGCGATAAAATCGCGTAAACATATTCAGGAGGGAAAACAAACACATGGCTTACGACGCTAAAAATTTAGTGCTTAGAAACATTTTGATTAAAAAAACATGAGAGTGGCTTATATATCACTTCATAGGCTACTGCGATTAGCTGAATGAACTTGTATGGAATAACTACGTTCACATAGCACCGACCAGTTGAAAATTCGTGCGTTTAGTTGTTCCGTTCCCAAGGAGCCACCTTAACCGTACAAAAGTTTATACGCTTAGCCGTTCAAAGTTCCGTGTGAACAGAGGGAAAATTTTGAACAGTCCAGTGTGAACAAAGTGTCCGGTCAAAATTTTCAGCTGGTCGAAAATTCGTCCAGTGTCGTGTGAACATAGTCTGCATCTTGCTTAGTTCCTAGGCCTCATTACTCCGCGCGACCCAAGTGTTTCAGGTCACGTGGTCCAAGCTTTGCCTCGGATACGTCACCGAAGTGAATTGACCGAGAGTGACTGGAAAAACGCCGACCAGGGACTAGGAAAGCCTGCATCTTCTCTTGGGCGAACTAATTTGACCTTAATTACGTTGCCCTGGACGATACGTCAAGTAATTAGTGCTAAAACGTTATACGATAAAAATCTCAGCAAAAATTGGGAAGCTAATAGAACAAAACCCAACACAAGACAAACCTGAAGGTCAAATGGACTGCCTTGAATGGATTTTCCTCGCGCATGTATGGTGATCTGGTGTTCTCCCTTGGAGACTGGTTTAAAGGAAGCCGTGTAAGTGCCATCACTGTTGTCTTCTACAACAGCTGTGATTGGTGAACCGTTTGGACAGTGTAGTTTGACTGATAGCAAGTCTCCACCTACGAAAGGAAAATGCTTTTGGATCAGTAACAAGGTTAATTAAAATCAAATAACTTAGTTACGTGAGGCATTTTGCCACTTAAGAGAAGAGAATAGGACTGGAGCCGAAATGTGTCCCGCGATTGTCTCTGGGATCGTTACGCACTGGGGACTCGCCGGTCAATTTTTTAACTGTCCCGAATAACAGTCCCAGAAGTCTTTAGGAGAGTTAACTCGACCCAGTCTCCTTCTCGTTTCTTAAGTGGCGAATAAAGTGAATCTTCGAGTCGTAAAATGGCGATGTCTACCATTAAGTAGGACTATCACTCTTAAAGTAGGAGTTATTTGAGCAGGAGAATTGCATCATTATCCAGAGTAGAACCGGTGTTACGGTGATATGGGCATCCCCACGTTTCAAAACCCAGCATCTCCTTCTCATATTAACTTAGCGATTTGAGTTAGGGTTAGACTTAAGGCCCAAAATGCGGGGATGCCCATATCACTGTGACACCGGGTGTGTGAAGGCGTACTCTTTGAGCAAGAGAGGAGGCATCTTCTCTTGACTAGAGGGAATGAATTCTCTGTAAACGCCGTGAGAATAATTTCCTAAGTAGCCTTAACGAGTTTTCATTTGACAGTAAGATTTCTTTGTTTTTCGCTATCACATACCTGTCACACAAGGCTCTCCGTTTCTGTCTTTTGCTGTAATCTTGAAAGTTGACCTGTGTCCAACTTTCCCCTTAGACAGGCCAAGACCTTCTGCGCATGTCAGCATAGGGAACAGGTAACTAGTGGATACCGTCCCAAGTTTAGCTATGACTTTGGAAAGCTCCTCATCATTAGACGAGAACTCGATGACCTGAGGACGAGAGAATGGGTTCAACACGTATCAGATTGGCTTTCCTTCGTTCCTGTTCCCTGAGTCGAAGTTCTATAAAACCAGCGTCATGGCCCATAGCACTCGCATTCAGATCATGCACATATGATTTTCCGTTTCCGTTTTTCCGATGAAATTAAACTCCAGTTAGTCTCCTTCCCTTTGCCGCCTTTTATAAGTGCGGATGACGGCTTCCCAGTTCTATTTTATTTCCTTTACATTTTAAAGATTTAAATGTTTCAAAGTAACGAAACATCAAGTTTAGTAATCAAGGCAATGTTTTCAACCAGATTATCTTTAAATTTGGAATTTACACTGATTTTCATCTTTTCTTTTTTTATCTTGTAATAATATCTGCGTCGTTTTTTTTTTTAGTTGTTGGACTGATTAAGTTAGGATCATGCGCAGTACTGACCTCATTATCCTCAGGTTCACATTGTGATTCGTGATTATTCAGCTTCTGAAGTCTGCTGACCATCTGCGGCTTCACCAGCATAATCTCAGCCTCATTTCCGTACCTGAGTACATTTTCAGTGAATTCACAGCTGCTGAGGAGGTTTGAAAGGTCCAGCTCCAGTATTTTCTGTTGACTTGTTAAAACCTAAAAATCAGAGAAAGTTGGGGTTTTAGTATTGGCTCGCAGTTACTTCCTGACTCGCTGCAGCACTTTACCTACTCGATTTTCGTTTGAAGATTTTCTAAATAAGGAGTACCGTATTGTGTGTTTGAGTACTTCCATTGTACACCTTCTGTCATTCCCTAAATATAAGGTTAACTCGCATATGCGGCTATTCAAAGGTGTTGTCCAACGCCTTAACGTAACTTGGTTCTGTGGCAAGATGTATTAAACAAGGATATGTTTTACCCCACACCCCATAGATCTAAATAGGACGCTAGTAGGGTTATCCCTAGGCTCCAGTTTTGGGTGTCTCAATGCGCCCGCGGTACTTGCCACCCGACCCGACCCGGCTCGACTCGGGTGGGGAGTACCGCGGGCGCATCGAGACACCCAAGGCTGGAGACTGAGCCTAGGATATCCCCAGCATTGTGCGTTGCTAGTAGTATTGTACACGCTTGATGAAACGAGACAATTGGAAGCAATGTTTTTTACTTAAGAAACAAGATCATGAAATGAGGATGATTTGAACAGCGAAAATACAATTTTATATGAAGATATTATCGTCGCAGTTTAATAGCAATTGCAGATTAATTAACCCGAGGCTTCAACGAGATTGGCCGCATCTGCGTTAGCACTGCATTGCTCTACCGAATACCGAGCTATGAAGGCCCATACATCGGGAGAGGACCGGACCATTTGCTGAGTTCATTTTAACGTGACGTGTACTACGGAAAAACAAAATTAAATGTAGATCTGATCGTTGCAGTAGTGAAAACCTTTTAAACAATTCTCATGTCAGCCACAATGAGTCAAACCGCGTCCTTTCCCTTTACCTCTTCTTTGGAGTCTGATATGCTCTCCAATTGATCAATCAGCTCTCTTTCTTGTTTCTCAAGTTCCCGGATGTGATTTTGGATTGTATTACGTATGGTATTCCTCACCACCTCCACCCTTTCCCTAAGATCACGCGTCACGTCATGCACTTCCTCAACAGCCGCGCGCAACACTGGAATCTTGCGCTTTGTCTTGTCTTGCAGAGCTGCGATTGTGGAGCGGTATTTCTTCACAGCTTCCCTTAGATCTACATACATGTGTTCTCTGTGTTCGTAAATGGCACAGTCGCGACAAATAGCTTCGTCGCATGTCTCACAGAAATATTTCAGAACCTGAGAAGCCAATCAAATACAAGACAGGTGTCAAATACTATGTACAGGTGCATGTATGGACAGGGGTGGGGGGGGGGGGGGTACTACCTTATTTGGCCTAGAAGGGTAAGTGCCGCTGAACAGGGTTTGGTTTTCAAGGCCTGGAGTCTTACTCGGGATATACAATTTCACTATTTATTGTCTTGAAGAGTGTGTCTTTCAAACTCGTCCCCAGGGCTTTTCCCTTAGAAATTGGGAGGGGTGCCCTAGGTACAAGATTAGGTAGCTTAAGCAACGACGACGGCGACGTCAACGAGAACGGCAAAAAAGCAAAAGGTTTCAGGATTGGCAAAACAACAGCTCAGCACGTGCATCACGCTTTTTTTGTACATTTCTTTGCAGTCACTGCAGGACCACAACGTAAAAATGCCAAATTTCACGTTTTATGGAGTATGTGAAAACTAGACAACGACTTTCTTTTCCTTTTCCTGAACTTCGATACAGTCTTTTAGAATTCAACTCCAGGGAAAATCCCCAACATTTAGTAAATTGAACGAGATGGAATAAGCGTGATAAAGTGTGAAGCAGCGAGACTTCACTTTTAAAGTGACGTTTTCGTAGCTGTCGCCGTCGCTGTTGTTTAGGGTCTCTAATAAAGAACTGATGACGAACCTCTCGAGGATGTACCGAGCAAAATGATGGACACCGGATGATATCCTTAACTTCATTGGCCTGAATCTCGTCGAATGATAAAATCCTGTGGTCTATTGTTTGTCTAATTCTCTTGTGAGCAAACACGCAGTTTGTACAGAGGTTTTCCACACAGTCCAGGCAGCGCGCTGTGGCCTGGGAGCTATCTTCGCAGTTGGTACACTTGGTAGGGTTCTGAACCGCTAGCACTGTCAGCATATTGTTGATAAAAAAGTTGAGCGGAAATGCCTCGATTCCTTTGGCAGGAACTGGGACGAGTAGCTGGCATATTGAACACTCAAGAGTTCGGTCTTGAGATCTGATAGGATTGACAGACATAAAAAGGCATCCCCAATGTTTTCAAAAGTGATCAGTCACATCTAACATAAACTAAGTGATGCAATTTGGTGTTTTCATTGAATGTACATGAGGGTAAAAAGTCTTAAACTGAATCATATTTGTTTGCTCTACTCTGCTTTGACGGACAACTCCCGGATTGAAATGGGTGCCTTCGTTCAACAGTCATTTTCTTTCACTTTCCACAAGGGAACACTTTTCTAAGAAGAACAGTTAAGACTAAGCCATTGCAAAGGTGTCCTACTGTCTGAGAAATAATTGACCGCAGATAAAATTCCAGAGATTTGATGAACTTAATAATCAATAATAATAATAATAATCATCATCATCATCATCATCATCATCATCATCATCATAATGATAATAACTATTATTATTCTTTAATCATCCTCTCCCCTTATGGGGCTTTTCAGGGATAATGAAAAAAATAATTTAAATAGAACATAACATGGTTAAAAATCCCAACTGGTAGGAGGTGAACCAGTTGGCTGTTTTAAAAGCGTGCCCGAGGATTTAAACTCGGGACTACCGTGAAAAAATCCAGCTAGCGGTTAGGTCGGGACTTGAACTCGAGGTCTCCGGATTACAAGTCCAGCGCTCTAAACGCTCGGTAGTGCTTGAGTAAAGCAATTATTTCAACTGCGGTTGTACGTGAATACACGAATGATCATAGACTACTTCGCACTACTTTCCTCGTTCGTGTGGACGTGTTAGGCTCGTGCCTAGACTTGCCACAAGTCAACTGCGTGAGCGACGGGCTTTGAAAAAGTCTAGCTCGTGCGTGTGCCAATTGACGCTTTTGGCGCCAGATAACGCGCCTTGCGAGTACATGTGTATTAGCAAAAGAGGATTAAATGGAAAATATAACGCCTGTTTTTTATTTTATTTGGGTTATATATTATGACTATACAGATTTTGATAGCTACTTTTGCCTTGAAAGTATTGTGGTAGTCCTTTCTTAACCCCTTGACAAGTAACTAACGAGAACAGTATCAGTGAATTTTGTGATAGGTCACCAATTTGCTCATACCCTGTTTTGCTCGAAACGAAAAGTTTTTCAGTGCAAAATTCAATTTTTTTCTATAGGCAATTGTGTTAGTTCTTTTGAAAACTGACATTTTTATACTTTTGTTTTTTTCACTATAGGCAAACTACCTTTAAGTCTAGTGTGCATATACCGTAAGCTGTGATCGCTCAGGTACCCGTAAAAAAATCAGTGAACTGTTTAAATCTTTAAAAATTCAAAACAACCATTGATCCCAAACTTTCCTTTCGTAAAAATTAACACCAATGGATCGTAATTTTCTATGATAAATTTTTTTTGCTGGAGAGGAATAATCCAAAGTTAAGGTATTTTTAAAAGCGTTTGAAATATTAAAGTGAGAATTTGCGTTCACATAGAAAATCACTGTTACAAAATATACAATACATATATGATACAGCTGTAAGACACTAAAATCGATTTTTGCTCCAAACGTATTCCTTCTTATTCTTAAGTTAAACAGGAACTTGAATGAAAACGGCTTTAAGCAGAAAGTAATAAAAAACTACCTTATATTAGAATCCAGACAGTTCTGGCAGAACGAGTGAAGACATGGCAAGACCTTTGGATTCTTGTACGTCTCCCTACAAATTCCACACGTTAGCTCATAGTGATCGGTGATTTTGTTCACTGGCACGGAACCCATGGCGCAAATGCCTTTACAAGGCCGGGATTTACATGAAAAAACAATACGCCGTTCAAAATGGGAAACTTCTCGTGTAATTTCTTTTTACCGCACGCGACGCCGTTAGAATCGGCTTCAGTCAACGCCTTGACAGGTTGATTTCATGTTGTGTCGTGTGTTTTGATTGGCTAGGAGCTGGTATGTGATGTAATGCCGGTTTGTGATAGATCACATTGTTTAGACTTTGATTGACACCCATGGAAATAATATAACGAGAAAACAATTTTGGCCTTTGGGTTTTAGCGAGATTAAACAGAGAGGATGAGTAGTACTGGGATTGGTTTCTCGAACTCCTTTCAAAGACTACCTGGGGCATAAAAGTGATCTAATTTGTTTGTCATCAAGCGTAACACGTCTCCTCCCTCTTCTCCACCCCTAATGAATGACACTTGTAAACCATCAGAACCATGATAGTTCAGCTCTTTGTAACGCCAAAAGGAAAGTGTTTTTAAACTTTCAGCGTTTTTAGTTTTCCTTAATAAAATGGCCCCAAATTTCTATTGTCTCTCTCGTTTTTAAACCCCTAACGATTTCTTCGATGGCTCGCTGAATTTTGCCTGGTCTATAAATACTTTATAGTCCCTATGAAGAGTAAACACCATGCTCATTGAACCATACGCTACCTTTCACTCAATTTTGCATGTACAGCCTCAGCTGCTGACCAATCAGAGCATGATAATGAGCTAACACGTGACTGGAGCGAATAAAAATTTCCACCTGGGAAGAGCGCGCCCCAATGGTTTCCCGCCAAAACACAGCAGCCTAATAGGTTTATTGTTTTCCCGCTAAAACTCGCAGAAGGTGACAACCCTAGTGTAACAGGTCTTTTGCTGTACAGATGATGCGTGACACGTTTCTGAAATTCTCCTTGTTTTTGTTTTCCCGCCAAAACAGAAAACTCCATCCGTGGATTGTTTTCCCGCCAAAACTGATACTGAAAAAGAGACGACCATGAAAGCTACAGGTAAACGAAGACTCCGCGAGCAGCCAGAGGTGAAATAAAAATCTTAACGCAGAGAAAAAAATATTTTCTTTACTTAAAACTCTGTCCCACAGCTCTTCACAATTATTTGGTTTGCATGACTGGAAAAAGAATAATAATTGTGGCTACTGCCCTTTGTTTTAACCTTGGTAATCTATGTTCAGTCGTCAAGAATTCTTTTGAACTGTTAGCGAAATGGCGCTAATTGTCATCACCGTTGTCTAACTGAAGTGCTTTGATAACAGAAATTAGTTTTGGTCGTTAGGTTTGTATGCCTAATGAAACGGGCATCGTGCAGCGTGCGTTTCCCTTGGTCGTTTTTTTCTTCCAGGGGTGCGCACCCGAAGAATTTCTTCAAACGCCTTAAATAAAATAACGACCGGTACCAGTCAATCCTTTGTTCGTAAGTCTGTAAGCAACCTCGTAAATTGGAATATCTGCTGACTCTAAAATGACTCAGTAACTGCTGACAAAGATTTTAGATAAGGGTCACAAATGATCTAAAATCAATGAAAGCAGATCTCCCGATGTGTCCTTCACGAATTAACTCAAGTTAAGATGCCAGCTTGAGAGTAAATCACCGCAAGAGTTGGTTCCAAGTCGGTTAAGCAGGTCAAGCGTAGATCATCCCTCCCAGCAACAACAAAGAAGAATTTCTGTTTTTCAACTTCCTCCTTTTGGGTTAAGCATGAGGTTATTAAATTGAACGCCGCGTGAAATTAAGCATAAGGTTGGCCATTTTCACGCGAGTTTGCTTCCGACAAAAGATCAGATAAGTCCAACAGTGGAAACAAAAAACAATTAAAGTTTCATGAAAGTACCTCATGGTGAAAAAACTCAAGAGCGCAAAGCATGAAGCGGAAAGGAGCTGATTAAAAAATTATTCCTTTCAGTCAGGGCGTATGGGCCGTGAAGTGAAAATCATTTCCACAAACAATGGCAACAGTGAAAGACGAGAAATATTCACCTCAGTCGCTAGAGTGCCCCATCTGCAAGAATATCTTCAACGACCCAAAGATCTTATCATGTCTTCACTCGTTTTGTCGCAAGTGCCTGGAGAGCTACGATGTGATCGGCGCGGGCACCAACTCAATCGTTTGTCCCCTCTGTCGAAAGCTGACTGCCATTCCGGTGGGGGGAGCCCAGATTCTGCCCAGCAACTTTCTGCTAACAAACGCACTGGATCACTTGTCCGTAAAATCAAGCAAGGAGTATACACTACACTGCACAAACTGCGAGGACGAGGCAGCAGCGACGTCTCGATGCTTGGATTGCGCCGAGTTTCTGTGCTCGAACTGCGTTTTGGCTCACCGACGGATACGAGTAACCAAGGACCATCGTATCCTGTCGCTTGACACGCTTCAGGCAGATAAACAGACGCTTCATCGTCCGTCTTTCTGTACTCAGCATGCAGACGAGATGTTCATGTTTTATTGCGTGCCATGTGACTGCTTGATCTGCCGCGAATGCACGATTCTTGACCATCGAGGACATAAGTATGCAGGTAAGGCCTTAAAAGCAAGAATAGTCAAACTTTTCAGAAGCGTATATAGCGCGTACAGATCAGGTGCTTAAGATATCGATATGGTTTCGAATGTAGCCGATAAGCGTACGAGTACCATTGATGAAAAAGATCAATAACTGAAAACACTACGTAATTCTCTGTCACAGCGAACAGGATCCCGCCAATGAAAAAAGATAAGACTGGCCGATACAATAAAATTCAAAGGCGTAAAATTACCACTCTACAAAAATGTTATCCTTCATCTCCGTTTGGCACTGATTTTTTCAGCTTACAAGGCCCCCGCGCGAGTAGAAATCCAATGGAAAGAGACTTCAACTGAGTGATCTGCTCTCACTAGCTGTCCATATAGTGAACTGTCATTTTTTCAGCAAAAGCATTTTTCTCTTATTACCACACAAAATACTAAGCTGGTTTCAAGGAGCAAAAAACACTAAGCTTGCTTTGAGACAAGGTAATGATAAAAGCATTGCAAACTATGAAGAATAATGCATTTTTGGGGGAGCAAATTTGCAAAGACTGGGAAAAAAATGATGAAGCTTGTCATGCACTTTTCTACTATGGTTTGTTGTCAAATGTTCATGTAAAGAGAGAAAGTTCAAGCAGTACAGAGGTGGACCAGTTATTAACTCTAGACTCAAGAGAGATTTAAAAAACAAGCAAACGGAATTTCCTCTTTTTTAACCGTTCACCACTAGATCGTAGGTTTGCCGTTCATGTCAAAAGAAAATCATGTTTAACATTTTTTACGAAGAGATTTCGTTGTAAAATCTATTTAAAAAAAATTAAGATAGATGGGCATTTTGGCGAATTGTGCTACATTTCAAGACTAGAATCTGCTTTAGGGCTTGAAGGCGCGGGATTCGAAGTGCTTTTAAGTTAATGCAAACATATTGCGACAGTCCATACAAAGAACAAAAACACAGCAGAATATTCGTGAACATAACCTTAACAGGTTTTGAAATCAAAGTGACATGGTTAGATGAAAAGAGTACCTGTAAATGGAGCAAGTGGCTCAAAGCTTAAAGAAAATAGGTGAAAACAGGTGTGAGATACTCCTTTGAACGATCACCGACGTTCTTTGTTTTGTATAGACTCCGCACTTCTTTGGTTATTTTCTTGCAAACTAAAAATTCGGTTTCATCGTCAGAGGAGTTATTTAGGTAACTGGTAAATGTAAAGAAATTGATAACGCTGACGTTTCGAGCGATAATCAAGTTGTTTGAGTAAATCTAGGGAACTCAAAAAATTGTGGGTTGTGTGGAATTTACCTAGTAGGGCCCCGTGAGTAGAGGAGCTTAGGGTTAGGGTTAGGAAAATCTTTGTTGATTGGTTAACTTATGGCCTGCATGGGCGTGTCACAAGTCCCCCCTTTCTCCCCCGGCCCTCAACTTCGAACGTCTGCCACTTATTCTAGGGCTCAGCTAGTCTCCTTTGCAGCCGTCGGACTGGAGTCACGCAAGCTCCCCGCCCCCACGCGTTAGGGCTCAGTCCACACGAATACAAACATGAACCAGTGTAACCGTATCTTTTTGAACCCCTCTCTCCAGAGGATTTTTCTTGCAGAGGAAGCCGGATATTTTCGAATTTAGTTAGGTATGTGGTTTCAGGCCGTCCGCTTCGTGTGACGGGTTTAAGCCTTTCATCACTCATCCTGAAAATCTTTTTTAGGTCTAAAGGAAGCCCTAGAAGAACGAAAAGTACTCATCGATGACCGTCTGAATTTCTGCATTGAAAGAAAGATCCCCCCGGTCCAAGATGCCGTGCATGAGGTCAAGGCCATGGCCGCTAAGCTGCGCGCACGCGCAGAAGCCGTTAAAAGTGAGATCAGTGCCACAGCGGAGGAATGCGTCAAACGAATCGTCAGCCGAAAGCAAGAAATACTGGCAAGGGTAAACTACTCAATTACAATGGTTCTATAAAGAGTTATTCTCAGGTTGTTTTTTCTCGGTTTTGGAGAATAAACAGTTAATTATGTTTATTGGGTTTTCAATTTCAAAACCACTTTTTTCTTTCTTTCCTCTCGATGTCCGGAACTCAATAAGGGACATTCCATTTGATATCCACACACCCCGTCCCCAAGAGGTGGGATTTTCTGTGGGGAGCCTCGAAAGTTACTGTTGAGGGAGTTGTTTCGGCACTTTTAATATCTGGATTATTTCTGAGGGGTACGGAAAAAAAAAATCCCTTTTCTTGAAGGGCTAAAGAAAAAGGGAGGAGTTTCTAAGAGGGTGGAGGATTGTGTCGCTATTTTTTTAATCTTTTTTTTTTTTTTGGGGGGGGGTAAAAGTCGAGTTAACTCATTTATAGCGCGGCCGGGGGTGTTGAAATTAAATCGAATGGACATGATTACGTATGTTTTTTTTTGCTTCTTTCAGGTCGACAGCCTAGAACAAGAAAAAAAGAGGCCGTACTCCGCAACCAACAGGGCCAACTCGAGACTGAACTCTTTAAGTACACGAGCTCACGTGACTTTGTAGAGAACGTTCTTCTACATTGAAACGAGGTGGAAATTATCCAGCTTCGCCAGCTGATGCTTGATCGCTTGGAAGAGCTCAACTCTATATAGTTGGATTACAAAGAACCGAAAGAACACGATGTTGTAGATTACATCCTCAACATGGAATCAGTAGAAAAAGTTGCCACAACGATGGGCCGCGTGACATCTAGTGTGACTTTTAGTGCTTTGTGTAACGCAAGGGGCCTCGGTATAAAGTCTGGAAAAGTAGGAGTGGAATCTTCCTTTGTAGTGGAATTGAAAGATCGCTTTGGAAATACATCAGTTGAAGGCGATCACTCTTGCCCGGTGCAAGTAAAAGTACAAGCTCCTGAGGGTTTCTTCGTCGGGAATAAAGTCACGAATAATGGAGATGGAAGCATGAGAGTGCGTTACACTCCTGTCACGCATGGCAAGCACCTTGTTCACGTAGCAGTCCGTGGGCGAGAGATTGAGGGAAGCCCTTTTACCGTTAACGTATTTGAAGGAATCGACTACCAAAAGGTTGGCCCGATATTCATGAAGATTGGTTCCCAGGGAACGAAGAGCGGCGAATTCAAGCAACCGTGCTCCGTAATAACAGACAAAGAGGGACAAATATACGTCACAGACTTTGTCAACTGCCGAGTTCAAAAATTTGACGCGCTTGGAAAACATCTCCTGGATTTTGGGTCTCGCGGAAGCAAAGATGGTCAGTTTCAGAATCCTTGTGGTATCTTGGTTGACGCTAATGGCATAATCATCGTCTCAGACTGGGATAATCATCGCGTGCAACTGTTTAGTCCTGAGGGAAAATTTATTGGGAAGTTTGGATCTAAAGGTAGGGTTCTTAGCGCCGGTTTTCTATCTAAGGTGGTCGGGATAGGACACCAAACAACGTGTTCCCCTCGCGCGCTGTATAAGAACTAATAAACAACGAACTGGCGCCTGCCAAGAACTGGCTAACACTTTCATATTTCAGCCAACTATTTGGCTCTCTCTCTTTTTGGGTGCAATCAAACCTCGTTGATACGGGCACTTAAGTGACCAACCCAAGGTTTTCACCTTACAGAGGTGTCTCAGTGTTATAGATAAACAAAAACTCACAACTAATCACTGGATTTATCTAACATTTTAGGATCCGAGGACGGAAAACTGAATCACCCTGCTGGTTTAGCTCTGACCAAAGACGGCAACTTGCTGCTGGCCGATAAAGACAACCACAGAATACAACTCTTCAAGATGGATGGGACCCACATCATGTCGTATGGTTGTCATGGCAACGAAGACGGTCAACTCAACAGTCCGAACCACGTGACAGTGACAGACGATAACGGTTGCCTGGTAACCGATACTGAAAACAACCGAGTCGTAAAGTTTGACTGCAATGGGAAATTCGAGTTCAGTTTTGGCGGGAAAGGTAGCGATAATGGCCAGCTCGACCGTCCAGGGGGGATAACTGTAGATCCCGAGGGATTCATCATAGTGAGCGATTTTCAGAACCACCGAATACAGATCTTCCAGCCGAATGGCAGATTTTACGCCGCTTTTGGCAGCGAAGGTGACTCAGATGGTGAATTCAAGTTTCCCGGGGGTGTGGCACTTACAAAGGATGGACGAGTCATTGTTGCCGACCGGCATAACCACAGAGTCCAGGTCTTTTAGGGGGTCAATCGGCTTTTTCCATCGAGGTGCCCTTTGAAAATCAGGAACAAAAATAAAAAAAATGTCGCAAGATAAGAGCAGCACATTTTCGGACTGGAACTGTAGACAGGAAACTAGGGGAAGAGCATCTTAAAGTATCCAAGGGTGCTCAGATTTTTTTTCTTCCGAGCCACCTGTGTTACTGACTTAAATAACAACTTTCTCATAGTTGTTGTTGTTGTATAAGAAAGATGAAAAAGGGGATTAGCATATGGCCTTCCGGCATATAGGTCGTGTTATTTTAAGCTCTGAAGGAGATATTTGTTCAATTCCTTTTCCATGTTTTGTTTCTTTATCCCACTTTAATCTTCATTTTGGCCCGACTAGCCTTTTGGCTAACTGCGGACAAGTGGAAATTGTAAATTATTATAAAATACGTTGTTGTTGATGTTGGTATTAGTAGTACAGACAAATGTAAAGAAAAGTTTTATTTTACCAAGTGACAAAATAAGATTTATATCTATTCACTGTGGCAACGCAACTTTTTTCAATTAACAAGTATTTTTTCAACATACCGTGACCATGATTCCATCATCAAGCAGACGAAAATCTAATGCACAGTTATGATGTTAACTAATATTGTTGACTACCTCATGGATATACATTTAATGGAATCGGATAAGAAATACGTAATAGTTAGAATAGTGTTTTTTGAAATACTATAATGCAAAACCTAGAGGAAAATTATACATCAAGAATGTGCATGCCATTGATGCTAAAATATGCTGAGAATAGTAAAAAGAAAAGCTGACATTGATAAATCAGTCTCTTTAGAATCACTCCAACAGATATTGGTGAAATATGTATATATAAGGAAAAGCACGGTAACCCCCTATAACAAGGGGTGGTGACGTCATGAGTCAAAACGTAAGACAACATGGGAACAAATTAACGCGGAGATAAGTGTTTTCTTTATTCAATTCTATATCAGTTTTTTTTTATTTTTTTGCTCACCAAAGCCTTCTGCTGAGAAAGGCAACGCAACCAACTGAGGAATTTCTCAAAACACTTCTATCCCGTTGTCTAATTCCGCGTGAAACTGAATCTAGCGGAAGAGCAGAGAAGTAAACACCTTCTTAAGAGCCTAACATAGCCCGGTATTTTAAGCATCCGGATAAATATAATTAAATTTTCATCATATCGTGTTAATATGTAAAACGAAACCGATGTATTTCAATGTAAAAAACAATTAAAGATCACATCATTAACGGGCTTATATCATCCTTTTCACAGGAACTTTCGTGTGATCAAATAGTTTACATAATGGCGTCTCAAAACTACAAAATTGTATTCATGCATAACAACAGGCTAAGCTCCACTCCAAACTGACCGAAGACAAAGTAGTTGGTTGTCCTGAGAATTTGGCAAAATATGAAACGATCTCGGGGGAATGGAATTTCGAGAAAACTCGAATAAACTTCCCCAATTCCCTATTCGTATAATCAAAGACGCAGACAATGAGTGATAACCAGGGCCGAGTTGTTCAAAGCTGGGTTAAGATAACCCACGGTTTGTGCGAGATTTGAATTCAGATTTGAAAGCTTAAAAAGCCTTTCAGTTTTAATTCTTTTTGTCTACAAGTTGATGATTGAAAGCTCTAAATATAACAGAGAAAATTATCCGAGAAAATGCTTTTAAACACAAGAAAAAGAAACCCGGGTTAAATTTTGTAATATATTCACCTCAAATGAACAGAGGACACCGAGTCAAGTGAAAAATAATCAGGTCGTTTTAAATTCCTGTAACTCTGCAAACGAACTTCTTCCTCTTCTTCTTCTGAATCCAGTCTGTGTCAGTGGAACTTGGATTCTGGATTCCAATCGTTAGTAGGATTCCGGATTCCTTGAGCTTTATTCCGTATTCCAAAACCCAGGATTCCGGATTCCACAAGCAAACATTTCTGCAGTATATATGTAAGAGTAAACTTGTGACCGAGTTTTAGTGCGCCGAGCTACAATTTAGAGTCGGTGTAGTCTTCTACTAGGTTTATAGGGCTTTTCTCCAGTATGTGTTCTTTTATGTCGTTTTAGACTATAGCTGTCAATAAAGGCCTTGTCACACTCCTCACATGTGAATGGTTTCTCTTAGGTGTGTGTACGCTTGTGAAGATCCAGGCGAGCTTTCTGTTTATAAGCCATGGAATAGCGGTCACACTTGAAAAGCTTTTCAATCACATGTGCTTTAAGATTGTGTTTATCCTTAGTCGATTTTCTGGATGCAATGAAAGAACACTTTTCGCAACGAAAGATGTTGCAACCTCGTCCCCAGGGCCAGGGAAAAGCGCCCTGGGGACGAGGTTGAAGATGTTGCCCTGGCCAGGGTACTTTCTGGTGTGAATAAACCGTGAACTTCTTAATTTAAAGGTTTTTGAGCAATGGTTGCACTTGCACTGGAGCTCCACGCGCGCGAAGCGGAGCACCATGGGTAAGAAAATTTGGTAATCTACCCATCCGAGAAAATTGGTAATCACGTGACCGTACACCCGACCGACCGTCCGTCCGCACCACAGGCATATCAATGTAAAATAACTCAACCAACAGTATGGCAACCCAAATGCAACTCGAGTTTTTTTTGGCGGGAAATCGCATAGCCACCCGCGTCTTGTGAAGAAGAGACAACTAAAAAGTCAATAAAGATGAAAACGGAAAGCGGAAATTTTTTCTGTATCCGTGTTGTGTAAAGTATTTTCAAAGCTTAGATTAATTGTCATGTCCACAAATTTGGAATATAGGGAAAAATAAAGAGGGCGACAGGCCAGCGAAACTCAACGAGAAAAAGAGAAAAACAAACCTGTCAGAAGTGAGGGAACACGCTGTCGCGAATATTACTCTAGTTTTTTCTTCCTTGCGTTGCGTCAGTTCCGTCTCGTGTGGTCTAAACATATTCTCAAAGGTACAGAGATTTTAAAAGCTAGTACATGTATATTCGCTCTGACGTAGTAACAACCATGCCTGACCTTGCTTGACCAGGCTTGGATTTCGAGACTTCAATGGCTTTTACACTACAGAAAAATTGGGTCCAGACCAGTAAAAAATAAATGGCATGGTAAGGTAACAGTAACTGTGGTAAAGACATACAGGAGGTTTCGCAAGGCCACAGGCGCCTATGGCCCTGTGAAAATTCCAGTATTTCTTTACTAAATATACCGGTACCGTACTGCTTTTTTGACTCCTGGGGCCAGTTTCTCGAAATTCCCGGTAACTTTTCGGCCCCGAAACATAAAGAAAAAAGAGCGCGGTTCCTGGCTAGAAATCTACTCCATTTTGTTTTATTAACTGACAGTTTTATCATGTTAGATGCATGTAAACAACAACAGCTTTACGGGCCCTTTAATTATTGGGACTTTCGAGAAACGGGCCCCCGTCTGGGCCCGGTTTTTCTGTAGTGCCGAAACGCACCATTAAGCCGGCTACAAAAATGATTGAAATCTTATGTTAGTCTCGTAACAGCACTTAAATAATGAGTTGTCCGAGCAGTGACCAGTTTCTGCTAATTAGCCTTAATGTTGAATATTTGCTTAGAGCCACCCATGCGGAAAAATACTCTTCTTCGGCTTAAAGTAATTAATAGCGCGGCTCTCTCTCGCGCGAAGCGCGCTTCAGCGGAGCACCATGGCTAAGAGAATTTGGAAAATTTGGTGGTGACGTCAGCGTACTCCGTCCGTCCGTACACTCTTTGGCGTGATGGAAGGGAATCAGGTGTCAGCCCTTCGGGGGGAGGAGCTGATGTTATAAATCGTACAATGTATTTTTGTAAACCCGCGTTTTTCTCAACGCGCAAGTAAATTCCTGAACCGATCACATATTACCCACACGAGCCACCTTACCTTTACATCTGTCTTTCTAATTCTTCGCCAGTCCGCAGAAGGTCCATTTGATTAAGTAGTGGAGCTCATCATGCTCATCAAGTTTAGGTTCCTTGCAGAGGGTTTCTTGCAAGATGTTTTTTGACGGGGGACATTAGTTAAGAGCGACGGTCAGGAAATATCGACCGTTGAGTGGCAAGAGTTCAAAAATCGATATCCTTCATTTTTTGTCCATAAATAGCTTTTAGCTAGATAAATAATCTGAGGTAAGTCGTTCTCGCTAAAAGAATATCAGTTTTCATGATCGGAGTCTCAAAATGGCAGTATTTTCAACCGGAAATTTGCTAACATCAACTCTCCTTGCGTTCGCAAATAACGCCGCAAGGAGAAATTTGGACACTGTCCATCAATAGAACAACTCTTCCTCTTTTACTACAAGGTATTTCCAAAGCAATGTCGAGACTCGTTAATTCAAAAACGAAGAACAGGTTTTTACGGTGACAAAACTCTAATTCAGTAGTTGTTTTCTACGGCATTATTCTTCACGTGGTATAGCTCCAAATTTTCCCAGTCCTCGTTTATTCACACATTTAGACATTTATCTAAAACATACCTGAGAACTGGCTTGGGTTCCTGAAGGCAGCCTCCAAACGAAAGTATCGAAGTCCGGTAAATATAGTCAAGCGTGGGCAAAGTAACTTATGTGACGGCTCCAAGTTTCCTCGTTCGTAAAGTAACAAGACGAAATATCTTCCTGTTCCGTCATCCTTAGCGAATTACATTGTTCAGTCCTTATTTTTCGATAAAAAGTGAGTACCAGAGTACTAGCGCGTTTGATTTTTTTCTTCTTCAAAATACTGTCGGTATTGAAAATGTTCCTCTTTCAAGAATTGAGTTGCGTTACTACGTGATTCCGTGACTGTCATTTTGACGGCTTCGTGTCTTCAAACGTAAGTTATGTCACGTGCAGTCGCGAACAGATTGTCACGCAGAGTTGCCGGCTGGTAGGGTTCACTGTTTGGAAATGGCTAAAATTGACCTAGTTTCACCTTTTTACCCCACTCTTTGATTGAAAAAAGCAACTTTGCAAAGGGAAAACCTACAAAAAATACGAAAAACGAGCCTTTAGGCTGTAAATATCTACTTTTGTGCGTTTCGAAATTGGAAGTGTTTACACAATTACCGCCGGCCTACCATGAAAATTCCTGAACTTCGATGGTGTCTTATAGAGATTTCCTTCAATAACCCAAGCCATTTCCCAGGTATGTTTTAAATGAATGTCTAATTGTGTGATTTAAATGGCATTGAGAGAATTTGGAGTTATACCACGTGTTAAATATTGCCGTCGAAAATGAGTAATTATAACGAAATTAAGTTTTTGTTATCATGAAAACCTATCTCTCGTTTTTGAATTATTTCAGTACGACGAGCTTTGCTAATACCCTGAAAGCATCTTCTAGGGGAAGGAAAAGAATTTTTCTGATCATGGAAAGTGTCCAAATTTCTCCATGCGGATTCGTTTGCGAACGCGAGGAAAGTTGATGTTAGCGAATATATATCAGATTAAGAATTAGGGCAGTCTGAGACTCCGACATCGAAAACCGATTCTCTAATTTTTCTCACAGATAATAGGCTTCTGGCGGGAACAATCTACATTAGGTTTCTTATCTACCTAAAAAGCTGTCTATGAACAAAAAATGAAAGAAATTTATTTTTCAACTCTTGCCACGTTTTTTCCTGACCGTCGCTCTTAACTGATTATTGTGGTCAGCGGAGTGTCAAGAAGAGGACGCGCGCTATTCCTTAGCAACGATTGGCAACATCATTGGTAACAATCAAGAAGGAAAGCGTTCGACAGAGAGCGAACGCGACTGGGAAATTCTGCTTCTCAAAAATACTTTTTTCTTTTACTCCCGGGCGACAGTGACTCTCACTGGTCATGACATCTGAACTTCGCAACGATCTCAACCTGACATCCACAGGAAAAGCGCATTATTACCAGTCTGCTCATGGCTTTCCACCGGACGGCTTTCGGGTGAGTTACAATCTTTGCTGAATCACTGTCGAGCACGATTTAGTGTCGCACCTCATTGCCTCTCTTTTCTGGTTGTTTGTATTATCCAAAAATATCTCCAGATACCCTACTTTATAGTTTTAAGCTCCTTGCACGTAAATTTGCAGCTGTGATCATAAAAATGTACTCGATAGTCTATCGATAGTCTATCAGCGCGATTAGCTTTTGCTATTTCTGAAAGGGTGTGCTGTCTTTCTTTCACAATTATTTCCTTTTAACGACTCTACACTTTTGTATCAAGAGCACAATAAAGATTGTTGTCGTTGTTGTTGTTGTTCGGTCATGATGTTGCTGACATTGTACATCGTAATCGATGGCATGTGCACTCAATAAAACCGAGAGTAATTAAGAATAGTCGATAAAAATATATTTTTCGTGGAAATAAATCGAGATTAAACTTGATGGAATCAGTGATGATTATTGAGTTGATTTTATTTTGGAGCTTGATTTTTTTTCCACTTGTATTGAATAAAGGAAAACGTACTACTTAGAAATACACAGACTCATTATACTATTTAAATTTGCTTTATTTTTAGAGAACTGTTTATGATGTGTTGCCACCGGTACTTGGAAATCCAGATTATGTAACTGACAAAGACTACTTCCAAACAACAACTGGTACGACTCATGACTATAAAGCTCATGGAGGAACACTGGGTAACATGCTGTTTAAAAAGGCCCCTGGATCATGGAAAGTTCATTATGTTGAGGACAATATTGGAAAGGTATACTATCAAACTTCCCTAATGCAGAAACAAAAGGGACAGATCTCAGAATGGGCATTCATTAATTCAGAGGTGGCCCTATAGAGATAACTTCCCTAATAAAGATACCAAAGGGATGGACCCCAGTGTCCACGTTGATATGTTGAGGTGTCTGTATTAATATATATCTTAAGAGGTGTCCATATTGTAGAGATATAATAGATTATAGTTTAAGGTGCTGTGTCATGAAATTTAGCCAAATTAATTAGACACCAGGATTAGGTACCCAACTGCCATGATGAAACTTAATAATTGCTTAAAACATTCACAAAGGAGTTTTTGAAAAACATTTTAGCCTAAATGTTTTTTAAATTAACATGTGACTGTTGTTTTTTAATTCAAAATAATGCATATTTCATAGATAGGATTAGCCAGTGGTAGATTCAGATCTCCAAGTATAAAGTGGGGGGCTGATCTTTGAGATGTCCCTTAGATTAAAAATTGAAGAATTGGAAGGTGTGCCTTTATGATTAAATAATTTGTTGTGCAATTTTGCAATATGTTATTAATTAACAGCTGAGTGTCAAACCATGGAGAAGACCTCTGACCATGGGAAACCAGTGCAGTGAAATGAAGTCTCAGTACACAGGGAGACCAGGAGTAAATCTAGACACTGCTTACAATGCAGGCATACAACCATTCAACTTGGCTGATCACCACAGGGAGGGTAACAGTAAGGTATAAAAAGAAACTCTCCTTTTTTTGTTCCTCTGTATTGCATCACATAATTTCCTGGAAATTATCAAGCAACAGTTAGAGTGAATATTATAGTCTTGGTATTAGTGCAAGGCCCTCATGTTAGGGTAAAATTCCAACAAGCGACGTGGCCTTGAATATCAACATAACAGCTGAAATACAGTTAAAACTGTGATAATATGGACATGAACGCATGGCTTAATTCTACTGAGAATACGGTATGTGAAAAATTGGTTTTGAAATTCAGACCACTGACATACTGTAAATCCTCACGCATCGGGGAGCTTATTTATTTCAAGCCCATTTGGGGGCTTAATAGAGACTGGGGGCTTCTTTGATTTAGAAAAGACAATGGTATTTGTTCTCCATAAAGAACTAGTATACAAATGGAAAAGCTTAAGTACAAAAAGGTTGGAGGTCGTTCAGCCAAGGATCAGAGTCAAATCCGAACTTCCAGTTGGTAAATAAACCATCCTGGATCAGTCCACACAAATTTTTGAAATCGTGATTGATTAATACAGTCTATCATTTATGAGTGAAGAATCTTTAGACGGGGGAAGGGAGGCTTAATAGCAAGGGGGTTTTATTAACTTTCTTCCCCAGAAAAGGGGGGGAGTACTTTTTAGAGGGAGGTGGCTTATTTCAGAGGGAGTGCTTATAGTAGAGGATTTATAGTATGCACTAATTCCCCTCTCCTCTCCTAGTGTGTGGTCACCATACTAGAAATTTTTTCTTACGGTGACATTGCCATATATTATTTACAGGACCTTGTACCATCAACAATCAACAGAGGTATTGCAGGTCAAAAGTTTTATCCCAGGGATAGAGGGGTGTTGACCTACCACATGGACCCTTATTTGACCACAACACAAAAGGACCACCGAGCATTCACCAAGTAAGTTACAGTACTGTATCTGATTCCATGAGGCTTGTGTAGTGGGAAATCACCCTGAAATAGCATTAACCTTGCATTGGAAAAATGTTTAATTAAAGGTAAAAATCATTGCTTGTTTAATTAACACTTGAATTGAATTATTTTAAGAATTATGTGATTTCCTCAAATAAGTGTGAGATTGCACCATCTGTGGGAAATATCAGTATTTGATTTTCAACACTTGCAGAAATTATTGCCAATGAGCAAGCCGAGCGAAGACAGTCGACTTGCGAGGCGGCCAGCTTAATGCCATGCGAAGTATTGCAGCAGGCAGAAAAATTCTCGATCGTGCTGTGAAAAGTGTATAGTGTTAGATTTCATGTGTAGTTTCACGTGGCTTTTGATGACCTTTGTTGTAAACAAACCTTCAAAGTTCGGACATAGTTCTCTGCCACAATACTGTACTTGCAATATTGTACGAACTACAACTCACTATTTCAAGTTCGCGCTAACCTATAAATGTTATTTCCCTTTTGCTGTTTGAAACTCGACAAGTTTAAGGTTCAAAAATGTCTAAGCAGAAGAATAAGAGCGATTTTAAAGGCCAAGAGCATGGCAGAAATGTAGGAACGAGGGGTGCTTGTAGTGGAAATTCTCACCTCAGCAGCTGAAATGGTTTTATAATTGGAACTAAAACCAGTGACGTAGGCAAACTCTTTTTCTTTCATTGGCACTTAGCGAAAGCTACAACTAGTAATAATGTACACTTCTGGACCATTGTTATGAAATTGCAGTGAATATGCACAGCTTTATGTTGTAATTTAATTACATTTAAAGCTTGTGCATATCCTACAGCTATTTCAATGATTACATAACATTACCTTAAAAATCTGAGCCAGTTAGACTGAACTGCAGTAGGCAGACCTCTAGGCAGTATTAAATTTCATAAAACTTTTCTCAACATGGAGATGAAGCAATTTTTTTGGTAAAATATTACTGGCAACATAAATTAGTAATATCAGGATTTCAAAGAAATAACAGCTTAAGTCTCATATGATGCTATATCTTGTCTTGCAAAATTACACCATTGCGTAAATATATCAAAGCCCTTTGCCTAAGTTGGATTAGTATCGTCTTTTGATTTTCCACATATACATGCACGTAACTTTTTTGGACCAATTTGTTTTGAATTTGCTGTGAATATGCACAGCTGTATTGGAGTAATTTAAATTTAACTTCCTGGCATGTGTATATTTGCAGCCGTAATTTCAATAAATAAATTACATAAAGTTACATATTAAAGCTGACCCAATTAGACTGAACTGTGGTATGCATGTAATTTCATAAAATTTACTCAACACAGACATGAAGCAATTTATTCTTCTGTAAAAATCACAAAGTTAAACTTTTTGTGCCATGTGGTACTGGTAACGTAAAAGCAATATCAGGTTTACAAAGAAATAACAGCTACCCACTCAACCGTGCTGTCTTGTCATGTTGTGTCACCCATTATAAAATATCCAAAAACAATTCTAGCCTGTGTAGATGGGGGAATTGTTTTTGCCTGTGTTAGAGTTTTGGAGACGAAGCCACCATTTTCGTGACTATTCTAGTTTAGGTGAGAAATTCCAAAGTTCCACCCAATGCGCAGTCACCACTTCGTAGCTCCTCTGGCAAAACTTTGCACATGCTAACAATCCCAATGGCTATGCTGGCTACTTTGATTCAAACAGCTGCCATGTCAGTGGTGGATCTAGGGGAGGGGCCAAATATTTTTAGACCAAACTGAGGCCCGGAGGGCCAAAAAAGTTTTTTTTGAGGCATCCCCTTATCTCAGGGCCTGGATGAAACCTCCCCCTCCCCCCTATCTGAATGTCTGGATCTGCCACTGCATGTAGTACATCTTTGTATATGCCACCCCTTGGAACTTCCATTTGTGATGGAGAATAGACTGGACGATGACACACCCCTAAAATTTGACATTCTTTGGCAGCTGGGGTAGAGTGGAGTGTGGAGGCAGGGGGCAGGGGCATAATTACTCTAAAACACTAGAAAGGGAAATATGCCATTAATGCAAGATGTGTAAGATTTGTGTTTGCTTTTTCTCAGCTGAGCACAATTATTGTATGCTAATTAACCAACTATCTCAAGAAGACGATGAATTTCTCTCCTGCTGAAATATTTTAAAACAAAGTACTGACAGTTGAACCTCCATTATTGAAGTGGCCACCTATTAAGTGGCCCCCCCTCTATTAAGCGGCCAGTAATCAACGTCCCGAAAATTAGGGAGCTTAAGTAACGGCGATGGCAACGAGAACGGTAAAAAGCAATGGGTTTAGATTAGCAAAACAACAACTTTGCACGTGCATCACGCTTTTTTGCACATTTCTTTGCCGTCACTGCACGACTACTACATGAAACTGCCTAATTTCACGTTTCAGCGACTTTCCTTTTCTTTTCCTGAACTTTGATACAGTCTTTTGGGATTCAACTCCAGAAAAATTTGCCAACATTTGACGAATTGAACGAGCTGGAAGTTTGATGGAGCGCGAATTCACTTTTTACGTGACGTTTTCGTAGCCGTCGCCGCCGTTGTTGCTTACGCTCCCTATTTAAAGAAAGGAGTGGTAACTCTACTAATCGGCCACCTCTTAGCCTCCCACGCAGACGTTTTTAGGGGATCGTCACGCGTTCCTGCCCCACTAACTTTTAGTGGGGCAGGAACGCGTGACGAACCCCTAAGAACGTCTGCGTGGGAGGCTAGCCACCCCTATCCTCAAGTAGCCTGCGTAGCAGGCGCTTGGAAGTAGTGGGCGAAAGAGAGAACGGACGCGCGCGAGGGACTTCTCTCGCGCGCATTTTTTCTTGTGCCCACTACTTCCAAGCGCCTGCTACGCAGGGTAATCCTCAAGCGGCCTCGGGCTTCGGCCACACCTTTTGGTCGTCCCAACGAGAGTTTTTCTATTATTTTTACCTCTATTAATGGGCCATCAAGCGACTGATACTCTTAATTTAGCTTTAGCTTATTATCAAGGAAAATAGAGTCCGTGATAGTAGGTGAAGACTGATTTTGGACCCGTAATGCTGCTCCTGTCGCGTGTTTGTTTCATTGATGAAAATAAATTGATGTTTCTGCTAAGGATTATGATGCTAATTTCAGTCTGACGAACCTCCATATATAAAGCAGCCACTTGCCGGTACCCCCAGGGTGGCCGCTTAATGAAGGCTCAACTCTATTTTATTAGACCCTCAAATGTTTGTTTCCATTTTTAAACAGGCACGAATTAGGACGTTATCCTTCAAAGGATTATGCGACTTACTGGGAGTGCGAAGAGTACACAAAAGCGTGGGGCCATGGCTCCAAGGAGAACCCACTACCTCCAAATTCTGTTCCTCGAGAAAAAGGACCCATGAGGGACCGTATCTGGTTTAGAGAACCCACTACCATTCCTAGGTTACCTAAGTCACTCAGTCCTGTACCTAATAAGTAAGTGTACACATTGTACGTTGTGTAATAATGCTATGGTTGCACCATTTTGATGAAGGGTGTTCTTTGGTATTACAGCAAATCCTAAGGTTTTATACTCTCTTTAGACTTACCAACTTAAAAATACGTTTCTGTCTTTTTTGTATACATCAGAGTTGCTTGTTGTCTCTGTTCTTCATTTCATGGGCAAAAGTTATTTCCAGTTTAGTTTGCCAAGATTTGCTGCCCACCACTGTAATTTTTCTACGTGTGGTTTACATCAGTTTGTCCACACCAACCCCTGTTTTTCCAACCCGCGGTAAAGGGTTCTTGTTTGAGAGTCGTTTTTGCTTTTAACGTTTTCGATTATTTCCCACTTTGACCAACGCGGGGTATACGCCACTTGCACATCTTCCATAATGCACCTTATTTGCTTCCCAAAATTTTGCACAACCTTTGTTTTTTCATTTCTCCTGGGTATTACAGCCGTCCTAAGAAAAATTGAAAACAATGCTTATGCAAAAGTTTTTGGTGCAAATAAGGTGCATTATAGGAAATGTGCAAGTAGCTTATCGGCAACTGTGATTTTAGATTCGGAATCAGGCGCTTATAGCAAAGAGAAGAGAGGAAGAGGGTGACTCCTGTTACCCCCGTTGTAGGCTACATCGCAGTTTCAGCGTATCTTGGTCTTCACGCTAAAACGTATCAGACCTGTAAATATTCTGCCACATCGCCGTTTTTAGTGTCGTCACGCAACGCTCCTCCTTTTTTATATATATTTATCCATTGAAAGGCGTTTTCGAAGAGATTTTGATCTGAAAGTTAGGTGTAAGTTTTGTCACTTGTGTAAGTGGGGCCTCTATAAGAGTGTTTTCCGCACATTTATAAACAAAAACTGGAGATTGCATGAAAGTTTCCTTGTTACATAGAGTTACAATAAACGAAAATGAGTGACGTAAGTGGAGCGGTACGAAAGAACGAAAAATGAAGGACGGAGACAACTATATAATTGCTCTACCACTGACCGCATTACTGCCAGCAGTCGCTGCGTTTAACAAGAAGTTACTCGACCTCGCGCTCGCCATGACTATTGTCTCTTGTTGTTTTTTGTTCTTTCCGGGAACTATAAAGGATTGGAACGTAATCCCTTCTACGATTAGAACAGGAAGTCATTCAGTCTTTCTTAATTACCTTAACTATAATTTTAAAGTTTTTCGCAACATTTTTCTTTTTTCTATTTTTGTTCTTATTTATCTCTTTTCGATGCAAAAGCGTTAAAGAGTATGCCTAGAAGTAGAACGTGTGGCTCGAGTTGGGCCTTATTAGCTATCATAAGTGGACAAAAGAACAAACTCTTCCCCTCTTTTCTTTTGAAGAAAATGCAAGGGAGAGCTTTAATCACTGCTGAATTCTCAGTTTGATCATAAATGCCAGCCCTAACACACATTGTTTTCGTTTTAGGGGAATGAAAACGCTGATGACCGAGTCGTACACGATGCCACTCGAAAGAAAACGATGGGAATTGTTTAGCTTGAACGTACCGAAACCATGGCATGCTCCTCTTGAAAGTAAGAGCCTTTCATTATGAACTGCGGCCTATTTGGCATAAAATTTCAATGCGCGAGCGAAAGGAGACACACGCGCGTCCGCTGAGTCTCCTCGCGAGAGGCGATCTCCCCGCGCACACTTTTGCGAGAAAAGCTGCCTTTGCCCACCTCGCATAGTAATTTTCTTCACTCTTTTCTCACTCTCTCAGACAAACGTAAACGAGTTATATTGAGTTGTGTATCTAAATAAACATAGTCTCGACTTCAAGATGCATCGCCGTGTTCGCGCACCTTTAAATCCCGATTTACGTAGGCTAACATGTTTAAAATCAGTATAAAGGACACCTGTTTCTGTACTTGATAAGTAACTGAATTTTTTTCCCCTTTTTTGCTCTCTTTGTGTAGGTCCCGGTCCAGGAGAGACATTCCGAGTACCCCGGATGTACAACACCGAATACCAGTTCTACGGCAGCGAAAAGCCTGTCACAGTTTGACTGAACATAAAGGCTAGTAGAAACGCGCGATATTGTTGTCTTTTTACGTGTACATCTTACGATGTGGAAAGGGAACATCAGTACCTTTTTTTCGTTTTTAAAAAATCTATCCGAATATAAATTTTTTCTGGCTGGTGGACAGGAAGTTGGGGCGAGGATGTTGGTTTTGGGGCGGGGAGGGGGTAACGAGGGGGGCAGTGTTGGAGGCGACGGAAAATCAATATTGAAAAATCTTGATACTTTCACTTGATATATTTTATTAATTATTGATTTTCTGTAATTAACAATCCGTACGCCAAAAAAAACCCCATAAGATTAGGAAATAGTACCAAAAAAGAGCACAAAAAGTGAAAATACTGCTGTTTGTTTTTGTATATGGTACACACCGAATCGAAAGAAATACAACTAGGATTTGGTCTATATAACGGACATCTATTGAACGTGAGAGTGTTATTAATAAGAGCGGGTATTACATCTTAAAGATGTGTGCTTTTCTCTCAATGCTTTCAACATTTCCCACTGTCCAAGAGTTTTTCGTTTTCTTTTTTCACGAAGCAAAAAAAGGTGCTGTATCATTGCTGTAAATAATAATTGAGAAAAAAAAATAAAGTTGTCGTTTATTTATTAATAACAGACTGAAATTATGGATGCTTGTTGATTGGTCTTCAACTCTTGCACCTTCCTGCAGCATGTGGTCGTATATACGGTGGAAACCCGCTCCACGGACACCCACTTAATACCGACACCCGTGTACAACGGACAGTTTCAATTGTACCGAAGAAATGCTCATATCTTTTCTCTGAAATTAACCCGCTTAACACTGGTTATCTGCGCACTATTTATGACTGAATATCTTACCTGCGAAAACCTAAAAGAAAGACTGAAAGTTGCCATATAACATTTAGCCCATCTGGCTGAGTCGCAATGAATGCGTTATGGCAAAGTAAACTAAGGTCACGGATTCCATTGTCGTATTTTAAGGAAAGAATTTTAGTCTGAGACTGACAGATGATCGCGAGTTTTCTCCAGAATAAACTTGTTACAGTTACAGAGAAGAAATGAAGCGACGTTTTTCCGTAAAAATATCATTGTGTTTTAGTCTAAACAGTTAGATATGTTCCGTGGCATTTTTTTTCTGAGAACCCCCTTAATACGGACACTTTTTCCTATCTTCGTTAAAAAACACTGAGTAATAACAAAAGGAAGCAGATTGACAGTCGGAACAAAGCCTGAATTATAAATTAGTGGTTTATTCAAAGGTATAATTAATGTATTTGCAATTACATTTACATGTACTTTCATTTGATAAACTGATTTACCCTTTCAACTTCACGTGACACTACACATGCATAATTTTGTGTTATTTTCAAAACTAAAACGAAGTGAATTGTATATACCGGTTTGACGCTCAAAAGTATGCACCGACGACAAATTTGTGAAATAGAATTTGCGTTTTATGTACACTGTTTGACAGTCTGCTTTATTGAACGGCTTATTGACCACGGTATACTTGTCTGCGAGCAAGCTCTCTATTTTTTATGGTGGCGAGTAACGTGAGCTATACGAGACCCTTCTCTCACGCATGCCACTAGTGCGTGGTTTTTTACTGCGAGCTTTCCTGCAGGCAACTGTATACGAGCCATTGCTACGAGCAATCCCGTGAAAAAGCGACCATTAATTCACTTTTTCTTTCTTTATCCTTTTTTCTTCCTCTTGTTCTTCTTCTTTAAAAAATGAAATTTAATATGAAAATGTATCGATATACTTCCACCCGCGCTTAAATAACATAAATATGAGAATGACTGTATATGAAACGATTGCAGCCAGGAAATAATCAGTGTTGATAAATGAATGGAGGTAGACATGATCGAGATGATACTTGCGTAAGGATTGGCTATCAGCCTAGCTTGAAAGGTAGAGTTTCAGTCGTTGCCCTTACAGCGGAGGGGTTTTCCTCCTCTTCGTGTTTCCGCCACTTAAATTCAAGTTCTGAAATTATGTCCTTCAGGGGCGGATCTAGGGGGAGGGTGCAGGGGGTGCGCACCCCCCCTCCCCCCGAGATGACTTGCGGTTTTTTAATACAACTGGTATTCTGCAAAAAAAAAGAACTATGTGGTTTATTGGTGTTGAAGTAGAGCAAGAGACGAGTGCACCCCCTCCTAAAAAAAACCCGTGGATCCGCCCCTGTCCTTCCAAAAAAAATACTTTTAAATGTTTTCGACGATAGAGCCTGAAGACAGAAACTATAGCCCTCGAAGGAAAGAAAACCAGCACCTTAGATTACATCTATAGCTCACAGTCATCTTGACCTAAAACTTGGCTTTCACGCCATAAATTATTTACAATTCAATTATAACGTGGTCTTGATAAAAACGTTGGTGACTTTAAAATAAGTATCGAAAAGACAAACTTGTTATAAACTTGATTGAGCTGATTGAGTAAAAGTATAAAATGAAATAATCAGATAAAGGCATTTAAGATAAGTTTGGACGACTAATGAAAGTTCCGAAAAAGTAGTAGTTATAAAAAGAATATTTAAAAGACTTGGATCCGGTTATTTCCACTATCCACTACAACAATATTTCCCTCCTTAGTTACTGCTATGCCACAGGGGTTCTTGAAACAGCCTTCATCTTCACCAAAGGCGCCAAAGGTGTTCACAAACTCGCCATTAGAATTGAACACTTGTATCCTGTGATTGTGATAATCACAGACCAAGATGTTGTCCTCGTCGTCACAGGCTACTCCCTCAGGGCCATCGAATAATCCGTTCTGGGATCCTTCAAAAAATAAATATGTTCTGTCTTAAAAGAAGATAGAAAGAGAAGGTATTTTTCTTTTGAATAATTTTCCTAATTTATTTTCGCAATCGAGGTAAAATAAAAAGCTTTGATTGCTCAGAGGCCAAGAAACGGGACTAACATTATCGCTGCTGATTGGTTGAACATCTAGTGATCACGTGCAAGGCCCTGTTGCACCATGCTCGTTTTGGCGGGAAACTTGGCTGGCTCTTGGCGAAAATTTGAACAAGATTTGCTCGCAGCTTTGCGTTGGAGTACGTTTGTACGATGAAGATATATAAGGATAGAATACTCGAATAATACCTAAAAGGGACCTCGTAAAGATAAATGACGGTGACTTAGGCTTACAGCAAGTGAATATTTGCCTACATGGAGAAATTAGGCGACTAGCCTTGTGCGAGTTTGAAGATTACCGGGGAAATTCATTCACAGCGATTAAATGGCTTCCTGCATTCAGATGAGTATTCGTTTTGTTACGAGACCGAACGACAAAAAAAAGAACCCTGTAGTCCTGGAAGAAAGCAGTGGTATCGCCAGGCTTGCGTACTAGTTTGGTGTGAAGACCTGTCGTCAGGTCGTTGCATTTTATGCAGTCGGCGAAATGTCACAACATCACAAGTCATAGAAAGGTAAGCTTATCATTTGCTTAAAATTGCGTAACGTGTGTTTTTGAGAACTAACATTTCGACTCTACAGTAAGCTGAACAACTAAGTAACAGTCGGTCATTTTATTCAATCTACACCTCAGCACTGCCTTTGCTTTTCTTTTAATTGACATAAAACTTTGCACGCGACATTCATTAACTTGCCAACGCTCATTTAAAACCTGCATAATAGGGCATTCACGTGCGTGCAAAATTGCTTCTTTTTTACTTTTTGTTATTTTTAAGTTCTAGTCTATAATTTCCACTTGATTCAAAAGTTAAAATAAATGATTTTGCCTAGAAGAAACGCTTGGTTAGTATATGTATATTCAAAACGAAAAACAATATTAACAGTTACGACTTAGGGATATTACGACTTACAAATATTTCGATACGTTTACTTCCTTTTAAGAAATTGGCGTGTTTATAAAGCTTAGTTTCAACAATATGTAAGAGTTGATTTAGCAAATTAAGGAGGATGAGTTTTGCTGACTGAACAGTCAACTCAGAAGACAGCGGTTGCTCGATGAAAGGGAATCAGGGAAATGTTTGCTTGTGCGATCCGGAATCCTGAGCTTTGGAATCTGGAATACAACCGAAGGAATCCGGAATCCCACTGAAGACTGGAATCCAGAATCCAAGTTTCACAGAAAAAGACTGGAATCAAGTAGCTGGAACCCGGAATCCACGGCGTGGAATCCAGAATCGAAGATTCTATTGGATTACCTTACAAGGGGCGACAAGTGACCTTTTGAAGAAGGGACCACCTTAAACTGAAATGACAGAAAAATTCATTGTGTACGTATAAGAGAAAAATTTAAGCCAATCACCAAATACTTTCATTCTCACGATTGTTCAAAATTGTCAGAGGACTGCAACACTCGCAAAAACCATGTTCACTAGTCCAGTACCTTTTGGTAATTTGGTAAGGAAGCTTCTTTATAGGGGTGGTTGACTCTTTTTTATATACGGAATTACCAATCATCGTCATTAAGGTTACCATCATCATCACCATATTTATTGTTGTTAAGCCCTACCTTCCTTTCCAAAGTCTGACAGACATTTTCCTTCCATATCAAATACTTGAATACGATCATTGACACAGTCTGCCACAATGATTCTTCCCCTCTGATTCACGCTTACGTGATGTGGGTATATGAATTGTCCCTTAGAAAAGCCTTGGGATCCAAATTGTCGAACCGGCTCCCCATTCATGTTAAACAGTTGCACCCGGTGATTGTCTTGCTCCGAAACTATCACCAGTTCTCCGATGCATTCCACACCGCACGGATGATTCATGAGGCCTGGTCGTTCAACTCCGAAGCTACCAAACTTCCTGATAAAGCGACCGTCCTCGTTGAAAACTTGTACTCGGTGATTGTTGAAGTCAGCGACCATTATGTGCCCATTAGAAGCTTTAGCTACTCCTTTGGGGTTTCTAAACTGGCCTTTTTCCGCCCCCTCTGCACCAAACTTGAACATAAATGTTCCTTCAAAGTCAAAAACCTGTACTCGATGGTTGTTGCAGTCTGTTATAATAAGATGATGATTTTCTTCGTCAATAGCTACGTCCCAAGGCATGTTAAATTCACCTAGAAAGAAAGATAATCAGATGTGAAAACCATTTAAGGTCCTTAATACTAAGGGACTGTGCAATAATTATCAGGAGGGGGGCCCTAAAACCAGAGGGGGGGGCATTACATAAAATTGCTGCCAAGATAGGGGGGGCTCAAAGTAAAATCACTCATTTGACGGAGGGGGGGGCCTTAAGTTTTATTCGAAATGTAAATAAAATTAAACGCAATAAAAGATTCTCAATACAGGCATCATGATAGACTGTAACAAATATCAATACGAACAGCTGTTAAACGATTATTGAAAATATTCCATCAAAATGAAAAGCAAATTCACAACTGATCAATTTTAACCCGTCTTCTAATTAATTGAGCTGATCCTATGTAAAGCAAAAATCATGAACTTGTTTTTCAGCTTCCCCCATAAAACAATGGGAATCAAACAGATCTCGTAGACAAGCTTTGTCGGTTTTTGATGTGAATAAAAGTAATGTTTCTTCATCGACTGAATCGATTTGCAGAATTCCATATATATGTGGCTCATAACAAAGTTCAACTGGCTCTCCCCTCAGGGATCTAAATATAATGCAAGCTCTTTTTCGTCTGTTATTTGAAGCGTTCAATCTCCTGTTCTTTGATTTTTTTCTCTGCTCCTTTATCTTTCTGGCTTCAGAAATTTTAGATTTTGAGCCAATGTGGTAAGCACCCCGGTACTTAGCAAATGCTTTGCCTAAATCTTCAATCAAGCGATCAACATCCTTCTCGATACTAGATGTTACATAATAACGTTTGTCATTATTGAAGCTGTGATGGCAGCTCAGTCCAGTTTTGAGTTTACCAGTGTGGTGGGAGGGGGGGTGCGACGTTATTTTTAACATAACAGAGGGGGGGTTAGAACTAATTTTTTTTGTTTTGGAGGGGGGGTACTGTCTAAGTTTTTGCTAGCTAACTCTAGTTTTTCAGCCCTCCCTCCTGATAATTATTGCACAGTCCCTAACTAAAGAAAATCAACATAGTCCTCCCTCCTTCGTAACTTAAGTTTTTAAAACATTTAGTTGCATGTTAAAGAGCAAAATTCAATACAGTAATTATTCCGTCTGGCCAATCGCAACAGATGCAGGCAATCAAATGAACCAAAACATGTCTTCAAAGCTAATTCATGCAGGTGGCTTAGGGAAAAAAAAAAGAACAAAAAAACTTGATTCCTTACTGATTGGTTGAGCGACTCACAGATTATAGGGGCACAAAACAAAGAACTAGATTGAAATTTATGTCATGTTTTCTTACCTCCTCCAGTCCCCTCGCAGCCAAAGCACGCCATGACCTTTCCAACCTTGGCAAAGTCCATTCTGCCAGTCACATTGACACTGAAAGGACTTCCGTTGATGTTGCAATTTCTCATAGTAATCGTGATCTGATGGTTTCCTCTTACTATTGGCTGATAAGACACGGTGTGAGTTCCGTCTTCATTGTCTATGACAGAAACTGAGACGAAAGAGAACGTTTGAGTCTTAAATCGGCAAAGGAAAGCGCGTGCGCGATTAAGCAAGAGAATTAAGGGTCTGTAAATGAAAGCCAACCTCTCAGTGTTTTAGCAATCATAATTTTATTGTTTTTAAAAACTGTATTATGTCGCAAAGATTGAAAAGATTTATTATAGACTTGAAACGACGTTGCTCTGACTCGTATATTCAGCGAATACTCCAAGAGAAATACCTACTCGGGACGGGATCTCCCTCGGGTGGCTCAATCTCTACACTGATCGGTTCCCCTTTACCGCTGTATATTTCATTCATCCTGTCTTTTGCAGTGACAAGAAACACAGCTTCCAAGCCTGCCTTGGCGCGATGAATTCCAACACCAGTGGCAAAGCAGTAAGGTGGATAGGCGTGGTAAACTTTCACCTCTCCGATGTGCTCGATTGCCTTTCTAAAATTGTCCGTGGAAAACGTGTAATCGATGAGGGCATCTTCCAATGGCAAGTACTCCAATTTCAAATTGTTTAGTTCATGCAAGCGTTGTGTCATCTGTTTCTTTACAATCATCACTTCTGCTTCGTTACCGTGTCTAAGCAAACTTTCCGTGAAATCGATGCTGCTGTTTAGATTGCCTAACATTAGCTGAAGCTCCTCGACTTGTATTTCTAGTGTTTTTGACTTCATGCGGTACAAGTTGTTAACTTGAGTTAGTATTTCTTCTTCTCTCTCTTGGATGACCTCTCTGCAGCGCTTGCAGTTCTGATTCACCTCTTGCCTTACTTCCTCCAGCTTGTAATCTAGCCTTTGTTTCGTTTCGGTGACTTTCTCGATGGCCTCCTTAAGTGGACCGATTCTTTTCTTTGTGTTCATGACCAACACACCAACCTAAGTAAACAGAAACCAGAAAGAAGGGAGAAAAACAATTTATGTTACACGATTGAAAGAATGAAAAAATAAATCAAAAGTGCATTGATAGCTAATAAACTACTGAATGAGTGAAAAATAAACGATTGGACGTTTATACTGGCTTAGAGACGCGTTATCACATTGCTCTCCGTCTGTAACGAGAATAATGGGCAAGTTAAGTTGGCCTTCTCTGAGATACCTTTAAGGCTATCAATGGTATCGACATTAAAAGATTTGGTAGACTGTTCACAGTCCACTATTTTCCCTTAAGATCGTCGAGATCGAGCGCTTTGCGTTACGGGCTGCCATTTTGCATGAGTGTCAAAACTACTTAGGGGCGGGGGGCGGTTTGGGAGGAAGCGAGAAATATTTTTCTCGCCCCCCTCCCACTAGAGCTATAATCCCCGACGCCCGCCCCCTCAGAACATTTAAAAATCAAGATGGCCGCCATTAATGGTAGGACGCGCTATATCTCGACGATCTCACAGAAAAATAGGGGACTGTGAACAGTCTAAAGATTTAGAGTTACAGTCAAACCCTGCTTAAAGGACACACGTTTAATACGGACGTCTCATTATTACGGGCAGTTTGCTGTGTCCCTGGGGAAAGGAAGCCCTTACATTTTCTCTGAATTCCACCCGCTTATACGGACACCCCGTTAATACGGACACTTTCTATGACCCCCTCAGTATCCGCGCGTATTAACCTGGGGGTTTGACTGTATCGTCGAAAGTAGTAACCATTTACATTTTAGGTAAGCAGGGGTGGTTAAGCTGGAAAAAATAGAACCATTTGTGTCTCCAACGTTACATCTGACGCTGAACTAACAGGTGTGGCTATTTACTATACCAGGTCTATACCAAAAGCTATACATGATACTGGATGTGTTCCGAAGAAAACATGGGAGATTGAAAAACTCAAGAATTTCTTGACTGGAAGGTGAGTCTTAAAGGGCCTTTTGGTTCATAATGGGGCCTTACTAAGTTTATTAACTTCGTTTACACGTGCTTGGTTAATGGTTAAATAAAATTTTATAAAAGTTAATTATGCAAAAGGTGAATTTAATTTGAGTAGCACCTGGTATGTCATTATAATACTGACAGAGGTAAAGCTATAATCACTAAGGCAAGGGGGCATTGCAAGTCCAGCTTAGAAGCATGGAAGCTGGACTGTAATACTTTTATAAGATAAAGGCAATTTAAGTTTCTTTACAAACACAGTGGCAATTACGGTGCTCATGCATCTTAATTTGCTGGACGAACCCAATTATGATTTACGAATAAAAAGCCATACTTTCCTACTTTATGGGGAATTCCAGCGGAGATGGAAATTTAAGCAAAATTGTTATATTTAAAGCTGAAGCCACCATTATTTGGAGCGTTGCTCCGATCACCCGGATGTATGAATAGATGAAAAGAAATACTTTCAGGGAAATCGGGGTTGGGGGGATGGCTAACAATGAACTTAAATAAACAAACAATGTTAGATCAGTATTCGGTAAAACGAGCTGTTAATGTTAACTTGAAAACGAACTCTCTTTGCGACCTTTTTAGAAATAAATTGAAGAAATATAAACTAAGAGACTAAATAAATGGTAACTATAAGTTGAAATAAAAAGAACGAATTCTACTTTTAAGTAAATTAAATTGACCATTGAAAATTAATTACCATTGAAAAGTGTTTTTAGCATCATTGGCGACCCTTCCAAGAACAAATCAGCTTTTGAAAAATTCTGTTCATCATTTAACCTACGGCTGGTATAACATTTCCGGACCCTCAATTTCGGATTTTCTGTCTAAAGCGTTCATGCATAAAACATATTTACTCTAGGTGTATTAACGTGCTTTGGGAGTATTTCGATGTGACAATATGCTGTCAGTCAACATTCCAGAGGTTCGTTAAACAATAGCCAGCTCTAGTTGCTCTCAGTTTAAGTAGCAGTTGAAATTTCAAAGGTTGTTTAGTAGAATATCCCTTATTCTATCCAATATAAATGCACTCTAAACCCAAAGGCTTACCTCGGAACGATGTTTCTTATCCACGTCTTTCAAATAACCATAGTGATGTTCTCGGTGTTCGATAATCAGGCATTCTCTGCAAACAGGTTCATCGCAAGTCTCACAAAAGTACTTCAACACCTCTCTCTCGTGCACTGTGCAGAGAAGGGGCCGGTGCAATTTTTCCTGGACTTCTTTCTGTGCTTGCAAATCATTTAAGGCGATCACCTCGTGTTCTTTGGTCAAACGTGTTCTGCGATGCGCTGCAACGCATTGGGCACAGAGGAATTCCATGCACTCTATGCACCGCGAGGTGGCTCTGTTCTTCTCCTCACAGTTAGTGCAGATGACTGGATCGGAATTACTTTTGGCCACAGAAAGGAAATCTAACATGTTGTTAATAAAGAAGTTGGTCGACAAGGCTCCGACGCCATCTTTGGGGACGGAAACTTCACAACGACATGTTGGGCATACGATGCTGTTTTCTCCACTGTGAATGAGTCCCTGAAGGCAATGCTGACAGAACGTGTGCAAGCATGGAAGGACTTTGGGGGTTGTGTACGTTTCCAGGCAGATAGGGCATTTAAGAAGATGTTCTGAGAGTTTATCAACCTCCACGGAGGCCATATTCAACGGGAATGGCAAACACCTTGTAAACAATTCTTTTCCTTCGTATTACTATGGAATGGCCGCAAAATTCGCTGCTGCATTCACCATGTTTAGAACAATTTCTTGAGATGTCTTTCGATCGCGGTGTTCATTCAAGTCGTCCAAGCGGAATACAAAGCCTACGTTTCTAAGTGATCTCGAAGAGAAAATTTTACACGCCCTTACTAAACATATTTTGCGCAGTAGAGGACCTAGAAAAACAAGCGGACGTGAAATGTGAGTTTGGCCACCTGCTACGGCACCTGTTTTACATCGCTGGTTTTCCGCCAATCGATTTAGAATAGTTCACTAATCGATAATTGTACGAACCGTCTGCTTCCAGCTATCTATCAATCTTTTGGACTAAAGGAAACAGAAGTAGATATACTTCAGCAAGAAACGAGCGAAGGGGATATGCGATTGAAGATACTCTACACATCTGTCATATCACTATTGATTTAAATTTGCTACCAACGAATCGATCGTTTTTCGACCGTGTGCTACTCCTCTCCTAACTACTGTTTGATTATTTTGGACTTCAGAGTCCAAAATGCAAAACAGTGAAGCAATTGCAAGGCACGAGCCACGTCGCTACACGCGTGTAAGCACACAATACATCCACATTCATATTCATTATTCGCCTTCGACTGCAATTTGATACTTATCGGTAAATATGTATCCGATCTTGTGCCACCAGCGTGCTATTGTTGAACGAAACTGAGAAAGAAGCACAGTTCCGGACATAAACAACTCTCATGCTGTAAACTACCGCTTATACAGCTTCGTAAGGGGTTACAAACGGGGGACTTATATGAGGGGAAAGGGGCGGCGCTCATTCGTAGCCAGGACTATAAAAGCGTTTCAAAACAAGCTTCATAGCAGTGCTGATCAAAATACTTTTTGAATTGACTGACTTTTTAAGCTTCAAACTGTCGTACAAAATCGAATTCCTTTTCACACAAGCTAGAGGAGGGCTTATATCCTGAGGACGCTTATAACCGGGTGTATTTTTTTGGTTACAGGTAGATGTAACTGAACTTGGGGCTTATAACTGGGGCTGCTTATAAGCGGAAGTTTACGAAATCAGATTCACGTTCACTTTGAGGTTTACATGGTCTTGTAAATGATATACGCAAAGCAAGGCGATGAAATAATATTTTCTCATTGACTGAAAATATGCACCTGAGCATGCTATATTTCGCATTTCTTTCTAGTTCTAATTGCCGCATTTTCGTTTGAAATTTAATAAGAAAAACTTTAATTGATGCTTCGCCTTCCATCGAATGTCTACACCAACAAATGACATAAAAAAGCCACCCGTTTGTCTGGCAGATGTCCAACACTAAGTGCTGCACATTTTAACAAATAACAAGGTGCTAGACTGCATATTACATTTGCTATTGTAGCTTGAGAGGATTGAACCATGCAAACTGCGGCCGAAAGATTTTTTATTTCGATCTTTGCTACTTCTTTCATCATGAAAGGTAAGGGAAAGTAGATATCACCCTCCATTCCATTTTTACATACACCTCTCTTAAAGCGAACTGCAACTACTTCCTTTTATGTTTCTTATAAGGTCTTCTTGTGGCAAATGTAACTTGCAAAAGCGAGTATAACCTCCTGGAGGAGTTGTTTGACTCTAAGAGGTATAACAAACGCGTGAGACCAGTGACGAACAGCCAAGATGCAGTCACAGTAACCTTTGGATTGGTTGTTAAAGAGATAGAAGATTTGGTAAGGAGTCTTTATACACGCATAATTTTTGGCTTTCCCAGAAAAGATCGTTTCTTAGCGCAGTTGGACGATTCACCTACAAAAGACGAACTCAGACAATAGGGACACCGCTTCAGTCATAATGGGGTATTCAAACTCCAAAAAAGGCCCAGCTCTTGCTCCCCGCACTATACCTGAAAAATACTTTAAGCACTACTACTACTTCCGCTCGCTACAACCACTACCACTACCACTGTCCCATTCACTAGCACCACTCTTACTACTATGATTACCACTAACACTACAGTAATACTAACACTAAGAAACAGTCACTAACGCTACCAACAACATTAACAATACTTCCACCACTAGCACTTTTAATAACACGACCACTAATACAGGCAATACCATTGCCACTATCGACACCGTTACTGATATATATTACAAGTATTGCTAACACTACCACCATCCTTACCGTTAACCACTACAATTATTAGAGCTGATAACTATGGCAATTTCTCTTACCATTGACACTTCAATACCAAGTAAAAGTACGCAATTAAATGTGTTCTCAATGATTTTGTGACAAATAATAATGGTGGGTCCGGTATGGGACTCATCTTGTGAAAACTCATGAGTCCCAGTTAAAAAAAAGACCGAGTCCGACATTGAAAATGCTTGGGCCTTTATGTTTAACCAGAGAGTTAATCTGAAGACGGACTCCAAAACTCTCTTTCACAGTACACTGAAATTAAAATATGGTGCTTTTATTTTTAAAGCACAACAAAGGCTCAAAGAAATATGCATCGTTCAACAACAGCCATAATAACTACCACAGAAATTACACGAACGGGAAATTTCTACAAATGCACATGTTCAGATCGATCGATCGATCTTTGCGTCCTACGGGACGCATGCCATGAATTAATATTTTACATCTTTGGGGATTTTTATGCATCAGGGACGCAGGACGCAGAGGTAACAAAATCCCTGATTATTCTGAAAATTTTTTTTACGGATTTCTTCGCGCCAATCTCTAGGACGACAAGAACCAGCTGCTTATTACAAGAGCAGAAATTCGAGAGGTAAGTAGTACAGCCTCCTTTAGGCTTTTATGCAATCTCATTTCGTTCATTAACTAATTTCTGTATGCCTTTCTTACTCGCCTTCTACCTATCTATTTGCCGGTTTAATTAACTGCCAGTGTAAACTCATCTGTATGACTCAGTGATGAGTTACTCTCGTGGTATTCTGTGTTTCTAATTTCTGTTTCTGTGTCTGTGTATCTGTTACTCGTATATTTTGCCGCGTCTGTCTGGTGGCTAAATTTGAGATGCATAAAATTTGGCACTCGAACGTGTCAGTCAAAAAACGCGCCATTAGCCAAAGTAATGGCGTTTGTCTGTTCTTTTCAGGTAATCATGCCATCATTTTATTTATAATTATTTCTTATTAATTTCCAGCTCTGTTCTGATAGTCCGTTACTTGATCAATGAGCATTTAAGAAACGTTCAGTTTTTTTGTTTTCTCTGCAGTATTGGCTTGATCCTTTACTGGAGTGGAATCCATCAGAGTATGGTGGAGTGAAACGTATCAGTGTCGATCCACGCAAAATCTGGTTACCGGATATCGTGCTGTATAACAAGTAATTATTATTAACATTATTATCATTATTATTGTAATTCTCTTAATTAATTTTTATTCTATTAAGTGCTATTTCTCGGTGATCGATGCGTAAATGCATTTACTTTTAGCGCTGGAGAAGGCTTTGGGAGTGGCATTACTCGAACAAAGGCTGTAATAACACATCGTGGGCAAGTCACTCTGAATGTACCGACAATTATTCAAAGCAGCTGTAAGTTACACGTGGAGAATTACCCGTTTGACCAACAAAACTGTAAACTGAAATTCGGGTCTTGGACTTATGACTCAAAAGGAATATCTCTTTCTTTGGAGGTAAGTGAACAATAAGCTTAAAAGATTATTTGTAATATATAGATTTAGCCAGGGCTAAAAGCGAAGCTCTCTTTAATATTTATGGATTCCTCGAAGAAAATATAAAATCGATGAATACTAAAGACAAGTTGAAAGCAACGAAAACGCTAAAAACAACAACAATAGATCTAATTAGCAAAAAAACAACTTTGCACGTGCAGCACACTTTTTTCTAATTAGCAAAAAAACAACTCTGCACGTGCAGCAGTTTTTTTTTGTACATTTCCTTACCGTTGTTTTACACGACTAACGTGAAACTTCTTTTAGCTTCCTATTTACGCGTTTTATGGAGGAAATGTTTGTTTTCCTGTTCATTCTATTTTTTCACTGCCGCTGCTTTTTCACATTAGTAGCCGCTAGCATTCTTCATTTTCTAACCGCCGCTATATAATTTTCATGTTTTTCTTCCAGCGGCATTAGTCTCCGTTGTTATTTATTTCACGGTCCTGACAAGTGTGACACTTGACATCGGCTTACATGAAGTGTGTGTACGAGTGGGCGGGCGGTCGGGCGGGCGGGCGTACGCTACGTCATAACCAAATTTTATCGGATGGATAGTTTACCAAATTTTCTTACCCATGGTGCTCCGCTGGCGCGCTTCGCGCGCGAGAGCTCCGCTATCATTTTCATTTTAGATCAATATTTTACATTCCACTCTTCAATTCTAAAGGGACACCTTTATAATCAGATATTTTTGTACCAGAGCTCCTCCGCAGACCTGAGTGAATATTCTGAGAGCGCGGCATGGGAACTTCTAGGAGTCCCAGGAGAATTCCATTCCAAGAGATACAATTGCTGTCCAAATCCTTATCATGACGTCACTTACAGTGTGAGAATTAAAAGGCGAGCACTGTATTACGCCATGTATCTGATAATACCCTGTGCACTGATTGCCGTGCTGACGTTGTTGGTGTTCCTGTTGCCTCCAGATTGTAACGAGAGAATGACAGTAGGTATGATGAAGTGATATACATATCGTGATGTTATAGCATCTTGCTCTGGTCTCACATGATAATGTGAGTTTTTCTTAATTTCAATTGTTTTGGAAAAGCCGGTGATAGGAAATTGTAAACTGTAAGTACATTATTATCCACTACCCTCAGGGATCATTTTCAGGGATAATTTTCAACACTGATTGCGGGACTGCTATCATACTACCTATGGTGCAGTTTACAAATAATGAAGGGGAGCGTAATGACGCCCCTCTGATTTGTGAGTGTGAATTTGAGAGAGTCCACCACACCGGTTGCTACTTTCCCTCCGTACTCTCTACGAACAGTGTGTGGCTTCTTAAACGTTCCTCAGATTCTCTGTTGAGTCACAGTCCAGGCGCCAGTTGTTCGAAAGGTGGATAGCGCAAGTGGGTTCCCCGATACTTATCCGATGGATAGTCATATCCATCTTTTGAACAACGGGGCCCAGGCGCATTAATTTTTATGCCTTATGCGCTGAATATGTGTAAAAATTACACTCGTTAATTTCGGACCGTAAATTTGTCTATTCAAATGTTTGGGTGCTTGAAGTGAACAGAGTTTATGTTGTTGAACCTCTTCACAAATGCCACCATGGGGACGGAATAAGAGAGTGGCCGTTGTAGAGAGGTGTCATTTGTAGAGAGGTTAAAACAAGAGTCAATGTATGGACTGTCCGCCGGGACAAAAAAGTGGTGGCCGTTGTGGCAGAGGTGACCGTTGTGGAGAGGTGGCCATTATTGAAGGTTCGACTGTACTGTACTCTATCATTTTACTACCTTTTTCAGGTATGGCGATTCTTGTTGGTCTCAGCTTCTTTTTTCTTCTGGTAGCCGAGTACATGCCCGAAACATCTGAAGCGGTGCCCCTGATAGGAATGTACTACACTGTGACAATGATACAGGTGTCATGTGCGTTCTTCATGACCTGCTGCGTATTGCGTTTTCATCATCATAACCCAACAGAAGGAGAGGTTCCTGAGTGGGCCAAGGTAAGCGTTCTTGTCAGCAGGTTCGTTCTTGTGTAAGAAATAGAAATCGATTCAACTAAGCCGTTATAACCTACGCAAGATGATTGGAGAACACCAGAAAAGCTAGCTGATTGTGTGTGGCAAGTGATTTAAGTGGTTTTTAGGAGTGTTTCTAATACGCCAGTCCGGTGAGGAGAGGCGAGGGGGGAGGGTAGTCAACAAATGTTTATACGGGGAGGCTCCGCTCTGAGGTCCAACCCCTTACCCTTTCATATACCATTTTTTACGAAAAAGGTACCCCTTTAGTATACCTTCTATGGTACCCCTTTCACATAAAAAAAATGATTTAGAACTTTGCATCCCTTTCAACGTCTGTAAATGCACTGTCTTTTAAATAGGAATCAATCAATAGAACGTCTTTATAAAGCCATAAAAATTCATCTGTTAGCCCTTTTGGGCCCTTTCACAGAGTAGCCCAAATGACGGATTTCCCTACCCTTTTATATACGTCAACAAGTGACATCCCTACCCTTTTTATATACCTGGAACCTGAAAAAGGCACCCCTTTCTGGCGGAGCCTCCTCTTATGGGCCATGATGGGGAGTAACCCCAATGGTCAACCACTAAAAAGTGCCGTAAAATACCAGTGAAAACAAAGTGTTTCACTATAAGTTTTCCGCTGATGATAAACGGTGTTAGTAACAAATGCTTTTTGACCAATCAAAACACGCCTTGTATCCAAGTTACTTTGGAACAAGTAATAAAAGAGAGGTCTGTTGTAGCTGTAATACAAGCCAAGTTATTTTAAAAACCTTATTATTTTTTCTGAGAAAAAGACTGTTTCAAGTCTGTAATTTTTAGTCTGTTCTGTTGACAGAAATATTTACTTGGTTACGGAGCGAGACTATTTTGCTTCAAGTTTGGGACCAGCAGCGACGTTAACGAGACTACAGTCCAAAACGGAAAAGTGAAAAATGACCTTCCCTCGGAAGAAAACACTAATAGCTCAAAAAGTAATAACCTTTTTCTTTGAATATTTTTTAGTTTATATATTGTAGTACTACAGTGAATCGGTATTCCCTGATTCTAAGCGATGTTTTGACTACTGTAGAGACTTGACCCATGTAAGGGAATCCGGATTCCGGAATCCGGATTGCGGAACCCGGGAAATTATTGCTAGTAGAATCCGGAATCCTGGGCTTTGGAATGCGGAATACAGCTCAAGGAATCCGGAATCCCCCTAAGATTGGACCAGAATCCAGGCTTCGCTCTCAAAGTCTGGAATACAGCACCTGGAACCCGGAATCCGTGCCGTGGAATCCAGAATCCTTCAGTTGTGTAGGAGCTGCCCAGAAGGTCTCTCCTGATTGGTCGCAGAGAACAATGACATGTCATTATTTAAATTGTTTCAGTATTGTTCTAAGAAAGGGTTAGGCACTACTGTTGACTTCTTTTCCGAGCAGCTGCTACATGACCCATTTCCTTACATGGGGCGATGAATACAGTACCCAACCAAAAATGATGTTAAGGTTATGTTCACTTGACAGGCGACAAGAAAACTTCCAATAGAATCCTGGGTGATAACATACGTCATCAGATGATCTTGGAAAAGAGGCAAGAAGAATGGAGAAAGGCAGCACTGGTACTGAATCATATCTGCATCTGGGTGTTTCTCATTGCAGTTGTAGTTTCATTCCTGGCCATATTCTTACAAGCACCATTGTAATTACTCTCTGAGTTATATGGTCGTCCAATTAAGCAAATTTAGACCTGATAGTTTGAACTAAAACTTATAGTAGAAATATCGTACCTCTGCTTAAACGTTTTTAAACGGTTTTATATAAACGGGTTCCTCCTTCTTTTCTCTCTTCTTGATCGTATTTTTATCCTCTTGATAATTTTCAGCATCGTAATCTTCACCAAAGCATAATTTACGGGGGTAGGGGCTCCAAGGAAAGATAGTCACCTTTATTAATTATTCGGTGGGTGCCCTGAGCTTGTGTTTTGAGTTTTGACCACTTCCAAAACTTCACGCTCCTATAAAGCGGCCACCCTCTATTTATTAACGACTAGTTATCAGAACCTTTCATTAAGAGGCCAATCTTTACTAAGGGGCCTCTTTGTCCCTTCCTGAAGGGCGGCCGACACAAACTATGATTATTTTGGAATCATAAATTTGAATGGTCATACCACAGGATTTAGTATACATTGTCTCAGAATTTACTTCAAAAACTGCCGAGCCGGTTGACCTAGTGTGGTGGATTCAGGATCAGTTAGTAGCAAAGACTGATTACTTTTGCCTTCAAAGGTGTCATTTTTTTTTTTGCTTATTTTGCCTGAAGTACGTTTACATTTACCTTACTCTTCGGATCCTGACTTTTCAAAGCTGCAAGGCCATCTACCCCTCTACCCAACCCCTTGTTGGTTGGGTTGATACCACATCCTGATTATCATGAATGTCGCATTCCTTAGTTGCAACGAAGACTGCGTGCTTGCAATCAATAAAGTACTTATTATTTACTGGTACATAATAAGAAATGTCTAGACGGAAACATAGTTTTCAGTTTATAAACAATGTAGTAAAAAAATTTACTCCTCGGTTGACTATTAAATAATTCGTAACAGTATAATGAGATATATGTAATATGTCATTCATATTATTGATTATCCATATTCTAAACACGTCTACGACCAAGCGTAGACCATATTGTACCTTTCTACGACCCTGAAAAACGTGGTTTCCGGACACGTATCAACGAAGGTCCAACGCACGTTCACAATTTTCATTCCTTTGGACTTTCCCTATGGTCCCTTTTTTTATCGCTTTTTTTAAATATATATATAAGAACAGCAACTGTAAACTACAGTCAAAACCGTTAAAACGGACACTGAGGTGGGCCATAGAAAGTGTCTGTATTAAGCGGATTGAATTTATAGAAAAATGGGAGGGCTCACTTTTCCCAAGGGCAAGGAAAACTGTCCATAATAACGAGGTGTCCGTAATAACGGGTGTCCGTAAAGCGGGGTTCGACTGTACCTTGTTAGCACATTATCCACACAGAGCACGAACTATTCTTTAGCTGGATTAGCGGAGGCCACTCGATCCTCCGATGGTCATGTCATGTTTTAACATCCGTGGCTTACAAATGTCCACTCGCCTTGAAAGGAAGCCTGAACAGTGAGGTTTTTACAAGGGCAAAGTACCAGTCTATGGCTGCCACTCCCTGGGGTGATATGGTGATATGGCAGTAGTGTCGCACGAGAAACGTACTGGCAATGCTGCTCGTTTTTGTTGAAAACTTTTCTGTAACGAATGTCTGGCTCAAAGGCCGAAAAATGTGAGAAAAACTTAAAAACCTTTTGCGAAACGCGATCATCTATGTTCGATTTCGTCTCTGAGCAGAGCGAGCCTTAAGACCATATATACGGTGTCAGATGAAGAGGTTAAGGGAGGAGTTCGCCAAGTAAAGAATTTTTCGCGACTATACGAGCCTCGCTTTGGTCGAAAAAGAGGGGAGTGTGTTCTGCTCATCTAGATTCCCCACTTCCAAGGGTCATGAGGTAGGGAGTCAAATTCAGTTCCCTTGTACCACTATATACATAGGGATTGAGGATAATGAGGCACTATGAGAGGGAAATGACTTGCCCAAGAACACATTAGACAATGATCCCTGCTATTGCTCGAGCCCGGACCTCCGATCGATCTGGAGGTTATTGCACCCCCACTTGTACTGGAGCTTTATTCTACCTTATATTTTATTTCACGCTTACAAGATCATTTTTAAATGGATGTGAAATATGCATTTAGAATCTGTTTAAGCATTCAAGTAGCTACCACTTTGAAGAGAATATCAAGTTTTTCTCTCAATTAAAGGTGTCCCGAATTTGTCAGTAGTGTGAAGTGTACGGGCTGGCCCGGCGCTTCAAAGCTAGAAATTAGACAGTTTTAAAAACGTACTAATAACGTACTCACTTTGCTGATAAATCAGGTAACACACTGCGCATATCAAATGTGATATCAGGATTGTTGTTAAATTAGGTATGGAAACAGGATCGATACATTAGAATTTCTTTTTTTTCTCGAACCCTTTCGAGATTCTCTAAAAATTCAAAACTGTTTAATGACTAATAGTTCTCAATAAGCTAAATATAGAGCGGCGACCTGAAGCAACAGAATAATACTGATTTGCATCCACAATGCGTTTACTGCTGAAGAACTTGAGCTTTTACCAGGTGTTACAATCGGGTCTATCAAAGAATTTTGGTTGAACTTAGGAATGCGGAACTTGAACTTCATTTCTCCATCTTCAATCTCCATTTTAGGGAATCCTGTTGGCATGGCAGTGTACTCGTCGTCATTCATGATCTAAGAAGGAAAAGGATTGTATTAAAAAGGAAAAAACAGGTCTCTTTCGGTACTAACACAACTTAAACTCATTCTCCGTTTTAAGCACAAACCAACTCGTACTGCTTTCTTCCGCTCTTTCACGATTTCGCCTTAGGTAAGGGAATCCAAGACAGTCTTGTATGGATTCTTGATTCCAAGCTGTAGACTCCAGGTTCCAGGCATTAGATTTCAAATACCTTGTCAATGGAACTCGAATTCCGGCTTCCAAACGGTCGCCGAATCTCACCCTTCTTTGTAATCCGGAATCCGGATTACCTTACATTGGGCGACACCGATTCGTTAACTTACCCCTTTGTTGAGCAGCATCTCAGAGTTCCCTCCCATGTCGTATATGGTGGGACAATCATCACTGTCGTCGTTTGCGTCATTTGCATCGTTATCGGACTTGTCGTTGCTCTGACAAATAGCGTCTTTATTGGCTTTCTTGCGGTCTTCGTCATCCACCTCTTCGGGTGTTCCCTTGCTCTTGATTTTTAATTTGAGATCCAAGTATTCCCCTGCTTTTCCCTCACTGCAGTCGGTTTCTTTGCAGAAATTCCAGTTGCTAATCTGTGCGAAAAGAAATTATTTATTTCGACGTTACTAGTTTAGTCTGTGGGAAAAGGAGTTTATGAGACCGTGATTCAAAGGACTTTTTTCATGCATGATGCTAGTGCTACCATTTAAGAACAATTTATATTGACTATGTCACCCTATGTAAAGTCGGCCAGGAAAGACTTTCATTCTGGAATCCACGGTGTGGATTCGGGATTCCAGTAACTGGTTCGGGAAAATTTTCGCGATTCCGAAATCCGGATTACATTACATAAAGCGAACAATGTCTTGGGTTTTATTACGTTAAACCTAAAACAACTGAAAATAACAAACCTGGATATTAAACTTCACTGTTCCAGCTTGAACATTAAATGCCTCAGTGCCAAACTTGACCTTACCAGCCTCACGAAACAGATAAACCATGACGTCAAGATTAGCCTTAGGATCGTCAAGATAAGCAGAAATGTTGACATTAACTGCCGAGAGGCCTTGAAACGAGGAGTCGCTTTTTACTTGAGACAATTGAAAGAAAGTGTCGTCGAACGAGTCCACGGAATGTCTCTCCAGTCTGCCCACGTCGTTCCCGTCTGCATCTTTTTCTTCTATTCCATCCAGTTCAAACGATAACAAGTCGTCGTTGTCGTCACTAAAATCATCATCGTCATCATCGTCGTCATCGTCATCGTCGTCATCATCGTCGTCATCATCGTCATCATCATCGTCATCGTCATCATCATCGCTGTCGTCGTCGCTCAGACGAACAACTTTGATTTTACCTGAACGACGTTCCACTCTGGCGGAAACATCGTCTGAACGGATTGTTTCATCATCGTCCGGCTTTCTGTTTATTTCATCGGCGATACATACTACCACAAGCAAAGCTGTGTAATAAATAGAACACAAATTGGTTTGCAATCAAAGGATTAGCTCTGACTGAACTGTTCTTTTGAACACACTTTAAAATGTATAATCTGAAGCCCAAAAGTGCTGGATCACTCATCCAGGATATAAATTTCGCCTCAGCTTTTATCGTTGCTCCTTGAGGGAGTGATTCAGCTCTTTTAAGAGCTAAAGTACACAGAGAAAACGGCCACCATGCATGGAAATGTACTAAATGTGCTCAATGGTTAAAAGTGCAAATGTAGAAGGAACTTGACCTCATCAGCAGAACTATTGTTTTGTAACGCCCTCAATGACATCAGCTCCTTGACGGTCTCCGATATTCAAAAGCAACTTATTACAAAGGTATTCAACTTTTTATGAGGCCTGAAATAAATCATTTCAGAAGACACTTCGTTAAAGAAAAAAATTTAGGAGACGAATGGATTGTGGGTGATATGCTCGGCCGTTATTGACTGTCGTGTCTCTATCTTTTCATTCGATCACTTGGGAATGTATAGCAGGAGTATTTGCCAATACCAACAGGAAATAGACTAGTAAAGATATATAGGTAACTTGCTCATAAAATTCTTGGGAGTGAGCTCAGAAGGGCAATTTCAACTACTTGTTTTATCACCCTAGTAAAGAAACAAGGAAAAAAGTCTATCCACTGTTCAGATTGTTTGTCAATACAATACACTTTCTTTAAAAAAGGTAAAGGAATGTCTAAGCCCTCAATAAGAACGTTACAAGAGAAGGAAATTAGGTTTTCATCCGTTATTGTGAATATCGGCTTTCAAGACTTAGGTGACAATACTACTCAATGATATCTTGGGCAAAGATGAAGATAGAGTGCGCTTGGTTGTAACTTAAATTGTCATAGATAACGTAATCAACCTGAATCCGTCTGGAAAACACTTGGAAATTTAAATAATAGTAATAAAGAAACTTTAATTTCACGAACATTTGATGATGAAATTTAAGGTCTTGGAGTTAACTTTGCCTCTGACAATACTACTCAATGACATCTTGGGCCAAGATGAAGATAGAGTGCCCTTGGTTATACTTCAATTGTCATTGATAACGTAATCAACCTGAATCGGTCTGGAAAACACTTGTAAACTCAAATAAAAGTAATAAAGAAAATTTCATGAACATTTGATGATGAAATGAATTAAAGGTCCTGGAGTTAATTTTGTTACTCAGTTCTTTTCCGCAAGCAGTAAATGTTCCTAAGCCAGAGGAAAAATTCGTAAACTAGAACCCGTACTTTCAGGGTACCTACTCTCTAGAACGCACTGTGATATCATTTTAATGAATTAAGAGTGTCCATTAAGAATTACTGTCTTAAGGTTTAGAAAACCATTAAGAATTCATGATGAAATTTGAATAAAAAGCTTCTTTGGTAAATTGGGTAATAGCAAGATTACAAATGTAAGTTGAAAACTTTTCCGATCTTATTTACGCGCATTTTTGTAGTTCTGTCTGTCTATAACTGTCTAGTCGTTTTGTGAAACTACGTCTTTTCAGGGTGTCCACAACTCCAACACGAATAACCAAATTCCCCTTTGTAAATTATTGACCAACAGATATGTTGTAGACTTGAGATTTTTATCCATTGTTCAGAGGAATAGTTAGAACTGAGTTATTTTTCTATTTAATTAGAGGCGAAAAGGCTTAAAGTGCGGTTAGGCTGTTTCGTTACTGTAGCAGCCCACGCGTCAGGTGCTCTTAATTGGAAAGGAAACAAACGCTACAAATTAAGGTGACGGGAACTTCAACAGTTTGCTGTATAAATTAATACTGTTAGTACGGTAGGAAACTCATCTTTCCAAGACCTCTCTGACACTGATTATCGACACCTCACAATCATTTCGAGTACAATTCTCTTAGTCCGTAAAAATACCAGTATTTCTGATTCGTCCCTCTCTCCATAATGAAGACACCTCTGCATAACACTTACACGGAGACAGTAACACTGCTTAAATACAGTTAATTCTTAACAGTAATAGACTTACGGTACGTACACTTGGGTAAATTCCTTACATGCATATAGTGTGAAATAAAGACAGTTTGAAAGATTGTAATAAGGCATAAATACTTTTATAGTAAGTTCCAAACTCATCTTTCCAAGACGCTGTAAAGAGATTACGCGCAATTATTGAGCTATAGGAGAATTCTCTCAATCTTATTAATATTACCATAATTTATCCGTCCGTATTTCCATAATGGACACAGCCCTACATAAAATGCGGCAACTGAACTTGTGCCTAAATTTTTGGTGTCCGTTTTAATGAGTTTTGATTGTACGTAGTAAAATTTACTAGCATAGTCAGCTCCAACATATTTGATTTAGTTAATAAATAACTTTTACAACTCTAAAACTTTAATGGTTAAGTTTAAGTCACCTTACCTAACGTTAAGAGTAGCAAGATCTTGGGAAAACGCTGAGAGAACGCCATGGCTATTACCTGTACTTAATGAACATCGGAAAAGTGTGCGCTCCTTATAGAAGACAGCTATAAAGATGATTAATTTGTTTTGTGATACGATATTTGTAGTTTTTAATTTCTAATTTTCTGTGTCGATATTTTTGTTTGATATTCGGCTAAATCTTTTTTTGGCTTTCATTCTAGTTGCAACAATTTGCTAATTACTTGCTTTCAGCATTGTACTCTGGCGAAATCCGTTTTCGCGCAGTAATGTGTCAAAGCCAAAGGTTCCTTTTCTTATACTTCTCAGCTATTTAACTTGTTTAACAACGTAAGGTAATAGTGCAAAGCTTCATTTCTTAAGATCTGTTATGCCATCTAAAATATTGGTCGACGAAAAGTTGTTCTAGCTCCATCCAGGCGAATTGCGGCGCTTTTCATATGCATTCCGTTAGCTAAACATGTTAAGACAAACACTTGATGTTGCTATGACTAAGCTGCCGTCGCTAAGGAGATATGTTCCGGTCAGCCATGTTTACCTATCGCCTAAAATATTGGTATCGCAACAGCATGGGAGGGTCTTAAGTGCTCTCACAAACAGTATTGCTCGTAAGATTGTTTAGTCAAACGATGGACCACGAGGCCTGTCTAACATGCAAATTAAAGATTCTAAACTGTTAAAAAAAAAATATACCTTTTGATGAATACGTGACTTGTAACTTATAAAATCAAATAATACCTATTTTGGACGTCTTGAATTATTTTGATCTTTGCAAGGTCGGTGGACAGTTCTTTTTCAGTTTTTAAACGTCAGTTACATAACGAACATTAGATGTCCCGTCCTGATATGATTTCTAGATTACCCCAGCCTTCAGCAATACTTTTGCTTAAAATTAGCTTTCACAGTTACCGTGCTCTTCAGCCTTCAATAAAAGGTTGAATTACCCTGCAAACTGATTTGAAATTGCTCCTCTAGGCTTCATTTCATTATTCGATAATTTGAAGGCGACTGAACGAGATGCTATTAGTGTTTGCCCAATCTAGTGAAAAATCTGACTCAGGCGATATTTGTTCCGGCATTTTAGACTACCTTCTAAGTTTGAGTTTGAACTTTTTTCAAATAATTGAAAAATAGGACACAGAGACAAAGATAGGTCAAAGTTGAAAGACTTGAAAGATTCCGCGTCATAAAAAAGTAATTGTGATGTTTTGTTGTAATGTTGAAGGTAGCCTATATTAATTAACATCGCTTAGCATTTGAAGAATTTACGGAACAAATATTACCTCTCAACTTCTGACCTTTTTGTCTTCAGCCATAGTACCTATGGTCTCACCTCGTGGACAATCGATCAAGTTCCTCGGATCATTGAGTGTCGGTTAGTGCTTCTGTTCCGACTGCAATGCCTGTAAGTAAGCCCCACCATCTGAATCTATCCTAAAAAAGGAAGGTCCTTGTGAGAGTCTTGGAATAGACCTCTTACCAGTAAGGTTTCGTCTCCACTGAAATTTAGACGAAAATGCTCTGAAATATAACATCATTTTTGATGACACTCATATTAACTCTGAGAGAGCAAGTAGGAACCACCTATTCATCCGGCCTGTGTTTGTTTGCGCAATAAGCGCACTTCGTTATTAACTGACTAGATGCATCAACCCCGGGGGAAACCCCATATAAAAATGACGCGGATGCTCGTCGGAAAATTCAAACTAAACCCCCTAGGGAGACCAATGTGGGTGTAAACTGACCCCTAAGGAACATTTCTGTGTAGTCAGTGTGAGGACATTTTTGGTAAATTTCTTTATGCACAGAACTAAACGATGCCTGAATGGGCAAATACAGTTGACTCCCGATAACTCGAACCCTCGCTAACTCGAACCTCCCGCTGATTCGAAGTAGTTTTTGTATCCCCTCAGATCATTTCTATATAATTTTACCCTCGATAACTCGAACCATGTTTTGAGCCCTTAAAAGTCGGGAAAAAAACAGTGTACTAGCGTATCCGCAAACATTGAATTTTGAATTTCCCATCGACGTGTTGTAGGCATATAGTTTACTATTGGAGGCTGATTTTGTTTGTCACAAATCTCACGTGAAACAGCTTTACTTCTCAAAACAGTAAGACGCATGCTCTATTTAGGCAATAATTTGTATACGTTACGTTCTGATTTATCACCTAGAAGTATCTTTTAATTTTAACTTGACACTCCTATAATTAAATGTGATTAAAATGTTCACTATGCAGTGAAAACTGTTTATTTTTTTCACCCCCGGCTATTTTCTTCAAGCTCCCGATAACTCGAACCTGTTTCGATTTTCCCTGAAGGTTCGAGTTATAGGGAGTCATTGTGTAGTGACTTTCCATCCCAAACACCCTAAGTGAGGCCAAAATATGTAATTTACACCCCAAAGCAAGACGATGAGCACCCCTGTCACTTTTAAGTGGGGGTCCCCCCCCGGGACATCAACTAGGAATATTGTCCTGACAACTGATAAAAACATGCAGTCTATTTGCGTACGTTTTTGTCATGTTACCATAACCGCTCATAACGAAAAAATTGCACCGTTCGAAAGACAGTCGGCATTTCTGAGCAGTACAAAACACCACATTGATTATTATATTTAAGACTTTTAGAAAACCGTCTAAATCCATTAAGTCAGAGAATAAGGTCTATAATGGATAAAGTAGTTACACAAACAAACGCTTTAATATTAACTTTTTAACATTGATAATGAGGCAAGAAATTGAGGAACTGAAAAGGCGATAGAAGAAATATTCCTGCATTTTCTGCAGTTGTAAGCAGTTCGGCGTATTTTTTGATGGGTTCGTAAGTCACGTTTTCAAAGCCGCAGAATATATAACCTAAACTGTGTCGCAATTTTAAGCAAATAAGCGATGACAAGGCATTTTATTTTACTTTGTATATTACTCGGATAACATCTTTCGCTCAAAGCTGGACTTGGTAGTTAGACACGAGAAGTTGGAGCCTTTGTATAATTTTTAATCTATACTTTTTAGCAACTACCTGACGGATACTGAGCTGCTGAAGAACCTTACAGAAACACGACCTTAAATCAACCGTACCTTAATTCATATTTGTCGCCGATTTTAAGAGCCTGCCTACGTGTATTGCCTGACAGCGGTTGGCCACCTGCTATTGCAAGTTTGAGGGGTGCTCTGTCAAATATGCTGTAGAAGCAGTGAGACGTATCTGATTCCCATCTAATGTTCTCACTGGCTTACAAAATATCTCTATAAAATATGTTCCAATTCATTCTATCCGTAACAGAATGTATATCCACGCAAACATATACACAGCTTGGCTCATTCTAATTCTAGAAGGTAAGTGTTAAAATCCTTTGCTTTTAAGAATGGGATATCTAATTAATTCCTTTATCTGAACAAGGAATTACCTGCAGCATTCTGAATATGGAGAGTTGCTTGGATCGTTTCATGCCGATGTTAAATTTTTGTAGATAAAAAGAACGTGATATGTTGAAAAATACCTCGTTACGTGTCTCTCTACTATAGTTTTGCTCGATACAAACAAAAAATTCAGGATCACAATGAGAATGAAAAGAAATATTTCTGAGTGAGTTACTAATATTTACGGAAAACACAAGTATTTTGTTATTGTTTCCTCGAGTGCCTGGTATAAAATTGACAAGGTATTTTAAAATGCTTTGGTCATTTGGGTTCGGGTAAAAATATGAATTATATTTTCGCTTATCAATTATCACGTGACGACATCGATAACGCGACCTCCAATTTCTAATTTCTAATTTCTGTATACTTTTCAGTATCACTCATAGTCATAAAAACCTCAATATAACGAACCTCTATATAACGAAGTCCTCGGTATAACGAACGATTTTCTTTACTTCAGTGCTAGTAAAATATGTGAAAAAGAACCTTGATATTATGAACCTCGTTACAGCGAACAAATTTTGTCAGTCGCTTGGCCCTTCGTTAGATCATGGTTCCACTGTAACTATCATTAAAACACACCTACTGCAATCAAGTTAACGGATTAGTGAAATAAGAAAAAAACCTTTTATCCCATCACCATCGCTAAGAGAATCTCCGACCATGTTTTTGTTCACCTGGACACTTGACTTGAGCTCCTTTGTCAGGTTCAACAACCATTCAGGAATGCAGTCAAACCCCGTTAGTTAATACGGATACTGAGGGGCCATAGAAAGCGTCCGTATTGATGGAGTGTCCGATTCAATTAAGCGGGTTGAATTGAGGGAAAATTTGAGGGCTTACTTCTCCCAGAGGGACAGAAAAACTGTCCTTAATAACGAGGTGTCTCTCCGTATTAAGCGGGTGTCAATAAAGTGGGTTTCGACTGTATAACCATCTTTAGAAATGGAACTTATAATTTACTCTTCGGATTTCTTATTTTTAAGCACCAGAACATAAAAGGACCTTTTATATGCTTTTGTTTTAGGTTAGTCATTTGCATGTCATCGTTTGTTGTGGTAAGACAGTTTCCGGGATAACTGACGTACGGTTCTATCGTTCTTTCAACAATTTAATTCGTTTCTTCTCTTTTACTTTTTGTGACGTACAAATTCAAGAAGATTTGCGGCAAACATCATTTTCTTTAAGTTAGTTGATTGATGGAGATACTTGGACCATCACTGATGTCATCGATGCCATTTCCTATTGGCAAGCCTGATGTAGATAGCAAGCAATGAAAATAACCACAAGTCAGTGTTTATGTGACATTTGACAGGTTATAATAAAACATACAAGGAACGAAGACTCTGTAAAGAAAAAAAAATTATATTGCTTTATTTGTGTCGGAAAAGTGTAACAAATTGCTTTTCCAGAATCGATAGGTAAAGAAAAGATGGAATAATTCTAAATAATTGTAAACGGGTATTAATATGTTTATGTTAAATTATTAATTAAAATAAATAATAAGAGGAAGTTAATGACAGTAAGCAGATTCATGAAGGAAATTAAACATAGCTTTCCCCATTCCTAAGGGTGAAACAATCTGTTATACTCTTTTGTTCATGTTCTATTTTTTTCTGTTTTATTCTATATCCGATGGGCAAAAGAATAAGAAAAGAGCTTTTCCTATGTATGCTATGTAAATTTTCCCTTTTTTTTCACAAGCTATTTGTTTTTGTGTTCTAATTAGGTATTTTGAGCATTCTAATTACGGACAAAAATTACCACTCAACAAACTGAATGTTTGACCTTTTTCACTTGCAAGTGACACAACCTTCTAGACAACAGCATAGAAATTAAAGCTAATGTGACTCCTGAACAATTACCTATAGTAAAATTGCAAAGTCATTGCATTTCTTAATGTTTCTTTCCTAATATTCTAAAATTAGAATGGCCATGGAAGATCGAAAGAACCCTTCTTCATTCAGTCACTCTCGAATGTTTTCCTTAGCCTTTCCTTTACAGGGATACAAGTCTTTGTTTTATATGTCTATCTGCAATAGTAACCCTAAGGAAAAAATATTATATATTATAGTCTGTGAACAGGCTATCTCTTTGGGGGAAAAAATAGCGAGGAAAGGGAAGGGAAAGGCGGGGAGAGAGAGCCTGCGTAGCAGGCCCAAGAAAGAACGGGCACGTAAGAGGGAGACACGCGAGGAGACTCCCCTCGCGTGTCTCCCTCTCTCGCGCTCGTTCTTTCTTGCGCCCACTACTTCCAAGCGCATGGCACGCAGGCTATTTGTCCACAGCCCTTTTCGCTTTTCCCTTCTCCTCAGTTCCCCGCTCGTCCAAAGGCCTGTTCACAGGCTATATATACTATAACCCTCGTTTCCGCGCTACTCTCCCCAGATCATCCCGCGCTACCGCCATTTTAGAAGAAGGTGTATAAAAAGTACTTGTGAAAGATACTGTCTAATCCTTATTCTCTAATTATTTTGAATTGGTTCAGTATATAAAACAAATTTCAGAAGAACACTTTATTGACAATAACCTTCTTGCATTTTATATGTTAAGGGGTAATGTAACTCAGATGCAAAAAAAGCCTCTCAAGGGCCTGTATAATATATATCCAGCATAAAACTGCAGTATTGACAATTTTAAGCAAAAGAGCTGTGCCAGTTGACCTGTCCTACCGATAAGAGAACAAACTCCTCAGACCCCGTAATCGTAGCGTGGAACCCCGTTAACGCGGTCACTCAATGGGCCAAAAAAATTTGGCCGTAATAACAAGGTGACCGTATTAATGAGGGTTTCTTTACTAGAAAATGTACGGTCGTTTTTGCCAGGAGGCCAAAAAAGCACAAACTGACAAACCACAAAGAACTGCAAAAAAAGTGGCCGTAAGGCGGGCTTCCTTGGTATTTTCAACAATCCTATATTTTATCTCGTTCTAATAGGTCTAACAAGGTGCTCTGGTCAAGAGGGAGAGCTAACAAGATTTCTTCTGAACACTACTCACTACAACAACAAGTTTAGACCGGTTAAAGACGATAACACCACAGTAAATGTCGAGCACGGTTTGATTTTGCACAGGATAGTTAAAGTAGTAAGTTGCAATTGCTTTGAAATACAGTATGTTGTGTTTTGGCAAGTTAAGCGACTTCTTTAAATCCCATCCAAAGTCACAGAAACAATCGCCTTGGCCTACGGGACACCAGAAAACTTTCTTGAGGGAACAACATCAAGAGGTTCTGCCGTCAAACCCGGCTTACATAACGCCGGGTAATTGATGCTGCGAACTTGTTTCGGTTTGTGCATAATGCACTGAAACTATTTTACTTTCGTTTCTGACAAGGCGATTGGACCTTTGAACTTCGGATTCATGCCTTTTACTAACCTGAGTATCAGGTCTTCCTTAGGGGTAAGGGGAGAGGAAATTTTAGAGGGGAGGGGGGAGTTTCTCTCTCTCTCCTCTTTTCCCTTCTCTCTTCCCCCTTTCCCCCAGAGACGACTGATACTCCGCCCAGCCTTTTACTAGTCATCTTACTGTTTGGTATAGCATTTTACTGAGATTACCTTATTGGTACTTAATTTCGCGAGGTTTTAATTTCGTGATTTTAACACTCAAATATGAAAAGGCCATTAAATCTCGCGATTTAAGCGTTCTCAACTTCATTTTATTTTTAAAAGAGTCTGAAAGTTTCCAAATTTCTGGGTAAACTGAAAAAACAGTAAGTGAAAGCTTTACAAATTAACGTTATTTCATTTACTGATACATAACACGGTATCATGTATATGTTGTTGCTATTAGAAGTCCATTTTTTTTCCTGTGATTTGAATTTGCTATATGAGGATTTGATTTCGCTGGTCTTTATTCTCGCGAGTTTTTTACAATCGAGAAAAACGCGAAATTAAAGACCCGCGAAATTAGTACCAATGAGGTAGTAGCTTTGTATGGAATGCTATTTGCCCCGCCACGTACGAATTTTCTGTCAGTTGTCCCTGTTACAATTTTCTAATTTGCCACGCCTTAGTTTCTTGCTAGAAGAGGCCTCTTTTTCCTAGTATTCAGGGAAAAGAGGCCTGTACTAGCAGGGGAGGCTTTCATCGCCCCAAATAAGGGAACTGTCTTGGATTCTGGATTCCAGGAACTGGATTTCGGATTCCTTATCAGTGAGACTTGGATTCCAGATTCATTGAGCTGAATTCTGAATTCCAAAGCCTCGAAAAACTGAATTCCACAAGAACAAATTTCCTGGATTTACCTTACATAGGGCGACTTTCAAAAGAGAGCAGGCATTTTAATTTCATGTTCGGTTTAGATTGCTCCTTGTACTAGTAATAAAAGGAATCAGAACACCATTCAACGTGCTAATTTACCATTTTTTCCAGTTAAATACATATTTTTTTTCTTTTCCTCTTCAGGAAGAAAAACACCTTAGGATTGCTTTAGATGTGATAATTAAAATGGTAAGGCATGAATATTAGTAAATAAATAAATCTCTCCAAATTCAATTCGAAGGAGAATGAAAAATAAGCGGCAGTACGCAAAAGTAGAGTGGGAGGAGTGTCGGCACTGCTGAAATCATGCGAATAGGCCATTTCTGAGTTCCAAAACTGTCACTGTTAAACCAAGGACAAGTGTAAAAACATTCTTGTGAAAATGAATTTTATTTGCTTGAGGATCAAAAATCATTTTCATGGCTTTGCACTTAGCCTTGCTATGAAACAGAGGCTTGAAGAAACTCCCAAATAGCCCATTGACTGATGCGCCACCGTTATCATTTTTGAGGGTCGGCGTGGTAGAGTGGTTTCGGCGTTTGACGTTTTTTTTTTATACATCTTTGGTTCAGGTTCCGCTCTGACCACTAACTGGAGCTCTCTCGTGGTACTCCCGAGTTCATCGATCACTTTTTGGGATAGCCAAGAGAGGCTTCACTCTCAGTTCTGTTGGCTTTTTAACCATATTATTATACAATAATCCTAACATGTAAGAAATAATTCTCCTCTCGTCACTAGACTGTTAAATAATTTATTTCAGCAATGGAGGGATGAAAATTTAAAGTGGGATTTTTCTCAATTTGGCGGGATAAAACAGATTAATTTGGGCAATACAGATATCTGGACGCCGCAGATTATTTTATACAACAGGTAAGAAGACATTTCATTCATCACTTTAGAAAAGAAAAAGGAACTGGAGCTCAAATCAGTCTCGCCATTGTTTCTATGATCGTTACTTAACGGGACGCGCCAGTCAGCCATCGGCCAATTTCTTTCCCTATTCCTTATGTAATAGAGAGGAAAGGGGGAGGGGGGGCTTATTTGAGAGGGTAGGGCTTATTTAATTTAGAAACGACGATACTATCGGTTCTCCATAAAGAACTAGGATACAAAGTGGAGAAGCTCAAGTACAAGACGTTTTAGGTCATGCAGCCGAGCATCAGAATCAAATCCGAACTTCCAGTTGACAAACATACCATCCCGGATCAGTCCACACGAAGTTTTACGGTCGTGATTAATTAATACAGTCTATCATTTATTAGTGAAGAATAATTAGGGGTGATGAGGGAGGCTTAGTAGAGAAGGGGGCTTATGAACTTTCTTCCCCTGAAAAGGGGGGGCTTAATATAGGATTTACGGTAATACGGGCACCCGGATAATACACACATTATGGCATGTCCCCTTAGTGTCTGTATTAACCGGGTTCCACTTTAGTCCCAGAAGTCTTTGAGAACTGCACAGTTTCCTTCTCGTTTCTAAAGTGGCGAAGCTGTTTCACGACATAAATTTTGTTTAATAAGTTTTGCCAGATTCTCGGTATTAAACTTAACAGCAGCGCCGGGACGAAATGCCTTCTAAAAGATAAAATTACAACATCCATGAGAAACAACCTGAGCATTATAATTCAAAGTTAAAACCAGTTCCAAATAATCCGAGACTCAGTAACACATAGCTTCTTATAAACAAAGTCTCTTCCTATTTTATTGAATTTTGTTCTGGTTTCTTGTCTGCGCCTTTGTCGATGGAAAAAAAATAGTTTTGTTCAGATCTCTTGGCGTTAATTGCCTTCCTTACAATAGGACAATTGCACGATGACGACATTTGACTACAACTACCAGAATTCAATTCGGTTTTGCTTTGTTATTTAAATTTGTCAATCCCGCTGAGGATTAAGGAACAATAGCCTTAATTCGCACAAGAAAACAACAAACTCAAGGATTCTGGTAGTTGTAGTAAAATGACGTCATCGTGCAATTGTCCTATTTAGAGAGATCCAGAATCACGTTCACCTAAACGCCCATGATTTGTACCACGTGACCGTTTTTACCGTTTACTTGTCGTTTACTGTTTATTATGTCCACACAAAAATTAGTAGTTTCATGTCAAGCGCATCCATATTATTTATATTCACTTATAATATTTATTTTTAATTATTTTGGACAGTTTTTATTCAACCATTTCTTAATTTGACAAACTGTCAAATTGAACTATCTGATGTTTGCCGTTTGCCGTAAATGTGATTTGAAAACTCTCTATCATAACGTCTTTAGTCTGCGCGCGAATAATTTTTGGTTGGTAACAGCAGCAAACTCTCTCCGATCCTTTTTCTTGGTCAGATTTACTTGAATGGTTAGCGGCCTGGGAACCAAGTATGAAGCGGGCAAGAAAGCAGCTTGTGATATAACCCCTCCCTCCCCCCCCCCGCCCCCGCCCCCGCCCCCCCAAAAAAGGCGAGGAAGCCATCACAATTCCAGTCTAAGTCCCACGTGATGAAGAAACCAGAGCCAGCCAAAAACCACAGATTAAGGCCGTGCATTTGACTTCTAACGCATATGCAAATATCTTTTGCCAAAACACGTGAGACAGGCTCGTTTTATGCATTGTTAGGTTTTGTTTTCCTCATATCCGCTTAATATTCAGCCAAGAATCAGCGCTTGAGCCTTTTAATAGAGTTCTTGCCACCAGAGGACGTGAAAAAATTAAAACCGAAAACAATTAGATTGTAGGGGTCTGTTACTATATTGTGTTAAATTGTTACCAGAATTGGAGCAAGCTACGTCTTTTAATGAATATGCTGATGAACCATCGGGTGACAAAATCAAAATTGATAAGGGAAAACAGCTTACTCCGCTCGAGATTTATTATCGTTAAGTAGAAAAAAAATGCATAGGTCTGTTACCAGATTCTCAACTCATTGATAAGTACTTACTAATCGGAGCAAATGGTCTCTCTTGTAAAATAATTGACGAAAACTCAATACTTTAGTCCATAATTACAAGTTGTGGCGCAATACCCCGGAAGCTTGAAAATGGCTAGTATGATCTTAACATTATATTGCCACCTTACAAAAGGTTGTGACTTGGCCGAACATAACAAAACAGAAACGTGATTAATGAGAACAAGAGCGATATTTACACAGGAGTAACTATCAGCGTGGTAAGCTCTTTTTCTAAAGTTTGTATAATCTACCAAACGTGTTTGACAGTTGAATTAATTGCACACATCCCAAACCTTGACGAAGTACGCCGGCTTCACGGATAGACGCTGAAATGGCTTTCCTTGGGCTTATACTGTTGTTCATAGAGTGTTTTCTCGGTGGCTTCCTCATAGCGTACTTTCTATGTTCTGACGGCGGATCGTGCAAAACCAACGTTTTCCTTGAGTCAGGGAAAGACAACGAAAAGGAGGATGAACTGACAGAAGTTACAGTTGAAACCAACGGTCCTGAACAGTTCGAAAAGATAAGTTCAAACGATGCAAAGCAGCAGCTTGAGGATTAGTAAAAAGACAATAACGAGAGCGAGGAACTTCAAACAGATTGTAAAGCGAGCGAAGACGAACAAAAAGAGGCACACCAAGAAATCACCGGGAAGGATTAACTTTAACTGACTGATGTGCTCAAAATCGTTCATTATGACATTCAGGGACAAATCGGCCTCGTTTTTAATAGGTTTCTAATAAGTTGCTTCCTAAGAGTTGTAAATAGCTTTTAAAAGTTGTGTTTAGCATCGCAAATATGCATTTTAGTTTGTGTTCAGTCAGCGGCGATCTATGTATGACCTTTGCTGTCACTTCAGTTTTACGACTCAACGAATGCAAACTCTTTAGATTTATAGATTTCTGTCTTGAGAACAAAATCTGATGCAATAAATTATTTGTTTACTCATATTACCTGTTTACTATGCTACTTGTTGTACAAGTTCGTTCCGACCGTTTAAAAACGTCCAACTTTGGAAAAGAAGAAGCAGCAGCAGCAGCCAAAAAAAACAATTCAACACACATATTCCTCCGATCGCATATGAAAATAGACCACGACGGAAACAGTGAGGAAGAACCGAATGCAGATCCTTGTTTGGAATTACAACTACAGTGGACTGACAATCAAAACCAAGGAGCGATTTTAACGTCTCCAATTGACCTCCAAATTACCTTTCCTAACCGGCTCTTTACCTCCTTGATATCTGCTATCTCAGGAGGATTTTCCTTCAACTTGAATTATTAGGAGAACGGCTAAAAAAAAGAGAAAATCGAAAGACACACGGAATTCCGACGTCACTTTCGCATTACCCATAGTACACCCTACCCCTTCTCGAATTTTGCATCAGCGTTGTTTTCGCTTTCTCTTGTGACGATTCTATTTTTTATTTATTACTTAGAGGAAATTGAAAACAATTCTTATGCAAAATTCTGGGTAATAACCAACGCGGATTATGTGAAAATGGCAGATTTCAGACCTTTAGCAGGTGGGTTCATTTCACGTGCGTTTTTAACTGAAAAGGAGGTTTCACGTGTTCGGAACTGAGTACGGCCTGTTTCAAACGTCGAAAATCCAAATATGCCGAATTTAATACTAACGAGGAAATACAAGTTGCTCTCGCTCACTTGCAAAACATATGCGGTTTCCATAATATCTGGATTCATGTGTACGGGGCCTTTAACCCTTTAAATTCTAAGATCAAAATTTGAATTCTTATTTGTTGCCTTTACTCATTTCCTACAGAAGTTTATTTATCTTATTTACTGTATATGATGAGAAGTAAAAAATGATCATGAATAGACCCTTTGACTTTGTTTTCAAATTTTGACTGGAAGCACTCTAGTAAGCAAAAATCTGTCCACACTGCATGAGAGAACGCCTTAAATTAATGTAATTAAAGTTGCCTAGTTTGAAAGCGATATGTTGAAAACTAACGAAGATATAGCTCTGCAACGTCTCTGAATTTTACAGTCGGTTGTTTTGCGAAGAGTGCAGAACAAAAACAGCTGATCTATATATAAAAAAAAAAAAAAAACAATTTAAGATGTAGTCACTGCGAGTTCTGCAAAAACAAGTTGCGTTTTGATAACTACTTGATGCTGTTTTATGACACACGAGATTCCCTGGACAGTGAGTTTGCTAAACCTACGTGACTGCAAAACCATACACAATCAGGCTGACGCTCTCATTATCACATTCGTTAGCAGAATTTATTACACGATTTCTCTTATACTTTACAGGACTCTAAATCAACACGCATCCGCGCCACCCTTGTTTACATTTCATAGTCTCACTGCCCACATAGCTCCGAATCAACACACATTCTCACCATAGTTGCAAAAGCTTTACTTCACTTTCTACTTTATATTTTACACAATTTCAAATAATAATATAACAATATAAAAACATTCTTACCAGAATCGAATTCACACTCATATTCACATTGCATCTGTAGCAGATGTTCTTATTTCACGTTCTCCTTTGTTTAGACTCCAAACAAAAACACAATCGCACCCACGTTCACAACCATATTCTTGTTTTATTAGATGGCAGTTATGTCACGTTCATGTTTTCACTAAACGGGGGTTTCATGTTTCAACAAGCCGTGCAGACTTAAATCTTGCTATGGTTATCTGTTGAACTTAATTCTATTATAAAAAGCAAGTCAGTGTTTGTTGACTCCCGCAATCAGTGCTATAATAAATATACACCAAGTCGAATGCGGATAAATTATTGCAAAGCTTCAATAACAAACAGTGAAAAAACAGAAGAAAATTTCAGTATACCTTGCAACAACTTCAGTCAGCTCTCGTCGTAGATGTAACTAAAACAGAACAAAATATTCTATCTGAATCTAAGATCTCTGAATCTTAGATTTTATTGTGTGCTTTCTCTAAACTTTTTACTTGAAATATTTGGAAAAGCATTTATCAATAACGTCCGAGTTTATTGATTTTCCACCAGGTGTTTCTCTTTGCGTGTACTTAACAACTAAAAAAAATTAACGCGTGTTCAGTATATATCTTTTTTTTTTCGCGCCAACACTTCCCGTACCTCTGGGAAACTAGCCTGCGAGCAAGCTGTCCGGGGTGCTCTGGCGGAGGGGCGGGAAAAGGAACTACGTCTCTGAAATTTGAATTCCACCTCCAATTCCCCTGTGGCTCGCCGTTGACTGAGCTTTTTTCAGATTTTCGCCTATCAGCGCGAAGCAGAAACAAGGGCGAATGTAAACAAATACAGAAAAATACGTGCCTAGGTTAATGACGTCATTACTAATGTCATCTCCGCCAATCAGCATTTCGCACGCTTGTGCTACTTTACGTTAAAAAGCTAAAACTTGTCTTTGCAGCCATTGAATTCCAAACCTAAGGGTCCAGATTTGTTTTTTAAGACTATATTTAGGCATTGAAACTGTTTTGTGTTGTCTGTTGCAACGAATGACAAGGATGGACATGGATTGAAACTTGAAAAAGTTGGGCCAACTTTTCTAGCTTTGTCATCTCTAACGGGTAGGGGTTTACCATCATCATCATCATCATCATCGTCGTCGTCGTCGTCGTCGTCATCATCATCATCATCATCATCATCATCATCATCATCATCGGAGTTTGTATTCACTCTTGACAGAGGAACTCCTCCCTGGATCGATCGCACAGGTGTCTGTACTTAGTTAATCTTGACCATGAGGGTCCGATCCGTTTGGTGAGATCGTCTCTCCATCTTGTTTTTGGGCGACCCTGTTTTCTGGTCCAATCTGTTGGGGTCCACTCTGTTGCTCTGATAGGGTATATGTCAATTAATAATAATTAACTTTAAAAACTTCAGTGATAACACAGGTACCTATACAGCTCCTTTCCTTTCTGTTCAACGAGTCTCCGGGCAATCTAATACTGTGCCAAAGGAAAAATATTGGTTTATTAAAGACCACATTCTTTTACGAGCTGCATACTCCGTTACGATACCGAAGAGAATTCTTCTCGTGTGTGTCGGTTTTTATATAGTGATCGTCCCATGCGGGATAATCCATAAAGACAGTATTGGATTCCGGATTCTAAGCACTGGATTACAGATTCCAGGTATTGGTATTTTAGTAGAACTTGAATTCCGGATTCCAATCGTTAGTGGAATTCTAACTTCTTGGAGCTGAGTCCCTGATTCCAAAGCCCAGGATTCCCTATTCACAAACAAAAATTGACCGCATTCTGGGGAGATAGTGAGCAATTACCTTGCCATCTTCTATCATGTCTTAGGGCAGATACCGACGAATCTGAAACAGAGTCTTTCAAAGCCACCGTGACGTACGATGGGAATGTCTCGTGGTTGGTACCAAAGGTTACCAAGAGTTCCTGTCAAATAAGTGTTGAACACTTTCCCTTGGATGAGCAGGTTTGTTTATGTGATTTTCTCTTAGTTACAACGTATCTTCTTCAGTTGATCTCACTTCATTAAGGTAAAGCCTTGTTCCTTTTTGTTTGTTGCCAGTTGGCATTCTCTTAATTTATCGTATTTATCGCCGGGGGTGGGGGAGGATTTGGGGCTAAACAAGGTGAAATTTAGCAGATCCCCCCTTGAATGTTGCTTCATTTGAGTTATCCCCCCTAATAACTTTTGATGACTTTCGCGATTCCCCCCCCATGTCCTCATTAATAATGAACGGTCCCTAAGTCCATTTATAGCTCGCCCCATGTAAAGGCAGTCTTGGATTCTGGATTCTACGCCGTGGATTCCGGATTTCTTGTCAGAGGAACTTGGATTCCGAATTCCAATGTTTAGCAGGATTCCGGATTCCTTTAGATAAATTACGGATTCCACAAACAAAAATTTTCCGAATTCCGGATTTCAAAGCAAAAAAATTCCCTAGTTCCCTTCCGGAATCCGGAATACCTTACATGAGCCGATCTAGCATAATCGAGTTATCATTTTAGGGTTTACTTCCTCTATATGGGTAGCTGAAATTAAGCCAGTCTTCAAAATTGTAATTTTTTTTAGATGTGCAAATTAACGTTTGGCTCATGGAACTATGACATTACGAAGCTCAACATCTCCGCTGCCAGTCGGACTGTCTTCACAAGCGATTACATCGCCAATGGAGAATGGGTTCTGATCAGTGCGCGCTCTGAACGTAGCCTTATGTCACATCTCTGCTGCAAAAACATGGTGTCTGGGGTATCTTACGTGCTCCATATCAGGCGTCTTCCGCTGTTTTATGTCACAAACTTCATCATACCGTGTGCGCTTATATCTGTTCTGACACTCCTGGTGTTTCTCATGCCTGAAGGTTAGACACGCTGCTTTAATATTGTAAATTAGTTTTTCAGTCTGAGGTGATAAGGATTTTAAGTGATTATCCTAAAGGGATTCTTAAACTGGTGTTTCAAACGATATTGAGTCACACAGCATGGTAATCTAAGGAATCAGTAGTGAATTGTATGCGGCTTTCGATTTAACGTAGAGCAACACTACTGGTGGCCTGGGAACTAGGCATCAGGCATTCAGAGTGAGCGTGTTACGTCACCTTCATTTCTGTTTTGATGCCGTACCACATACCCCTCTCTTAGTTATTCCATCCCAAGTAGGGTCGTCCCCCAGCTGTCTGTTTTTTTGACGGTTCTATTCTATGCTTTCGGCCAGTCAGCCATTTATTTTAATACTCAGTCAGTCAGGGAGTCAGTCACTTGGTCTACCAGTCAGTCAGTCACTCACTCACTCACTCACTCAGTCAAAGAGTCAGCTGGCCACTCAGAAAGTTCACGGTCAATTGGCCAATAAGTCGAACGGTAAATATTACCCACCCGACGAGTGACAAACAGAAAAGCAGTCAGTTAAATTCTACTGGTGATCAAACGTTTCTGTCTGCCTTCATCTGTAGTATATTTTCTTCGTTGTCTTAAATTCAGACACTGGTGAACGAATGGCAGTGGGAGTCACAATTCTTCTATCGCTGGCTGTATTTTTTTTAATGGTGGAAGAGAAAATGCCCGTTTCAGAAGACCTTCCGTTGATTGGTAAATACTACAGTTGCACCATAATAGAGGTATCAGTATCTCTAGCGGCCATGTGTTATGTACTGCGCTATGTACACCATAGGTCTGGTCCATTGCCTCACTGGAGAAAGGTCAGTATAACATTAAAATTTAAGATTCGGCCCATGCAAGGGAATACAAGTCAGTCTTGGATTCTGGATTCCACCCGTGGATTCCGGATTCCATGAACTAGATTCCAATTTTTTTACCTGTGGAACTTGGATCGTTAGTAGGATTCCGGATTCCTTGTGCTGTATTCTGGATTCCAAAGGCTTGCATTCCGGATTCCACAAATCAAATTTCCCCCATTCTGGAATCCGGATTCCTTTACATGGGGTGACAACATATTCTCATCTTACTCATCTAATCAGCTGAAGCCGTTTAACGACTTGGGATTCCGACCTGACTTGCAGAAGCGCATCAGTTCAACTAACCATTCGATAATCGCTACGTGACAAACTGGAGATCAGGGAGGAGTTTTTAGTTCGTAAACTACCCCGTGATAATGAACATTAAGATGAATTTGGTTTTGTAACACAATTGATAAGTGAGATAGTTTTTTATGTTATCCGAAAGAAATTGTCTGTTACTTATTGCAATACCTTCAAAGTGGAGCCCGTTTACGAACTAAACTATAAATAAACGGCCGGTTTTTAATATCCGCCCATCCCTCACACGACTTTCCCTTTTCCCTCCTGAATCGGTCCCAGATTTAACTCCCAACTGTTGTTATAGTTGTTTAAACCTTCCCTGGTGGGAGGAGGGGGTGGATGGAGGGGGTGGGGAGGGGTTGAGAAGCGTTTTCAGGGCTCATTTCTGTCGATGAACACTAACCTTTTCATTAGGAGGCCAGCAATTTGAGTTCAATAAACGTGGCAATATATGCGCACTTTTGAGTTACATTCACTCGACCATTCGACTGACAAAGCAGGCTTTTCGTCCGAAATTCACGAAAGGCCTTTTTTGTTTGCCAGAAATACATTCTAGGTTTCTTGGCGCGGGTGGTTTTTTACAACACCGGACACACAGAAACGCGTGAAAACAAGGCACCGAGGGCACAACTACAACTGGACACTCGAGGTTCCCGAGCGACCGAAGAAGAAGGCCGGACAAAAGCAAGGATTACCATGAAAAAGTGGAAAAATCGTAAGATAAGGGACTTTTTAGCTCATAGATTTACCGGTATTTTCTATCTCCAGGCTATAGAATGCAACTTGCATGGCAACAGCAGTTGTTGAACGGGGAGGAGGCCTGACCAATGCTTTGTTGCCACCCCTCCCCTGCTTCTTCTTACCCCTACTCCATTCGTATTTACCAAGGTCTCTTTCTCCTTTATAATTTCTACCCACGAACGCAGCCATGCACTGACAAGATTCCTGGATCCTCACGGCTGTATACTGGGCATAATCAGTGTTTTGAGTGTAGTTTTTTCAGGTTGGTGTTATGCGAAAACGTAAATAGCGATTGTGGTACCTTCCATGCACTGACTTCGTTCTAGAAATCTATAACCCTTCTTGTACCTAACAAACCTCTTTTTTTTACTTTTTCTTTTTTTGTTCACTCAGCAACGATTCCAAAAAAGAAATCCGACCTCCCAGCAGCCGAGTCTCGAGCGGTCAAAATCCTCGCGGAAAACGTTAAGGAAAATGACAAGACGGGTGAAATACACGAACAATGGCTGCTAGCGGCGAATGTTCTTAACAGGTTCTTCATTTGGCTGTTTCTTATCGCAGTTATCATCACTATTATAGCTGTGTTTACTGAGGATACAAGGAGACTTGAAACTTAGATATCACTGAACCCAGGTTGAAATTTTAATGGATTTGATCGAGGGGCGATCGACGTTTTGACTGAAAGATGAGAAACGAAAGAACGATGGAAAGTTTTTTTTATAGCAGCCGAGGAGCATTACGCAAAGATTTTAAATTTTCCCGCAGAAGATCTCACTAGGGTAGAAAGACCGATTTTTCATTTTTTTTTTTAAATGCACGTCAAGTCAGATTAGGATGATGTAGCCTACGTGTAGCCGCACCCTTCCCCCGACAAAGGAAAAACGCGGAGAGTGAAGAAAGCAATCTCGCCGCCATTTTGCCATGTGCGTGTGTTTTACATTTAAACCAATGAACGCCTCCGACAGAAATGATCGAACGGGCAGCCGATGAAAAACTATTATATATTTTCTTGGAAACGGAGTGACGTCACATAACACGATTCGTGCCAGCCTCTCGTAGACGCTCCCTCTCTCCGTTGTTCCTTTGTCGGTGGGAGGGTGCAGCTACACGTAGGCTAGGGATGATGCAGCGACATGGATGGATGGTGGGAGGGAATTAATACTTACATTTAAGAAGTTTTGTTCATTCAAGCCGATCGTGTCACCAAGTGACACCAACACTCCGACACAATACCTTGTAAAATTTCACTGTTGTAGACCCATATATTTCTTGACGCCACATTCCGGTCATAAGCCCCATCACTGCGATGAGACAACGGAAACCCTTTATTTTCCCCTTACGAATGTAACTCATACATGCCCAAGGCTTAAAGGGAACCTCCACTTCAACAAAAAGATAACTTTAAATCACAGGAAATAAATGTTACTGGTTGCACAAAAGTTTTTGTAGGGAGAATCTACTAAATTTGAAAGTGAAAATAAGCGATTTTAAAATTCGATTTTTTTTTTTAAGACAAATTTCGAACAAATTTGTTTATCAACATAATTTTATTCGATTTAAACTTATTCTGTAGTAAGAGGGGTTGGGTTCACTTTATAGGAGAATCTACTACGGGGGGGGTTGGGGAGGGGGGAGGGGTAGGGGTTTTATTCTAGACAGCACTTAACTGATAAGTTTGCTAATGCTTGGTAAATATGTGGAGGCCTGAGTAATTCATATCCTGTGAGAAATCATACCCAAAGGGAAAATGCTTTGGTCTTTATCAAATTCTCTCAAATAATTCTTGAACAAAAAGCAAGGAAATCAGTCTGAAAAATTTGTATTTCGATACTGGGCCAGGCGTTTAGCTGAGAACTCAAAGTAGACTTAAAACACACAACCTGATAATGTATGTTCTGTTAATTCCAAAATTAACTTACAGAGGACATAAAACAGTGAAGCAAGAGGAATCTTTGCTTTGAAGAGATGAAAAATAACTCATCTACATTAGGAAATTACCTTCTATAAACCTCTTCAATTTGTACAGGTGCAATATTTAATAATTTCAAAAATAACTACAATACAGTCTTAAATAAATAACTCATATTTTACAAACACACTTCATAATAAAGTAATAATTCCCTAAATTAAGACCGGACAGCAATTAATGTTGTTATTCTGTGACTTTTTCATGCATAAAAGAAAATCGAAATATGTGAACGAAAAGTTAAAATGTTGTTATTCTGTGACTGGAAAAGAAAATCGACTGAACGAAAAGAAAAAAAAATCTGCCCTTTTTTGGTCAAAGTGTCTCACAAAGGGCGAGGGGAAGGGAAGTGGGGAAAAAAGGTATTGGAAGGGAACGGCGAAGAGTAGGGTTACGAAAAGGTCTTCCGTATAAAAGCGAGTCAGTCATTACTCACCACCAAATAAACAGATTCAGCGCCGCCTACACCGAAATTAGGGACTTAAAGATCCAACGACGCGGACGGTAACGAAAAAACAATAGGTTTGATTAGCAAAACAACAACTTTGCACGTGCACCATGCTTTTTTGTACATTTCTCTGCCCGTTTTTGCACGACTACGACGTGAACATTCCTAATTTCGCGTTTTACGGAGGTCGTAAACAAGCAACGACGACATCTTATTTCCCTTACTGTACTTGGATATGGTGCCTAGGAATTCAACTCCAGGAGGGTTCGCCGACATTTGACAAAGTAAGTGGGTAGTAATAATTGCGATATAGACTGAAAGAACGCAAATTCACTTTTTAAGCGAAGTTCTCATTGCCGTCGCGTCGTTGGATCTTAAAGTGCCTAATATCAGAATTCTTAGACACTTATCCATCTCTTAACAGCCCACTAAACACAGCATACACGTAACCAACAAAAACAAACATGCAAAAAAGACCAATAAAAAGTTAAGAATTCCCTCCCTTCAAAGACGAAAGAAAAATCGACTGATATAAGGAGGCAACGCGGAGGTATTAAGCTTGTAAAGGGTGGTTTGGAAACATTTTTTAAAAAGTATTTTCAAGCTATTTTAAAGTGGAGAGATAATAAAAACTAAATATATCGAATGCTTATTAAGCGATAGGACGCGAGTCGAGTTCGGCGAGAGAGACTGTTTGTCGATAGAAATAATTTTTTTAAAATGTTATTCTGATTTTTTTTCCATTCCACTTGTGTTCTTCGTTTGTCGAAAATGTATCATATCATATATCTACGAAAAAAAGTCAAAAAAAAAATCAAAAAAGCGTTACGAAAAAAAATAGAGTTTACACGGGCCTCAAAATTGCGTTAAAACTATTTAGGCATCCCGAGTTCCTTGAACTTATTCTGCTTATTTTTTCGTCTTTTCGCCCCATTCAAACTTGGACCGTTGTTTGGAAATATCGTTGAAAAAAGGACTTTACAACTTGATGATTTGCTTCGATTTACGCCTCAGATTTGCCCTGTGCGGCGTTTTCCCAGGCCCTCCCGGTCAATTCATTTCATCTTCGCTTGGACCACGCAGCCAATACTAAGGCCTAGAGAACATGCGAACACATAAAACAAATATCCCATCATGTTAACACTATTCCTTGTGTGCACATTTCCCATCTAAGAAAATCAGATATCCTTTCACTGTTTTTCGTGACTGGATTCTTTCGTTTTCGACTTGAAATTGCTCAACGAACAAGTCTTCCAAGAAACTCTTGATATATTGGCGTTCTTACTGAGTGTGCCATCAAATGAAATTTACAAATACTTATATCTCTTAACTATTTTCCCCCCCTTGAAGAAAAAAATACGGTGAAAATAAAACAAATCCATCATGTTAAGTTTTGACTGGACAACCTCAGCAAAAAAAGGATCATCAACTACTTATCACCTGTGAATGGACCATTTTTTCTGACTACACTCCCACTTCTTAGAACTGTCATACTTGGCTCTTTCCTTAGGGAATAAGACAAATCAAATGTTTTTCCTGAAGAAAAATAATAGTCGAGAAAATTTCTTTTGTTTTATTCCCCAACCTCGGCAAAAAGGAACATAATTTTAATATATCAAAAATGGTCTATTACAACAGGAATATCGAAGGTTTTCTGTAGCTTTTGATGTTATGGCGATAAAGAGAATTGCTGCTCTTACAGTTCATATTTTTCTTTGCCAAAATACCCGCAAAGGGTACAAACGAAGGCGTGTCTAAAGCAATCGGCAAAACGCATCTTACCGAGCTCCTGCTCATGGCTTTGTTAAGTTCCTCATGCGCCTGCTGTACATTGATTCCCAGTAGACTGATTCCCTCAACATTAAGCAACTGGTCTCCTGGCTCGACACCGCCTAACATGAACAAGAAATAGAGACTATTAGAGCAAAATTCGCTTCAGTCGGTAGCTATTGCAACTTGAGTAAAGCATTTCAAATAGGATTTTAGCCTGCGTAGCTAGCGGAATTGGTCCTCGCGCGAGTGAGGTTTGTCTCTTCCCCAATTCTCCACGGGGATACGCAATACGCGCAGACGAGACGATCCCGCCAGCTTTAATGCGTCTCTTCCCCATTCTCCACGCGGATACGCAGCTCTGCCTCAATATACGCACTGACGTGACGATCCCACCAGGTCAGTGTAACCGTGACAATAGGAGTAGCCTGCGGGGAGGGTACTACCCATGCAGGGCTAATAGACTTTCTCAAAGCCCGTTTCCAGTTTCTGCTGGTTCTTGTGACAAGTCCACATTTTAAAGTGCTCTTCGATTGCGGCACGTAACGTGACTTATATACAGTCGAACTTATATATAACGGCCATATGAATAAAACGGCTTTTCTTTCTCCCCAGGGTAGCTTGTGGCGTAACTTAAATGTCGGTGTTGGAATGAAAAGGGAGACACGCGAGGGGTGTCTCTTGGCCAGCGTAATGATATTCAAAAAACGTGACATTTGAATGTCGGTTTGACCTTCGTCAGAGCTACTTGTAGGTTCAATTATTGCGTGCATTCTGGCCACGGATTGGTTCTCTTTTGAGCGGGCTTTCCAGAAAGTTTTCTCCGACTGTTCAAGTCGTGCATCTAAGTAGTCTTTCCAAGTAAAGGGTGATGACGTCACAAGCGCTACAGGAATGGTAGGGGATTTCCACTAGGGTGGTTTAAAACATTTTGGGTGTCCATGAGTTACACATGCATATTTTGTGCAGTTGAGTTTTAATGAGTTTTTTAAGTGATGAGTGCCCCTTTTCACAAGTATAACATGCATCAACCACCATACACCCAAGGTGCGCCAACTTACCATGGACGGCCACACAGCCATGTTCCTGAACTTCTTTTACGAATATTCCGCCATCACGCTCTTCTATTTCTATTCCTAAGTCTGAAAGCTGCAGAATTATTAAAAGGAAAAAAAGGTATACAGTCGACTCTCTCTTAACGGACACCTCTACGGTAAAACGGACACCTAGAGTTGGTCTCTGCCTTTCCATTTGACTTTCTATAAGCTGGACATCACTCTTAGACGGACATTTAGCAGTGGCGGATCCAGACCTTCAGATAAGAGGGGGGGCGGGGGGGGCGGTCTCAAAAAACGTTTTTTCCGCCCTCAGTTTGGTCTAAAAATAGGGGGGAGGGGGGCGCTGGGCCCACCGGGCCCCTTCGCTGGATCCGCCACTGTTTAGTGCCGGTCCCAAAGGTAGTCCATCGTAAAGAAAGTTAAAAAAATCGACATGGTAGAAAACTCATTGTGACTTCAGAAATGCAAGACAGTGACTACAGCTAGAGAACCCGAGATAAGAAAAGAAGAATTTGAAGAAAATCACCGGAAGCCTTCTCCACTTCCTTATTTACCTTTTCAATTGATAAGAAGTGAGCTTCTCTTCCCTCAAGCACGTCATCTTGAAACTGTCCACAAATTAAAAAAAGGAAAGATAACGCTTATAGAGAAGTCCTGTCAGTCAAAGAGATAATTCATTGCGGGCGACCAGAGGAGCCCGCAATCCTAATCTTCAGGTTGCTATTACGCACGCGCGGCACGTATGTAGCCAGCTCTCGTTAAGACTTCCACTAACAATGAATGGAATGCATAGATTGAAATCTGATCACGCACGTTTGGAGCTTCTATCACGTGAAACCTCTGCAAAGCGCAGCGTTGGAGAAAAAGCGTTTTGACTTTTGATTGATCTCACGCACACTCCCTAACCTTCGGTTATTACTAGTTTGTCTACTATTTTGAACATTTAGAAGGGCTTTCAAGAAACTGGGAACAAACTTTGAGTCCGGTACACTTTTTGGAGAATGTCATGAACCATTAAAGCGGTCACAATTCTTCAGTAAAACGTGATACCTGTTTGTTATCGAGATTTAATGGCGTGGGGTGTACATCAGCTAGTACTGTTTCCTTATGGTAGCTTTCACTAGGTCCTGTCACAACCACTTTAACACTGAAACATAATATGAGGATAAACTAGTACTTCAGCAATAAAGTACATTGGAACCTCGATATATAACGAAGGCCCAAGGGACTGGCAAAATGTGTTCGCTTTAACGAGGTTTCAATCGTTATAACGAGACTACTAGGGCGTTCGTTAAACCGAGGACTTCCTTGTAGAGAGATTCGTTATATCGAGGTTCTACTGTACGCGACCTTAAGATAACAGACCGTAAGGCGTATATAAGCTCCCTTACATTTTAATTGATACCGGGTATCGATTTTCACAGACTGGAACAAATACAATGGAATCCCAATGAGAACAAAGCACCAACAGACTCCAGGCAAATCGGTCGTTTTAATGGGTCCCTGTTCAGTAGAACCCACTTAATACGGCCACTAACGGGCCATAATTAAGAATTTGTCCGTATTATCGGGGTAGGGTCAAGTATTCCATGGCTACTTTATTTTCTCGTTTTAACTGAAGGGGTGTTATCTGCTGACTTTGTACAAGAAGTCACTGTTTTCGAGTGGGCAATATGATTTCACACAGACACTCAGAAAAGCCGGGATATGTGTTTTGAAATGCACATTGGGTTTAAACAGCCGTATTACTGAGATGAATCTGTACTTCGGGATTTTAAAATGTGACCCTTGGCCGCATTTAAGAGGCATTTATAACTGTCCAGGCACAAAAATCAAAGTGGCCGTAATAGAAAGATGGCAGTATAAATGAGGAAGAGGTAGTGGATGAAATCTGGTTATCGTCTGGGAAGTCGTTATACCGGGGTCTTATTGTAGCTTACGTTTCTGAAAATGCTGCTCTTTTCTGGCTGTTTGGTGTCACTTCCACGGGATGTGATTCTTCGAGCGGTTGAAACGAGGCGTCAGAGGTTTCTTCGCCGTTTGTATTATTATCTTGAAATAGGTAAAAAAAAAAATCAATGAAACAAAAAAAAAAGTGATTAGCCCCAAAACGGATATCAACAACATGTAGGAACACGTTTACAATTCACTTTCAGAGAAAAAAATAAAAAAATACCACTTAGTTTTAATTTAGATTCGGTTAAGTTCAACATCGAATTCTGATCTGGCAAGAGACTGAAGAGAATGTCTATCCGACCTTGTCCCTCTGTAGTGTTTTAAATGCGACCTCCATCTCTTACGTTCTCGCTGAATTCTTTTACTACTTCTCTTTCCACTGAGTGTTTTAAATGCATTTTAGTCATCTCTACCGACTAAGCAAGTTCTGCCGCTGTACAAGAACACCCGAGGAAACCGCCCACCCCCCTCCGCCCACACTCACAATGCCCGATTAAAAGGTGGCAATCTTGTAGACGTGTCTCTGTGAGAAATGTCAGCCAAGTTTCGCTTGCTGAAGTTCTAAGCAGTACATAATAAGTTGACCACACTACCTGTGTTTCCTTCCACAGCATCGTCCCCTTTATCTTCTGTTAATTTTTGAAAGTGCATTTGTTCCTTGGCTTTTTCCAGTTTTTTCTTTTCCTCAGCTTTTCGAGCCAGGATCTGGGTTTTGATGGCAAATTCAGGCATTTTGTCTTCCTGTTGTTTGGCGATTTCCTCCATTATAAACTGTTCGGCTTCCTGAATTACGACGCAGTAACACTTTATTTACTTTTTTATCATGAGACACGTCTGTCAATAGAACCTTCAGGGGTTTATTCAACTTTAGAGAAAATACGTCCCAGGGGAGGGGGGGGGGTACTCAACAAATGTTTATACGGCCAAAGGTTCGGGCCTTGCCCAGGTGCCATATTCCGATGCCCTTCGTTTCAACCCCTGGCAACAGTACTTTTATACAATTATACTCAATAACGACTGTACCTTGTTATGACGTAAAACAAGATGTAACTCCTTGAAGGACTTTAGCAAGTAGATTGCCTGCAAGGGACGTTAACATAAAATGACTCGGTGTTATTATAAATAAGGGACGTTAAGATCCGACGACGCTGACAGCAACGAGAACGTCAACAAAAGCAAAAGGTTTAATAAGCAAAACAACAACTCTGCACGTGCAGCACGCTTTTTTGTAAATTTCTTTGCCGTCACTGCACGACTACGACGTGAAAATATCCAATTCCACGTTTTATGGAGGACGTACACAAGCGAGGATGAAATTGTCTTTCTCTTTTTTGAACTTGGACATGCCGAGACTAAGTAATTCAACTTCGGGAGAGTTCGCCTGCATTTGACAGAGTAACGCGAACGCGAATTCATTTCTTAAGCGAAGTTTTCGCTGCCGTCGCCGTCCTCGGATCTCAAAGTCCCTATAACCTGTAGCCAGTCGGGGTGGTACGCCTTCCGGCAGTAACTTAACAACGGGCAATGAAGGATACCGGCATATACACTTTGACACTCATCTTTAAACTAATTGCTCCTGGGCATAACCCCAAATATAACTTGACATGCGCCTGTAGCTTTAAAGTACCGGCGCGAATGCTCGAATGCACACTGACTGAACCTGAAGTCTTTCACCCTGACAATGCACAGCCTTAAATTTATCGATTTATTTCAATTACCGTTTTATATCTTCACAATCCTTTGATTTTGCGGCTTTCGTCGCAGGCGCCGGTTAGTTTTTGGTTAGCTGTTATAGAATGCGCGCGAAGGGGAGAGGACGTCCCCTCGTAGGCGCGCGCAGTCCTCGATATTATGGACCTTACGACCCGACAACGGCGACGTCCATGAAAACGTCGCTGAAAAATACACTTCGCATCCTTTCACTTTTTGTTTGCGATTATCCCTAGGGGCCCACTTACTTAAAAGAAGGGATTTTGGGAGGGAGCTGAAGAAAAGGGACCGCGCCCGAGTTCAAACAGGGATGGTAGAATTTATCGCCTTGCCGTTCCCGTTCCAAGTAAACTTAAAATTTGGTCATTTCACGTCGTAGTTGTGCAGGGGCGGCAAAGAAATGTACAAAAAAACGTTGTTGTTGTTGTTGTTTTGACGTTCCCGTTGTCGTGGCCGTCGTGGTTTCGTAAGGTCCCTATTTCGCCCTAAAAAACGTAGGCTATATTGATTTTGTAACCAAGGAACATGAGCGTATACTAGGAATCCCCTAGGCCCGAAAACACTTTAGTGTTAGTTGTACTGCTTACAAATAACCAACTCTCAACTAGCCAGCTTTCAGGGTTTCCTTATGTAGATTAAATTCACAATAGCTTAAGCCCTGATCTCGCAAAGACACAAGACGAGCCTAAATTTTTGCCACATATTTTACGTTTTTGCTTTTTCTCGGCTGCTTCAGTTGATCATTTAACTAAATATGATGAAGATATTTCTGAATAAAAAAAAAAAAAAAAACAAACAAACAAACAAATTTTACTTACCTCCGAATATCTTAGTTTCATAATATTCTTTCCATTGACGGCAACAATTTGGTCACCGATCTAAACAAACAGTCGAAAATACCAGTTACTCATTCAGGTATCGCTTAGTTCTGTTTATAAGGAAACTTTACAAAAAATGCCCTGACACAGTGACCACACAGAAATCTCCCTCAGGGGTCAGTTTAAGATTGAGCCACACCCACATTGGTCTCCCTTAGGGGTTTACAGTCAAGAATAGCCTGTGCACTGAATGAGTCGATTATTTGAAAAATGAATCCGTTAGCCGTTGCTGCAACCAGTCTCCAATTCAAATCTGCATTCCTACACGCGTAATGAGCAGTGAATTTTTCACTACAACTCCTCTGTATTCGGTCAGATTGAAATATCTTTGAATGGTTAAAATTGTTTTAAGACATTTACATCAAATTCAAGAAAACTGAGCTGGCAACTCATTACGTATGCAAGGGTGCAGAGATGAAACTGAAATCTACAACTACCAACGGATTCAACCTTCGAATAATAAATTCATTAATGCATAATGCATTCTTGGGGGGGGGTACGCTTCACCTGCCCTGACTGTAAATTGAATATGCCGACGAGCATCCCCGACGAGCATATGGGGGTCTCCCCCCCCGGGTCTTACCGCGGCCGGCGCAACAACCCGGGTCTTTGAAAAACTGGTAAGATATACTGATCTCAGTTCGGATGATTGCGACATTGTGCGCATCCTTATTTCATTAGACAAACAGAAAGGACCGTACGAGAACCCACACTACTGTTCGAAAAGAGGAGAAGTTGTGGTCTCCCTTGTTCACATCATTCATATCATGGGTTGGGTTGTAACCATGACACGTCTCACTGTTGTCCTCTCATCCTCGACATTTCATTTATTCAATCATTTACTAATTTCAAACTTACCCGTACACCAGTCTTGTCTGCCAGTGAACCTGAAGTTACTGATATAATAAACAACCCCTCTTTGCCTGGAACACCATTACGCACGCTGGGAAGAAGGTAAGACGGGTCATAAAAATGTTTGCACAGCAGTGGAACAGGGACAGAAATATCTAAACAAGACTAGCCTGCGAGCAAGCTCCCTGGGGGGTCCTATAGTTGCTCTAGAGTGCTTTAAGGGACTGGGTAGATAACTTAAAATGTTCGCGGTCTTTTCTTCGTTGAAAATAGCAAATACTAGCTTTAAAGCGGGGGAGATAGAGGAGAGAGCGAAGCGCGAGTGAGCGCACAGAGGATGACGGGAGAAAGGGCAGAGCGGACGAAGAAGAGTAAGTACGTAGCGCAAAGCCAGCGCCGCAAAGATCGGATTCTAAATATACAGTATTCCTCACCATTCCAGGCGATGGAGAATGTCAACGAGCCCGTCATATGTCTATTATTCACAAAATCTAAGGTGGGGGTCGAGAGGAAGCAAATCCTGTATCAACCTCGCACACCCCCTCCACCCGTCCAACAAACCAAAGAGTTGAAATTAACTCTTACCTACAACCGATTCCTTTAGGACCAACGATCAACGTAACTTGCTTGTCATCTGGGGCAGGTTGAAACAATGCTTCATCGAGGAAGTCGCCTTCTTTAATCAGATAATCCTGCAATCGGTTTTATAATTCAACAAGACTGAATTTCCAGTTCACCAACTTTCTTCTTACAGGAAGGTGGTGTTTACCTCTTATCGTCTGAATGTGCTACAAGTACTTTTACACGTTCGCCCATTTTCTACCTTACGCGGAGCTACGTGTCAAAAAGGCTACAAACGTAGGTGGGTCTTGCTTCAATGGATTTTTATGAGATTTTATGGCATTCTGTTAAGTTCTGGTACATATTATATAGTCTATATACAGTTTTGTAGTTTGGTACCATAGGGAGGGGACCCTCGCCATCTCAGCTTCGTGCCTGGTAGCTCAGTCTCGATAAGTCGGTAGAATAACGACGATCTATTAAGGAATTCTTGAGTCTGATTTCTTTCACAAGTCTTTAGTTCACTTTCCCTGCGTGAGTGCTTTTCCATACTATAGGCTAGGATTGACACTTTTAGATAGATATGTGAACAGTCTCCCATTTTTTCGAAAATCTGTGCGCGGAAACCCTTACCCCCGCCCCCCAACCTTCTTCCATTTGACTCGTCCAATCTTATTAAGGTCTTTTTTCAACATGGTGCTACATGACTTGTCCTGAGTGAATTCTAGTTGTCAAGCGCCACCAGACTAGAGTTTTGTGAAATTTTATTGGACTCAGCACTATGTGCTAACCAGAAGTCTAACCATACATTGACAATAAGACGGTTTGCTGGAAATCTTCTGTGCGTTTTATGAGATGAGTTTAATTTCTTGGTGTTGCCCAGAATAGAACACTAACCAGTAGATCAGGATGGTAGTAGACATTTTCTTTTCCCTCAGCAGTCTCCCAGCTAATGACCTCATTTCTGTTTGAAAAAACAGAGACGTCAAGCAAGCATTTTAACAAACAATGCTCTGATAGATTACGTATAATACCGGTATTGGGGAGAGGAAAAAAAGAAAGCGAGCGAGAGACGATATAGGGGAGCTTTAGCAACGCTGACGGCGACGGCGACGGGAACACGAACGTCAAAGGAGCAATAGGTTTATTAATGAGAAAAATAACAATTTTGCACGTGCAGCACGCTTTTTGGTACATTTTTCAAACTCGTATATGCGATCGTGAATGTAGTTTTAATTTTGTACCAGAATTACCAGGATACTGTTTTGAATCGGTCCCAACACCTTTATCTGCCGGTGGTGTTGGCCTGTTCATTGATCAAAATTGTAAATACCGCGTCCTTGAACGAGTCTCCAATTCTTGCTATCAAGCCCTATGGATTGAACTTCATCTGCCTAACAATAAGAAATCTGTATGTGGTGTTACTTATAGGCAACACAATAACGCTAATGAGTTTCTAGAATACTTGACAGATTTTCTTGAAAGCCAATGCCGTCAAAATCAAAATATTTATCTCATGGGAGACTTCAACATAGATCTGTTAAAATATGAAACTTGTAGTTACACACAAACCTTGCTCCAAACAATGCAAAGTTTTTCAATGTTCCCAGTGGTTGATAAGCCGACTAGAGTCTATGGTAATTCAGCAACTTTAATTGACAATATTTTCATAAATAATCCTGAGAATAATATAGTCAGCGGCAATATCGTGTCCGATACAACAGATCACTTCTCTCAGATGTGCATATTATCGTCGCACTGTAAACCATTCTTTCCAAACAACAAAACTAAGGTTCGTGACTATTCTACCTTCAATGCAAAGTCTTTCATTGACGACTTGCAGAATATTAATTGGAATAATATTTGCAAACATATCGATGCCAATCAATCGTTTTCCAGGTTTTACAAATGCGTCAACAAGACAATTAACAAACACGCTCCTTTAAGAAGTATATCCAATCGTAAACAAAAATTCCTTGCTAAACCATGGCTGACGGCGGGTTTAAGAAAATCAATCAGGGTAAAGAATAACCTCTTCTATACCTCAGACCGTGACAAATACAAATTTTACAGAAATAAAATCATTTATCTTACGAGATTAAGTAAAGCGAACTACTACCAAAGTTTCTTTGATCTCAACATATGTAATATGCGTCAAACTTGGAAAGGAATTAACGAGCTAATTGGAAACTGTAAAAAAAAAAAACAAGCGCAACTCAACTAACTCTATTCGCTCAAACCCGAATGAGGTTCCAACTAGTGACCCGAAGGAAATAAGCAATATTCTTAACAAATATTTCGCCACTGTTGGGAGCAAACTGGCTTCTAAAATTCCTCAGACCATAAATACATTCTATGATTATTTAGATCCGCCACTTAATCGCACTTTCTTCTTTGATCCTATTATTCCGGAAGATATCAATTTAGAAATTTCAGTTTTGCAAGACAACAAGGCCCATGGTCTCTACTCATCTCCAGTTAGGCTGCTGAAATTAGCAAAAGGGTCATATCCGTACCTCTAGCCACGATTTTTAATCAGTCTATTTGCTCAGGGATTTTTCCATCTAAACTAAAGTGTGCTAAGATTATCCCGATATTTAAGGACGAAGATGACACGCTGCCCGAAAACTACCGACCTATTTCTCTGCTCTCGATTTATAACAGGATTTTTGAAAAACTTATGTACTCCAGAGTTACCAAGTTTGTCAAAGATTGCAACATTCTCTATGATCAGCAATACGGTTTTCGCAGTAAGCACAGTACTCAGCATGCTGTACTTGATATTGTTAACACAATTCTCCAAAACATGGACAACGGTAAATTTTCGTGCGGTGTTTTCATCGATCTCAAAAAGGCTTTTGATACTGTTAACCATGAAATTTTGTTAGCTAAACTTGAAAATTATGGTATTAGAGGTGTAATAAACTCCTGGTTCAGATCATACCTGACTGATCGGAAGCAAACTACGGAAGTTAATAATGTTGTGTCTGAGGCTGAAACGACCTTGTGCGGCGTGCCACAAGGCTCAGTCCTCGGACCACTCTTATTCCTACTGTACATCAATGATATTTACAAGTCCTCTTCGTTATTTGCCTTTTATCTATTTGCTGACGATACTAGTATAATACTTGCAAATAACAACCTAAAGGAACTCGAAACACTTGTTAATCGCGAGCTTGGCAACGTCAACGAATGGCTAAAGGCCAACAAACTGTCCTTGAACATAAAAAAATCAAATTTTGTAATCTTTCGTCCCCGGCAAAAGAATATGCCCTTCATACCTAGGATTAGAATTTTTTGACTCCGTGACTAACACCTACGCAAACCTTGAAATGAAAGATTATGTAAAATACCTTGGCTTAATGATTGATTCAAATCTTTCATGGAAATACCACATCGAATCTGTCTGTCACAAAATCAGCAAGTCGATAGGAATTATAGCTAAAATTCGACATTATGTCCCGCGTCGTGTTTTACTTTCAGTTTACAACTCATTAATTGTCCCTTACTTGACTTATGGTATTTGTGGTTGGGGAAATTGTGCCTTGACATCTCAACGAAAGATCGTAACTCTACAAAAACGGGCCTTACGTCTCATTTACTTCAGTAAGTCTAAGGAACACGCCGTACCCTTCTTTCTCAAATCAAATTGCCTTCCCCTGCCTAGCATATTTTTCAGAGATTGTAGCTATTTATTGTATGATATCAACAGACAGACAGCACCAGTTAGTATTCTCAATCAGTTCGTTAAAACAAGTCAGATTCATAACTACAGAACAAGATCTGTCTCAAGCGACTCGTTTTATGTTAAGTTCTCTAGAACCGATAAAATGTATGCCTTTTTCACGAGAATCGGTGCCCAAATTTGGAACTCTATTCCGTATTCGATTAAAATACTTAAACGTTCGTCCTTTCGTAAAAAAAATAAAGGAATTATTACTAAATTTTTTGGGTCAGAAGATGATTATGTCGAAGTCTCCCGTCTTATTAAGTTATTTAATACTTTAGTTAACCTCTCTTCGTAATCGTTATGTACATGCCTTGTTTTTGTTTTTTGTTTTATGTTAGTTTAAACTCTATTTACTGTATTGTAGTGTCTTCACTGTTATTTAGTCCATCTATATATAATTCTTGTTTTGTAATATGTCTTCAGCTCCCCCCGCCTCGATTAGTTCATAAGCTATTTGCGGGTGGGAAAGTAATGTAATTAGTTATTTTCCAATTTTCAATAAAATTTGTTGTTGTTTGTTGTTGTTGTTGTTCTTGCCATCCCTGCACGACCAAGACGTGAAATTTTCTCACGCGACGTTTCCTGGGGGACTTTAACACAGAAAGAGGAATGTTTCTTTCTCTTTGTACATTTGGGTGCGGTTCCCAAGAAGTCAACTCCAGGAAAATTCACCTACAGAGTACATTTGACTTTTTTCGGCGAGGTGGAATAAACAAAACAAAATTGGAAAAAAAGACCAAATCGTTTTTCCTTATCGTCACCGTCTATTGGAATACGGTGACCCTGGGGGAACCTCTGCGGAGAAGAGAGAGAGAAATCTGAGCCGAAATTTCGTGATCAATAACAGGCAACAATGTAAACTTTACCCACTTTCGTTTCTAGTGCAAAAATACCGTCTTTTGACGCGTTCAGGCATGAACAAAGAGCAAACTGTTGAGCTCTTTCTCCTTTCTGCTGGGAAACGGTTCACAAAAGTGCCGAGGAATGTGTACTGAAACAGAATTTCTATCCGAGTTTGCACAAGTTAACAAAGGCGTCTTATCTGGCCCGTTTATGGAGATTTTTCACAGTTATGCACGCATAAGTGTTTGTTGCTTTGAGGGTTTCAACTGATGACGTCATAAGTGGTGCGGGGTTTGCTGTCAAGCGGTGGTGAGCGGATCAAACAAACAGACAGAACTTACATTTTACACGGTACTTTTCCTGAGGCTGTAGATGAAATACAAAATACTCATCAGACACGCTCAGTTCCATTAAATCTACCCCGTATTTTGCAAAACCAGAAAGAAAAAAAACCCGGTAAATTAAGATACTTACTTCGCACTTTAAGAAGAAGGTTTTTGCGAGATCTCAGGATATTTACCACTTCCCCATGGGTTGAATCAGCAATATATAATCCATTAATGCTCAAAATTTCATCACCTGCCTGAAGAGAACAGATCGCAATCAGATACTTGCACACACACCCAGGCAAAATGAAGCAGAACCATCAAGAGTTTAGGTGATTACTTTACAAGTCAAAAATTACTGCTTTTTGGGTTTAGTCGTGCACCGAAGAATAACTCTAGATCAGGTGGTCCTTCTTCCTTTTTTGTTTGGGAGGCGAGGGGGGAAAGGACCTTGTTGTTCCTTATTTTTTACAGATCAATTCAGGTTTCTGGGAAACTGCCCACCTACCCCTCCCCTAAGCTAACATTAGCACTCACTTCTCACTTTGGGCAAAATGATGGCTTAGGGGAGGGGTAGGTGGGCAGTTTCCCTGAAACCTAAATTAATCATTCCTTTTCCCTGTCCTCGAATTTCGCTCTTCCCCGAAAACAAAAAAACGCTTCAAAGCAGGTTAACACACAAAAAACTTTCTCCTTCTCTCTCGACACGGTTTTAGCTTTTCTAGTTTGTTTGCTTTCTTTCAATACACTTTTTAGTCCTCTTTTCAGCAACAGGTTTTCGCGAAAGCCCGTGGATCTTAACAACACTTTTAAGGATGTACCAGGATAAAGAGACAAGCTTTCCCGTTAAATAATGGTCAAAGCTAAATATTTCTTTCGAGTGACTTTTGGGCAGAATCGCGATCATTCAGGAATGCTTAGAAGATATTCTCTTCTTCCACAAGTTGATCGTTGGATATTTAAACTGATGACGTCACAAGTGGGACAACGCCTTTTCACACGGGCGATTTTGTGCGTTTCTGGTGTAGTAGATGGGATCACTGATCACCCAGTATTACATGCATACATGTGTGTACCATCCTGTTTGTAACTTTTTATCAAATCCAGAGCATGTATTGATTAATTCTTCTAATGCTGACACTTTCCGCTTCAAACATACTATTCCTGATGCTCACATGTACATTCAATAAACCGTCGATGTTTGGGTCTTTCAGTGAGTTAAGACCATGCAGCAATAATACACTGTAAATACCTTCAGTCCAACTACGTCAGCCTGAGATCCTCGAGAAACGAGGGAAACAAAAATTCCGACACCATGCTCTCGTCCTAAACAAAACAATTTAATACAAATATATCCGAATATAATATTGATAACTAGATTTATATCTTAAATTATGCATCAAGTTAACGACACGCAGAAGTACAGTTTTCCTGCATGTACATTGGGTGATTTGCCTGCAGCACCATTTTTTGAACACTTTTCCACTCAAAATTATTGTCTTCTTAGAAATGTAGATCCTTCTCAAGAAGCAACTGACCAAATAGGCTACATTAGGGAGCTTAATCAAGAGGCTTTAAAGCGAGGCGCTTGTCAACTGGAAGAGGACATTTTGCATCTTTTGGCTGTCGTGCACCCAAATTTTCAGGCAGACTGTCTCAATAGAGCAAATGCACTTAGCAAATACATGTACAAGGCATTAGAAGGACTGCCACTTCTGGTTTGATGTGCGTTGCTGAAAAACACCTGTGTTTAGGCTACCTATTGCATCAACATGGAGGCATACTACCGGGGGGGGGGGGGGTTACTTCAAGAATTTTTGGGTGGGGATGTTCCGCTGGGACCCTGGGCCCCTATACCAGAGCTCGTTCAAAATGAGGTCACAAACACAGTCTAGCCAATACAAAACCGATTTTATTTTTCCACATTTTTGAGTGGCAATTCCCGGTTTTCTTAGTCTAGACTAACAGCTTCAACCAATTGATACAGTTTCCTTGAAAATGATACCCTATTCTAGACCTAAAGTCTCTGATTTGTATACCCTATCCCAGAAGTAAACTGCTTGAGAACCATACCCCCCCGGCATACTAGACAAACATGCCTGCTCTGATGAGAGTGGAGATTCAATTTAGTAATCACGGAATGGCTCACCCACGCCACAGAGACACCTGTCATTTTATTTAGCACTACCCAGCGAGTTCTGACTTGGAGCTTGCACATTGGTGGACTATGCACCACTCCCTTCTTTGTTGAGCAGCATTTTTGTGACAGCCATCTCCCGATGAGCAGTCATGGATTGGACAAACTATCAATTGGATTAAGTGGGACCTCAAACTGGGAACTTATTAAGAAAACTGGAACAACTACTACACGTACCTCCACGAATACTGAAACCTATGCCTCCATTTCCAAAGTGTTGCACCTTGATAAGACGTATGCCGTCACTAGAACACAGTTGAATTTAATGTCCTTAACCAGCAGCAGATCTGGGTGTCAGGTCTGATAGGGATAGGGGGGGTCCGGACCCCCCTGACCCCCCCTATCAGACCCGAAGCTTGTTTGAGACTGAGATTCTTACATCGACAGGATTGTATATCACTTTTTGACAGGCAGGTTGTTTTAACGAAACGGGTGTTGCATTTTGTGAAATCTGTGCAATCTTTGTTACCAAGCACAGGAGGAGGATGTTCCAAGGTTGAATGTTTCATGAGTAGAATTTAAGTGCACAGTAAGGGGCCAAAGAATTACATCTGTATAATGTGCAACCACAACTGGTGGGAGGGGTGTGGGGTGTGTGTGTGAGGAGTAATTTGCCACAAAAAAGTTCAACAGTCCTTTCTGAACCTAAGTTTGGGCCCTCCCTCCCCCCCCAATAAACAATTCCTGGATCTGCAGAGTTATTAAATCAAACATACCATTACAATAAATAGCAGAGCTTATCATACCATGTGAAGAAATAAATAATAAATGACTTGTACAGTTTAAAAAAATTACATAATACAGTTGACTCCAGATAACTCGAACCCTCGCTAACTTGAACCTCATGCTAACTCGCACTAAAATCAACTTCCCCTGAATTTCCTTCATACATTAAATGTATTTTATCCTCGATAACTCGAACCATATTTTTATGCATAATGATTTATCACACCGTAAAATTTTAAGACAGTCTGACAAATCCTTCATCCAATTTTGTATTCACAAACTTGAGGTAAAAAGGTCCAGATTAGCCTCCAGTACCACCTTAAAAAGCAAGGGAAAAAACAGTCTACTGGCATCCCAAACATTGAATTTTGAATTTCCCATTAACATGTTGTAGGCATATAGTTTACTAGTGGAGGCAGATGTTGTTTCTCACATTTCTAATGTACGTGAAACAGTTTTACTTTTAAAACAGTAAAACGAATGCTCTATTTAGGCAACATCTTGTTATGTTAGGTTTTGATTTATAATCTAGAAGTATCTTTTTTCACTCAACATTTCTACAATTAAATGTGATGAAAATGTTCACTGTACAGTAAAAACTGGTTTAATTTTTCCTTACTCCGGGCTATTTTCTTCGAGCTCCCAGTAACTCGAACCTTTCTTGATTTCCCTTGAAGGCTCGAGTTATCGGGAGTCAACTGTATTAAGTAAGTCCTACGTACCGCACAAGTGAATGTCAAAGAGCTAATTGAACATTGTGCAAAATGTTACATTCAGTACCAGTAAATAAAAAAAATCGTCTCTGTCTTAAAGAATCATCAAATTTCAATAATTTAGGCTACTGTTTAGCATTACGATAGTATTTTTTCATTTCTCAATTTGTATAACTTAAAGACTTTGAATTCATAAACAGCTTGTTTTTATTATAGTCACCAAAGGCAGTTAAAGTGGTTGAATATAATACAGTGTATTTTGAAATTTATATGCCTACAGAGTAACATAATATCCAAACAGACTACAGTACCTTGGTGACTTAGGAATCAAATTCAGGAATGCAGAAGCATCTGTGGGTTTTACCAGATATCTGTGGTAGAATGATTCAAACATTTTTATCTATATGGTACTAGTTGGGAATTCTAACAGAATTATTAAACATTGTGTTTAAAATACAACAATTTCCAGTACCACCGTTTTTTTGTCCAGGATAGTGGATCGCTGCAGTTACTTGGTTATAGATCAAATCATTATTGTTTGGTGTCTAAATAGATGTCTTTTAAAAATTAAGGCAAAAGAATCAAGGGTCGACTTACTCTAAATCATTGGACAGTCAGATGACCTTGGTTTTAATGCCAATTATTATTTCTTTAACATCTTTCCCATCCATCTATTTTTTTAAGTACATTGTAGTTAACCCATACACCTTGTATTTTGTTTCTCAAGCCAATTCCCTTCTCTGTGTGGTATACAAATATACAACTAGAAATTAATAGTTAAATAATCCAGTCCATATCAACTGAATATGAATTTATTTTAATTGCTAGCACTTGAAAACCTATTAATAGTGATGAATAAATCATTGACCTGAGTCAGTCGAGGAAGGGACCTTTCTGGAATTTCACAGACATCAACTATTAAATTAATTAGTTAAGCAATATAATTTTTTATTCTTCTCACACTTACCTTACTTCTCTAAATAGTGGATATCTTTTTGGAGTGTTAATAACAGCTTTCAGATCATTGACAAGTTTTGAAATCGAGCTTGACCTAATAAAAGAAAATTGTAATAAGACAATGTATCCTGAGCATACCAATATAGAGTACTCGGATCATGAGTGGGAGGAAGGGGGAGCAATACCATACAAAAGTGACATCAAATGGGTGCTGATTTTGACCTCACTTAGGGTGTCTAGGACAGAATGTCAATATAATTTTAACCCATAATGGTATTGCTTGGGACTAATGGGCCAAAAAATGATGTATGATCCCAAATTGTTTGCCTTTAAAGGGTTTAATTTTCTGACATAAATCCTTATCTCTCTCATATGGAATCCCCCCTTCCATTGAATACCCACCCCCCCTCCTAATAGATGAGAATTTCTGCAGGGTCTTGAAAGTTATTTCTGAGGGGAGCAGCTGTGTTGGCACCTTTGATCTTTGGAATATTTCTGGAGGGTAACGGTAAGAAAAAAATACCTTTTTTTCTGAAGGGAAGGGGAATGGGCTAATTCTGAGGGGGTGGGTGGCTATTAAATGGAATGGCCTAGTCCAGAACCAATCAGAAACGAGGAACATTTCTGAATGAATAATAAATATGGTTAGATTATGGACTTTCTACGTTAATTTAGAAAAATTTTAAGGCTTACCCTTGATAGCCCCTGAGAGCTTCATAAAGCGTAGCTCTCTCCTCATCATTCTCAATCAAGACTTTGACCTTGAATGAAATCAATATAATATTATGCTCAAAAAGGCGGCTTTTCGATTATATCAAAATAAACTGTGTAACCAGTCCAGACATTTTGACGGAAAACGTTTGGCAAAGTGTTACCTTATTTTTAAATTCAGTAGCATGTTTGGACAAAGTGTAGCGATTCTCTTGCTCAAATCCGCGCTTCATCGTAATGATAATGATCGTCCAAAATGCGCCAAATTTTATGTCGGCAAAATCGAACCTTCCATCGAGCTTCCATCACAACAACACTGACAGAATAATGAAAACGAGGCCAAAACATGAAGCGTTAGTGCTTTGGGTCAGCGACTCCAATAATATGACGTCACCGGAGCTTGGTTTTGGCCGTTCCATCATTGAATGATTTTGAAATATGCGTTGCTTAGAATCGAATTTATTGGCATTCTGGAAGAATTAGAAGGTTAAAATGGACGTAGATTGCGAGTTAGACAGTGACCTTTTAACGAAGTTCAGCTGTCTGGGAACGACAGACCGCGATGTGCTTATAAATGAACTGCAAAGATTGTTGGACTTCCAACTCAATCCGTCAGGTTGTGCTTTCTTCCTTGATATGACAAATTGGTAAGCCTGGTTGTATTATTGACACTGATTATTACATGTGATTTTTCGTTCTCGAATGTTTACAGCTTGTATTTTCCAAAAATTGAAAATTCTAATATGTGGTTTTCTTTTAACGCCATTTTCTTCGTCCCAAGGAATCTACAGGTAAGCTGACAGTAAACTTATCTTTATTAATATGTAACTTACAAAAGCTTTGCTAAGCAAAATAGGTTAAGTTTTGCTAAAAATATGATACATTATGTATGTTTTGTTTAGAACTTAAATAATCTTATAAAACAGTATTAATAAATCGTCTTTTTTGTCTGGTTATATTTTCTTATCAAAATGACTGCGCTGCGAATATTTAGGTATTATTATAGTTAATGTTAATTTTGTGGCTATTTACGTTTTGATAGGATTCGTTGGTTAGACACATGTAGTAAAGCAATCAGTGTGCCACAATGATAATTTGAATAAATTGGTGCACTTCACTGAAGTAGATTTTAATGGCTGTCTGGCAATATATTTTGAAGAATCACTCATAAGTTCTGCACTTCATGATCAAACATGTCAGGTTAATAAATTTCTATTAAAATTGGAATTTCTAGCCATAAACTTGGAATACATTGCAAGGTATAGCTATAGTATAAACTGTATTTTTTTCTCCTGGTTGTCCAATTTGCTTGAACACAGCCTATCAGATAAAGGTCCTATTCAGTGCCTTCATTAAATCTAGCTATATGTAGTTATTAACTGTATGAAAGTTCACTTCATTCATCTTTTTGTTTTTTAATTTCTCTTTTTAGGCAGCAGTAGGCGCATATTATGATTTTAACAGTCCCCAGGAAAATCTTCCCAGTATGGCATTTATGCGGGATGTTACTATAGGAGAAGGAGAATCTGTCCCACCTAATACAACTTTTTTAAAAACTTGGAAAATTCAGAATAATGGTAAGAAGCTCATAGTGTTCCAGCACTTAAGTTAGTTGGAATGAGCAAAAAGTAAATAGCAAAGCTTCCGTGATTCCATTTTTATTTTATCCTTCCAAAGCCAACCTGCGTTACTTTTGGCGTGTGGGTTCTAAGGGTCATGTGATACTGAAACTGGGCCGTTAAGAAGAAATGAAACAACTGGGGAAGGATTCTTCTCACCTGAGTCCTAACCACCACCCCCACTTTCTTTTTTGTATTTTCTTACTAACTGAGAGCCTGCTCTGAACAGGCTACGATCTCATACGGTACTGTTGTTTTGATATATACTACTTGTTAACCTCATCTGTTCGGTCATTACAGCAGTCTTAACTGTAAAAAAACATGTCACCTCAATGAGTTGTACACTTTAGCCCACAATACAGTCAGATGACACTGGTCAGTGGATGCCCTTTTTGACAGAGTGTCAACTGACCATAACATGGATTTCTATCACTAATGAAACTTACAGCAAAGTACAGCTTTGGAACAAGAACATTTAAACCTGCGATCGATCTCACCCACACTTGCTTCTGAAAGTTACTGTTTTCTTACCAGGTAATAGTGCATGGCCCATTGGGGTTTTCCTAAAGTACACTTCAGGGGATCAACTAGGTCCCATAAATATGGTGTCAGTAAAACCTTTGGGTGCTGGCGAAGAGTATGATCTTAGTGTAAACATGATATCACCTGGGAAAACAGGCATGTACCAAGGTCAATGGCGTATGTGCACCCCCACGGGGCAATATTTTGGAGGTGAGTGAGTTGTTTACAATATTATTTAATTCATGTTTGAGGTTAAAGAACTACACGGTAGTACTGTGTCACCAGCAAACTTTCTGTGTATAATTTTCAAGGGTGCCAGTGGCTTTAAGGTGATGTTACACGAGACAATTCGCAACAACGAATGTATTAGCTCAATACAGCATTGCAACATTGTTGCACTTTGTTTCGAATAGTTACAACACTGTTCCAACATTGCAATGCTGTGTTGTGTTAAAAGTTGTTGTTGCGAATCGTTTCATGTAACATCACCTTTAGTGGCTTTTATGTTTGCTACATGTACAATATCCATGTGAAGGGCCGCCAACAGGGATGTACATGTAGCTAAGGTTTGCTTGGAACAAATTTACATCTGGAACCCCATGACTACCTGATAAATAATGTACAGACATGTAGTGTAAACACAGACAGTAATTTTGTTACCTCTGCGTCCTGCATCCTGTGTCCTGCATCCTGTGTCCTGCGTCCCTGATGCATACGAATCCCCAAAGACACAAAATAATTCACGGTATGTGTTCCCTAGGACGCAAAGATCGAGTGATATCTGATGATGTCTTTGTAGAAAATCCTGTTTGGTGTGATTTCTGTGGCTGTTCTTTCGGCTGCTGTTTAACAACTCATCTCTCTCTTACTTTTTGTTGTGCTTTACAACAGAAGGAGTATATTTTTATTTCAGTAATCTGTAAAACAGAGTTTTGGTGTCTGTCTTCCGAGCAGCTTTAATTAATAGGAGTTGTCTTTTGAACTGGGACTCATTGGCTCACTCATGATTTTTCACAAGATGAGTTCCAGGACTCACCATAACCATTTGTAACTAATTCACTGCTCTGATTTACATTGTTAATGGCGTTTCTGTCGTTCTGGTGTACATGTCTTCCTGTGTATTGCTCCAAGCAGCGAGGAGCAAGGAGAGATGGCAGCTATACTGACAAGCTATTCTCCTCGAAGATCACTGTCGATTCATGTGCTTGTTTTCTTTTCCAGATGTAATATGGGTTATTCTCTGTGTGGATGAAGGCGGACTTTTAGGATTAACACAACAGCTGTCAAGTCTCGGAAGGGAAATGAACACACATCAAATTTCCAACCCATCTTCCCCGTCTGCTAATCCATTTCAACTTTCGACCACTCCCATTGGAACGTCTCCACAACCTATTTATTCTGTTCCCCACAACAGTCCAGCAAATGGCGCATCAGATGTAGTACATGTTTCACCCGCTAGGAGATCTCTTTTCAATTCTATGGTAAGTTTATCAAGAGATTATCCCCCCTCTTTGCTTTATCAGCAAGTTGCTCGTGCAGGGTTCGTACAGATCATGGAAAACCTGGAAAGTCATGGGATTTAAGATTCAAGCCATTGTATGGAACCATCAGAGCATAAAGGTGCTTACAGCTGTATATCCCCCATACACATACACAAACAAGCTGATTTCTGGCAAGAATGCTTTTCCCTTTGGGAGTCTGTGTGGTACTACTTATTTTTGTTTTGAAAAAAAAAAAATGGTGGAAAATTGTTGGACAGTTTTGTTTCCTTAGGATACCTCTCTATTACAGACAGTTCAAAGCAAGGATAAATGCCAAAAATCATATATTCCCGGATAATGCGGACACCTCTGTAAAGCGGACAGTTATTGGTTCTGTCCCTTTGGTGTCTGTATCAAAGAGGTTTGACGGTATTGTGATTTTTTTGCCATAATGCAAATTGAAAAGGCTCAATGATTTGAGGCTTTTTATTGTGTTTTGTTCAACTTTACATTGTACATGTGTTGTCTGGCTGTATACAGTAATGTTATTTACATGTAAGGGTACATGTAATCTTGATATCTCTCAACTCTACATATAACTCCAGCATCTTCTTTCATTGACCACAATCTTTCAAAGCTGTACAATTCATTCATTTTACTTGTTTCTATAGGTAAATGGGGACCATATAGAACCTCTTATAACACCCAGTCTACAAGTTGGTTCAGCATTAAGTAGCAAAGAGGAAGAACGTTTAGTCAATCAGCTAAGTGAAACATCGCTTTTACAAGACTCAGACCTGAATAATTCGTTATAACAGTAGTCCATGTTTCTAGCTTGCAATAAGCACATCATAGTGACAGAAATTTATAAGTTAAAAAGTTGAATGGCACAGGGACACATATATGGGAGCATTTAACCACAGGATGATTATGTCAATGGTGGATCCCAGCTGGAGTTTGTAAGCCATTGTACTTTTAATGATAAAATTTGCATTAATTTTATGAAATGCATGGGCTGAAAAATGTAAATGGGAATTGTTTGGGATATTGACGTGTTGAGGTTGTGGTTCAATTTTAAACTTGGTTGAAATTTTAATTCCCTTTGTTTCAAACTCATTATGATACATTACCATGCCCTAGAACATAAGGGAATAAAATTTAAACCAAGCATAAAATTGAGCCACAACATTGATTCCCTTTTGATACAGTCTGCCTTTTCGTAATGTTTAACGGTTGTTTATTTGTTTTGTTTTAAATTGTTTGCTTTATAAGGCATCCTATTTATGTCATTCACTATTTAGTTTTACAGGAAATTTTATTTTTTGTGACAAATATTTTCTGCCCTTGAGGGTCGGGTAATAATAAGTTGAAAAGCGGAAAAAGCTATTTTGTTGCCAGTCTGTCTGTCCAGCTAATGGAAACAAGCCACGCATACTACTCGTTTAGTGGGCTGCAGTGGTCTAAAATTTCCTATGCTGAGCTCTTAAACTGGGCTTAAACTGTGAAAAACAGTTGTCTCTGCTTTCAGTGAATGGAAAATTCACGGTAAAGAAAGCATGGACACCTTCCCCCAACCCCCACCCCTCCAGAACTCCGCCCCACTGCAGGGGAAATAAGACACGCAACGCCTTCTGGGATATCCGGCCGCGAGTTTATCTTTTTCGACATTTTTTTACTGGGCCACAGGCAACCCAATGGGAAGCAACAGCTAGAAATTCATCTGCATGCACAGACATATGTTAAAAATAATAGTTTGTTAATACTGTACAATACAGTCAATTGGACGTGTCAGAAACTTTAAAAGTGGCATTTCTACCTGAGCTGTTTTTCAGTAAGTTAAAGTGTTGTCAATGCAAGTGAAAATCTTGCAAATGCAAAATCTAATTAGTTACATTATGTCATGAGACCCACTGTCAACACATTTTAATCCTCTCGCAATTTGTTTGTCACGTGTTGTAACGAACTGTAAGTTATTTGCCTTGAAAGACAATGTTTCAACTTAAGGCAATAAAGAAATTAATTTTATTTCAAATATCCGTGAGTTCGAAAGATCGCAACTTTCTTTGTCAGCTATTTTACCCAAGTGGTTTGCACTTCCTCCGTTCCTCGTTTTTCCTCTTGAAAGGGGCGGGGGGTGTACTCCTGGGAATTCTTGGTGGGGGTGTGCCGCCCGGTTCTCCAAATCCCCCTTTTTTTCTTCGTGAATTTTTCTCCCGCGCTCTACTGTCTGAACGCCTGGAACAGGCTACCCTACAGGAGACAACGGGGATCCCCGCATGTCTTCCCCCCCCCCCACCCCGGCCGTACGCCTTAGTCAATCTTCTCTATAAATCCACTTAAGACGATCCGTTCAATTTCTTTGTTCTTGTATGCCCACTGTCTTGTTATCGCCACATTTTTCAGCGTTTTAAATCATTAATGTTGTTGGTGATTGGGTATGGATTTTAACGTGCGATAATCTTCCTATTCTGGGCCGGGGGGAGAGGTGCAGGCTGAGTTTTTCCTATTATCAGTATACCATGTGGGGGTGGGGTTCGGAGTAGAGCCTTTGTACTTTCTCTAAGATGCAAAACATACGCGTCCAGTTCGCACTTTTAGTACGAACAGGGTTATGCGAAAATATTCATTGAATACTAAAAGAGAACACTAAGCTTTCACCACAAAATAGTGTCTACTTAGTTACTGGAATATACAGAAGAATGAGAAAACCGTAAAATTAACAAATAGAGTCACCCGAACTGGTAATTTATAAAAGTAAGTAAGATGGCTTTGAATTAAGTAATTGCTAAACTTTGAGTTTAAATCCTATAAAGTTTGTAATGCTCTTGTCCTAAGCTCTTTTTCTTTTGGCTCGAGAAAAATTCCCCTTTCTCCAAAGTGGAACTTCCTACTCTTTCATACCTGAGATATTTTGACTATTTTTAGAATGCGAGATCCTCAATTAAATCGTTGCTATCTCTTTTGCCTTTAGCACTCTCGGCTATTCGTGTATTCCGGATTCATTAAATTCTGTTAGGTATTACCGAATATCACTTCGAATTCGCTAAATTTGGGCAGATATGCTCTTGTTTCTTTGAAATATTCCAGTCTTTAAAACAGAGCCTTCGCTTAGCAGAAACTACTCTTTGCTCTTTCGTAAAGAACTCTAAAATTTGTCAGAAGGTTCTTTTTGTTAATTTTTGATCGCACCCCATACCTCCTGTTAAAACTATATCAGTTACCGCCGGGAAAGATTCAGTCGGAATCCCTTTTGTTTTTTGCAGTATACAGCCAATTTAAATAATCCACTTCGCTCAAATTGCGTTTTGTTGTACTTGTGTTTTTGGAACAACCCAGAATCGGATGATGCTTTAAAAAATGCGTCTTTTTGCGAGTGATCTCGATCTAAAATTGTGTATTTTTGTCTACAAATACGGTAATGACTAATTTTCTCCGATTCACTGCTCTTAGTACTAAACAATGCCCAGAAAAGGCAAAATCACAACTCACTTTAGAAATAATAGAACACATTATCCATCAATGTAAAGAAAACATCCTAAAAGATCGAACTTTTGTGACATAATTAGCATAACTGGTATTTGAGTCATTTGTGATCTTACGCTTCAGACGTAATGTCTCCATACGAAGAAGTTTTGAGCACAATAGTGTAGTTTTCACCGATTTGTAAATGTCTTCAAAATTTTAGTGCATTGTTGGATGTCATAGTTGAATTGTTTGATTTTGCCTTAATTTGGCTTCCGAAAAGTTCCAGAGGACGATTTTTATACAAAGAAACAAGATTCCTAAGATTGTTATTGTAAATACTTTTCTTGTTTATAATTTATCCTGAGGTAATAAATGTGCCACAAAATTGCGCAGGATTTGTAAAATTGTACTTTTTTGTTATTTTTGAGAAATGTAACCCTATCGCTGTTGCAGATGCGTTATCTAGAAGTTCAACTCCTCAAGAGGTCTTTCCAAAACAGAGCCTTGGGCACTCGGCTGTAACGGAATCACGCGCTCCCATTGGCTAGTTCACATGAGTGGGGTAATCTAACAAAGAGCATGTTTTAGTATGCATTACATCAGTTCCGTTCTGCCTGAATTTTTCTGGGCGTGTTTATTTAGTCTCTCTGCAACAGGCTCGACGTTCCAGACATTTTATCTAGGCCAGAAGTACAGTGTAGTGAGCATCTTGTAGAGAATGGAGTCCGAGACCGCAGACGCAGTGGTAGCGATGGAGACAAACAAAGAAACTGGGGACTTGAATCATGTTGAAAATGGCAGCCCTGTTGATGAAGCAGAAATGGTACGAAACGCAAGTTACTGGGAAGAGATTGATCAAGAAGAAATCGAACGCGTTCGAAGGTATGACATTTGCAGACGTATTAAAATTATTTTATGACTACAAAACTAGATGTTTCATTATGTATGACTTTAGAGAAGTATTTTATACAATGTGTACTTCTAGGTATCCTTAAAAATTCGATCGTTCCAAAGGCTAAACTTTTCCCTGTACCATATTGCTGCGATCTTTCGATGTTTCGCAAAATGAATGATTTGTACATACATCTTTGGTTTAATATCAGAACTGTTTTCTCAAAGTTGTCAAAACACTGTCGCCTTTGTAAGCTAAATATAAAAGCTGCAACTTTTGTGATTTAAATTTAGATCCTGAACTTCAACGAACATGACGACTTGGGTCACATTTTTCACTCAAGCTGACTAATGTCCGATCGATTAAGTTTTCTGTTATGTTGAAAGCAGCACGTTATTTTTTTCGAGCCTTAATGCGTCGCTACGCCAATCAACGATATGAGTACAGTTGTTAATGTTTACAGCTGTACAACTGGGATACAAAAATATGTCTTTTGTACAAACAGACGTCGAGGAAGCCTCTTAGTGTACATCCAAACTGACTTTTTACTTTTCTACAGGGGTTAATGCAACTTGCTAATCTGCTTTCATTGGATGTGTTAGATCTCCTAGCCCATGTCATAGAATATCATGGTATTTGGCATACAAACGTACATGACCTTTATAGGATATATTTGACTGCCTCACAGTTTGACAGATAATCCGGCTAAATTCAGTTCAGTAAAACGTAATATTATTCATTGTCACGCAATCTGATTAGAAAGTTACCAGCAATCCCGTCTCGTGCGCATGGGTTAGTCGCGTGATAATCGACTTTGATGTAGTAATGTTGATTTTGAAGACTGTCATATCAACCTGCAGAATGACACGCGTTATGGCGAATAAAAACAAAACGTCTTTAAAGTATTATATGCAAATATGGTAATCTGCTTTGAAAGCTATCAACGTAGCGGATAGAGAGAAGTCACAGTGGTATCGATATCTTCTTTTTCGTTTGTACGTGACGTGAAAGGAAGCTGTTGAAATATTGGGAATTCTTCTTTTTTTTTCGTGTAAGGACTGGTCAGTGGCCGACATTTTTGACATTGTAGAACTGGATCAATTTTCTCTTTGACCTAGTGAACTGAATTCTTTCATTAGAACTCGGTTTAATGAGAGCAACAAGTATTCTGTAAAATCTTCAATAAGCATTATATAAAACGTTACAAACAACAAAAATTGCCCTTTGAAAAAAACCCTTAGGCTAACACAATTTCAGTCCGTTACAGTTTTCGGGTACCGCTCCCCTAAATCAACATTTTGTCCTTAACGAGAAGTAAGTGTTAATGTTGTCTTAAGGGAGGGGCTGGTGGGCAGTTTCTAATAACCTAAATTGATCCCAGTCTTCTTCAAGTCTGCCCCCCGCACGTCCTTTTGTATTTACCTTCTTTTAACGTTTTGAGCGAAAAATTTTAATGTTTTAGCCAATTTGGTGGCAGTTCCCTCTATTTGATTTTTGATAAATTTCTTGACACATCTCTTTCGAAAAAAGGTGTTTTTCTATCTGTTTGCGTCATTATAGAGTCGTCATTATGCTTGAAACATTCCCTAATAATTGCGTTCGAGGTACAAGAACGCAACCCCTGATCTCTGTTGTGTAGCATACGCGTGGTGAATCGGGTGAAACGTTGACCTTTAAATTCCGGGTGCGTTGTATTTGGAGAACAGTGCTAAGTAGGTGAGTCGAGTTAACCTAGTGTCACACAACAAGGGTTTAAAGTGATACGCGACGCTTTGACATCTCAATCAATAAACTTTTCTGATGACTTTAATTTTCTGTACCCCAATTTTTAGCCAATTTTATTGACCATTCAACGGTGCAAAAGAATGCCCTGAGGATCTTAGTCAGTGTTTGACCCATTGTTACGTACGTGTACTTAATCGTCAGGTCTGTCGTCAAATGGCGCGAGTTTCGCGGGAATAAAAAAATTGCGCGACAACTCTGATCTGCCATGCAAGACTCACGCAATGCTGTAAACCGGTCAAGAGCAGGAAAGACCGCCGTTTTTTTTAATCTATTCGCCCAGATTTCTGGACGGATTTGAACGGTTGTCAGCAGAGCCTACTTTTCGAAAATGTAGCCTCTGCTCGCAGGGTAAAGCTCCGATTGCTCCTAGTTAATAAAAATAAAAGAAAAAATTTAAGAGTTCTATTCAACCTCTACAGTGTACCAAGAGATAATAATTGGGCAGAAAGTGAAACAAAAAGTTATTTTTAGATCAATTAAACGCTTGAAATTAATCGGAAGTCGGTTTCCACAGAGGTCAGCGAACTTTTATTCAATGTTGTCACAAATAGAAATCAACAAGCGCTATTACAATATTCTGCATTGTCGCTTTGGTGAGGCAGTCGCGCGTGTACTTGATGGCGTGTCAAACAATCCATTAAAATATGAGGACGTCTCAGGAATTACACTTCCGTTTAATTACAACCTCTAAAAATTACTTCTCTGAAATTCACATATCTCGGCCCACGCCCTAAGATTTCCTGTTTGTCCCATTAGTCTCTCTTAAGTGTACGGACTGCGCACTTGGTCTAAAAGCGGATACCGTCAAAAGTCGTTTTAATCCCTACCTCAGCATAACACGAACACTAAGTCAAAAAATTAAATGTCCTTTGCGTAAAGGAGAGTGACGTAAGAGGACGTCAACCCCACTGATCAAGTCCTATTCGTGGCTATAATGCCTTGAGAACGTCCACGTGAAAATACGGATATCGTTAATCTCACAAAATGATGCCTCAATATTCCTTTTCTGCAACAGAAAGCTTTCAAAGACGGCCTGCCAGAGTTGTTCCCTACCCCTTTTGATGTCATTTTCTTGAAATGGGCTACGTGTTTGATCCTGTCCCGACGGTGTCCGTTTCAGAGGGATTCGACTGTACACCTTGCGTCATCGTCGCACTGTCAAAAAGACTTTAAAAGTCACACAGAAGCACCAAATAACAGCTTCAGTTGTTTTCGAAAAAGTCTGGCAGCAACCCCAAGAGGGATGCCCTCTTGGCCTCTCGCGCACTGCCAGTTGAGGTTTTAATGATTAAAATCTCCCAGCAACTCATCGGCCAGTTTTTTTGTTTGTTTGTTCGTATTTCGTTTCCTTATTTCATGGTAAAAAGACTTCAGAGTGATTTCCAAACAATGGTAGGAAAATCCTATGCGCGAGGGATAATTAAGGGGGCCGAGTTTTATCGATTTCATTTTGATAATCACAGCCTCGTGAAAAGAAATTTGAATTTAAAGAAATACCCGTCGCAGAGAAAATCGCCGTTTTAGGGAGGTGTCCGTTGACATTGAGTTGGCTAATAGTCAGAAACAAAAGGAAAATTTGAATAGACCTTATTCACGATGCCCGCAATCTTTGCTCGATCTTAAGTATTGATAAGATAAAAGCAATGTCACGTGTTTTTTCAGGGGGCAAACAAGTGATAAAATTTGCCAATACAAAAAAATGGCTGTCGAATTTGAATATTCTAGGCAACGGAAAATGAAGAACTTTTTCTCTTAAATGAGATCATGGCAAATTATGGGTGGAAATGATCATTGCTGCTTTTTTTGCTTATAGATGTCCTCACAGCAAGTAGCCTTCCACGCATGCTTTTTTAGGGGAGCTCGTTTTTTATCCCGCCCCACAAAGGAGAAGGCGTTGTGGGGAGGGATTAAAAACGAGGTCCCCTAAAAACGTCTGCGTGGGAGGCTACACAGCAAGCAATAATGACGTAACACTTGTCGGTATAATCGAACTGTTCATTTTATATGACTAAAACCTTGGCTCGTTTTGAGAGAATAAACGAACTCGACCGCGATTACTCGTGTTGGTAAATTTTATCACTTGTTTGCCGCCTGAAATACCGCATGACATTACATTTATCCTATCAATCTCAAATCGTGTGCAAAGGTGGCGGGTATTGTGAATAAGGTCTGTTGTATAACACGCTTGTCGGTTTAAGTAAAAATTGTTCCCACAATGATAATCTGCGTATTGAAATATTGTTGAACAGTTGGCAGTTTCTGCTCACCATTTATTTTCAGGTCTGAGTCATTTTCTTCATGTTGCCGCTCTTAAGGTTAAATGTAGTTTCCACGGCGACATTTTATACCTCTGGTTTATTTTGAACAAGAGAGAATCAGATTCTCTCTTGTTTTGAATGATTCCTTCATATCATTGTGCACATTAGATCATATTTAAATGCTATTTTGCGCCCCGTAAATAATAAATTATTATCATTAGAAGGCAGAAGTACGGATATTCGATATAATTTGTGCCAAAGCGAGGACGCATGCGCATTGCTAAAGTTTTGGAGGGAGCTTTCACCGACGGTGCCATCTTTCTGCGTAGTTGACTGTCGGTGAACTTGTTTAATACAAAATGTAGCCTATCATCTTGTGAGAATTCGCAAAGGTATGAAGCATTTCGTCGGAAGCAAATCCCGAGCCAGGCAGTTCCTTCGTTTGAACTCAGAAAAAAACACAGAATCAAATTTAATTGTCCATTTTCGAGTTGCCTTAAGCCTCTAAGCGAGGCTAAGTGCGAAGCTATTGAAGATATGAAAAAGAATTTTTTTTTTCTCATGCAAATAACACTCATTTTTACAAGAAAGGTTTTTGCAAACTGTGAGTTTTTGGAACTCGGAAATGGCCTAATCACCGAAGGTCAAGATTCGTCTAAATTTGAAGATACATGCGTTAGTATTTGTTAAATTTTTGAAAACCTCAAAAACACTGAACGCCTACATACAGTGCACAACAATTCATGCTCCATAACATCGATACCACACGACGTTTTATTGATCAGTTAACAACCATGTCATATCACACCTGCTGTGTTTATTTTTGCACTTCCTAAATATTTTATTCACATATTTTTGGAACGTGGAGGTACGATTGAGAGGCCTTTGTCAGAGAGCTCTTCTTAATAAGCCAGATCAAATGTAATTATAAAGTCAACTCGGTATTGGCCCAATCGCGTGTTGTTTTGTTGGCAATAGTTAAAAGCGATACCAAAGTCAAGATACCCAAATAAGGTTATTTTATGGTCATTTGAATTCAACATCTTGTCGTTTTTGGGTGGTTCTGTCTGATGCGCTGCACGTAGGCGGATTGTAACTGAATGGCTCCATTCTGCTGACCATATTCGCGTCGCCAGGTACGTGGGTTTTGCTAGCGCTTATTCGTTGTGTGTTGAATTATTAAGGTTACAGTTTACTCCTTTGGATCGTAGATAAGTCCACATATTTTATTGTTTGACCGTTTCCTAAAAATCGATAGTCGGGTTCGACGGTGCGACTTTAATATGGAGCGAAAACAAAAGAGTTTCGTGGCTAGCTGAAACACTATTGAAGTGATACCATGTATTACTCTATCGATGAAAGGAATTAAAACGCGAACGTTGAATTTCATAAGCTCTATATCGGCCTACACAAACGCACATGGTAGAAGAATTGTTCTTTTATAACTACTGAGTACAAGGTACTTCAGAAATGTTAATATCTTACTCTTAAAACTGACTGCCATCTGCCAAATGCAAATTTCAATATGGCATTCAACAGATAATGCTCAGAGGTCCTATGACATTTTGAAATATTTTCTCTTCGTTTGAGAAATTGACTTCGCTGCGAAGAATCCTTATCGCATAAATTTTCACAGGTTTTTGTAAATTTTGAGAGAAAAACCCACTCTGACAGTTAAACGCCTTTAGCATAAGTGTTATTTCACAGCTTGAAGAAAAATACTTGTAAATTGTCGCGAAGGAGAATTTCCATATCCAGTTTGGTGATTGTAACCGTAATGGATCGCTTTATAACCCAGCAATAAATATCCTCGTCTACTGTAGCTTCTATAGGGAACAGCTTGGCGTAGTGACGTCACGTGAGTGCTTGCCTGTGATATGAAACCGGGCTCTCATACGAAACGCGTGTTGTGTTTGTTACCACTAAGTATTCCCTTCGCTTGAGTATTTTGGGGTTTCATAGTTTTTGTTTCCATTTCGTTTTGTTTGGTTTGCTTAAATATCTCATGTAGTACTAAATAAATTGATCGACCAAATCAGATGTGCGCCGACGCGTAGAATATCTGAACCAATCCCCCAGAAAGCTAAGGCAATTTTCACGCTATACCGGATAGCTTTACAGCTGGCACGAAAACCAGACCAGATAGGGCTTCGGTTCGCACTTAAGGACGGTGGATTCGGCGTGATTTCGGTAACGGAGCCGCCGCGTCGATCTCCAAAGTGGAGAATCACATATCAGATAGGTGTTCATACTATACCAGATAGGTTTCAGTGTTTGCATGAAAATCTCTCCAGCATAGTGTGAATATATAGCGTAGGCTACTACATGTAATAACTGGCGCAAAGCCAACCTTGTCCCCTGTGCTTTTTCCTGAGAGCTTATTATGACTGAATAAATTACCGTATTTATTCGATTAACCGCCCTGGGCGCTTATTAAATAAATTAATGCAAAATTTTCAACATTTTCAGTTTCAACAAAACAATAAATGGTCAAAACGCGAAGATGTAACAAAGCGAGGTTTCTGAAATATTGTTCGGGGAAGTCTCTTACTTATTCAATTTTTGGGAGGTCAGGGGAAAAGTCAAAAAATTCGAACACTTATTCGAAAAATACGGTAATGCTATTCTGAATAACTTGAACGTTGTGCACCGTCAGGTCCAAAAAATCGAACACTGAAAAAACTATGACAAAGGGTTTCCCAACCATTCCACTTTAATTAACTGTTCTATCTCAATGTATTATTATTATTATTATTTGTTTTTTTTATTTGTGCTAATTATGTTACGTTTGCTGTAGCATCAGTAATAATTTATTATTATTTGAGTGATTTATTCGATGGCATTAACTAACCTTCCTCTGCTGTTTTTTTCCCTTTAGTGAGCGTGAAAAAGAAGCAGGAAAGATTACGACAGAGGAGCTACCAAGAACCGGAAGTGCAAGACGAGCGAAGGAAGTGTTTGAATCTCAGCCCCAGGAAACAGAAAAGGAGACCCCCGTCGACTTAGAGATTTTATCTGGCGTCACTAGAGCAAGTTTGAAAAGGTACCAAGAAATGCAGGCTTCCACCTCGCCCTCGGCTCAAAGAGAGATTGATGATCTTCATGATATTCAAGGTGGGATTGCTTCTTCGCACAGAGATGCATTTGAAAAAGGAGAAGTTAGTAACGTCGAAAGACGAAAAGGAGACGACGAAGAAGAAAATTTACCGACCGCAGGAATCGCCTCGAAGACTCGTGCAAACATTGAATCTGGAACGGTTATCCGCGCCGAAGACAGACACATCCGCGAAACGAACATTGCCGAAGAAATGCCTACAGCTGGCTCGGCTTCCGCCGTTCGCCGAAGATTTGAACAAAGGCAAAACGATGAGGGCAAGGCAGAGAGGCGGCTGAGTTACGAGCCCGAGAAAGGCGCAGCTAAAGCGCGAGCAGCAATGTTCATGCAGAACGTGGAGCAGTCATCACGCAAGTTTCAATCGCAAGATGAAGAAGATGCTCGTCCGCCACCCGGAGCTGCTCGTGGCGTCCGAGAAATGTTTGAGCAAGACAAAGTTATCCACGCCGAGTCGAACAGACAAGATTCTTGGAAGGACGAACTTCCACAATCGGGCGTTGCGGAAGCGAGTAAAGAAGCTTTAAAAGCTGCTGCCTCGAAGGGCTACGAAAAATCCCATGTTGAGGACGAGGCGCTGACCCCTGGAAAGGCGTCGGAGACTAGGACTCGATACGAAAAGGGGGAGTTTGAAGATCAGAAGGTAATCGAAAAAGAAGAGCCTGTTGTAGCAGCCGGGTCCACCAAGGAACAACTGAAGCACTACCAAGAAGCAGTACAAAACCAGGGACCACGAAGAAGGACCATGGATAGTGAACAAGAAGATTTGCAGAAGGCACGTGGAATCGCTGTAGCTGTGAAAGAAAGCTACGAGAAGGAAGGCGCGCCCCATATCGAAACCAAGAAGACAATTTCAGATGAAGACTTCACAGGCATTCAGGGACGCGCCAAGGAAACAACTCGAGAGATCGAGTCAGGCAGCCTCATAAAGCAGTCGCCAAAACTGGTGGACACTGAAGACTTTGGAGTTACCCACGGTTTGACCAAGCAGACTACACAACAGATTGAAAAGGGAGAATTAATCAAGGAGGCGCCTAAAATGGTCGACGAAGAAGACTTCTCAAGCGTTTCTGGTCTTGCCAAGCAAACAACACAGCAAATCGAAAAAGGAGAGCTGATTAAAGAACCACAAAAAATGGTGGAAGACGAAGATTTCTCTGGAGTTTCGGGCGTTGTCAAGGGAACGAGGGAACGCATCGACAGCGGTGAAATGGTTGCGAAAGCACCGGAGGACAATTCTGACAAAGGTGACGTGATGGGAATTAACGCTGAGTCCGATACACAAGCTGTTTTTGATCAAAATGGAGTCGATAACCACTGAGTGGCTGGCCTGCCTGTGTGTACGATAACAGGTAATGGTTTTGAGCCACAGAGGACGTAAGAACGAACTGTATGGGATAAAACGTAATTAATTTTTTTCTGAATGTTCTTGAAAACAATTTGATTTTCAACAACCATAGTCATTGTCATCGTCATCTCTCTTTGCGCTACTAGGCGAATAAGACCGTGATTATACAGTAAAACCCCGGTAACTCGCCCATAGCCCCCTTTAATTCTGCCGAAATGCATTTGGGAGCGGTGGAAGCGACACAGGTTACTGATCACCTTAACCAACAATACACGTGGTTTTGAACGCCGAGACTGTAATAGAAGACTTCGCATATGCGTCTCTTCTGTTTTTTCCTTATGGACTTTGCAGCAGCTATACTGATATTTCTTAGCTGTTCGCTTGTTTCGTGGAGTCGCAGATTATTAATTTGTTGTGATGACCTAGACGGCTTGCTTTTACAAAAGTCTGCATAAAAATTTGTTCAATTAGTTTATTAGGTTTTGGGACTTCCAGGTGGAAAACGTTCAGAATATGGGGAGATTTCCTTGTAATTTTTGTTTTATAAAAGGTATAGAAATTATCAAAGTGAACTGATCTTACGTAAATTTTCAAATTCGAGGGATATTCACTTGGTTGGTCTTTTATGTCCTATTGGTGTAAATAACTAGAAATAAAACAAATATATCAGTGAGTTTAAACGGCAGAAACTTATTTCAGCTTTCATTACTTAAATTATCCGAAATAGCGCGAGATTGTATAGATTAAATTAGGACATGCGAGATTTGGTCCATTGTTTTTCAATAAAAATCGAGTCTATGAGAAAATCGCAAATCAAGTTTTATCTTGTATAACTATTTGGGTACAGTATAGTATGGAGCCATCGCAGTGGTTTTACTATGCCCCTCCTCAGCCTTTGAATCTGGTGAAAGCGATTCTTCCGTTTATCGATTGGTCTCCCTTTCTCGATCGTACACTAAGTTTACTGGGAGCGAGGTCCTAAGCTGTTTGAGAAAAGGGTGGGAAGTGGGAGAAGTTGGGTTGGGGGAATTGCGCAAGGATGCTTAGTATCTTGCAGTCGAAAAAGGGCTAAAGGGAGGAAGCCTAGAAAATAGGGCGGGAGCCGGGAATACCCCTGCCCTCCAGGAGGACCCCCTCAGACTATGGCCCCCCCCCCCCCCGCGCTCAGACTATGGGGCTTCCCTTGTCCTCTCATTCATAAGTAAATTGAACATGATTCTGGTGAGATCTCAGACTTCCTCTTTTCTTCTCTCGCAGAATGGTATGTGACTGTTTTTCACTATCGTTTTCAGTTAATGGTTCAATTACAAAGAAAAGATGAAAATTAAACATATACAAATTATTTAAAGTTACAATTGAAATTGTTCTCCCAGGACTGTGCATAGGAGTTCACTGTCCTATAAAAAAGCGTTCGTAAAGTTCTAAATAAAGAATATTTAGCTCATTTTTTTCTAATTCCGTCGCAGTAATTCACTCGCGTCACATAGGTTCTCTCTTTCGTATTAACCGGTGTCCGTTAAGCGGATAAATTTCGTCGATACCAGCGGCGGCGGAAAGTGGGGTTCCACAGATTTTTTCTGGACCGTCGAGAATGGAAGCTATTTTAGCAGTTCGTTCGTTAGTCGCTTGTTATTGTTTAGAATTTGGACAGTGCTGTTATTGAATCATTTCAAGGAATGTCCTACAACAGGCGTTTCGTACCCGTTAAGCGGATAAATTTCGTCGATACCAGCGGCGGCGGAAAGTGGGGTTCCACAGAGTTTTTCAACCGTCGAATGCGTCAAAGTTATATGTTGAATCATTCCAAGTGTGTATGTATGTATGTATATGTATGTATGTATGTCTTTCACTGTAGAAGGTATTCTACAGTCACGTTTCAGGGCTGGCCCTTTTGCACGCCAACAAAGCTGCCATTCATCAGTTAATTATTCCATTGCCGTTGTCCAGTGACCAAAAACTAAATACTAAATTCCATCCCCTGGGGGTGGTATTCAAAATTGCTCAATCTCGCAGCGTCAGCCGGGTGTTTCAGCGACCTTTGTGACGACTGACCGAACAATATGGTGTAATCATTTATTAAAAGCTATTTCAAGGTGTCCCATCTATAAGCTGAAAAGGGACGGTGCAGAGTTGATAGAGATTTGATCAAAGACTGAAACGAAAATGAAGGGACTAGACGTTATTCGGTGTTTTGTGATCTGAGGGGCCCTAAAAGTTCAGGTTTTCTGCTGATTTGTATATTAATACAATACTGGCACAAACTTTCTTCGTAAAAAAGAAACTCATTTTTGACGCTTTATACCGCCTTCAATAAGCTATTAAATTTGCCATTGTTACTTCCGGGGGTTACTCCTACATGAAAGTGACCGGGATGCTCCTCGTCTCGCTTAGGGGCATTGTAAATTGCAGATATGTTAACCTCACTTGAGGTGTTTGGGATGGAGAGTCACTATATATTTACAAAAAATGCCCTGACACTGACCACACAGAAATCTCCCTTAGACAACCACATTGGTCTCCCTTAGGGTTTCATTTGAATTTTCCGATGAGCATCCCCGTCAATTTTATGTGGGAGTCTCCCCGGGTTGTCGCCGTGGTCGTTGTACTCAAATTATGTGGATTAGCTAAAGAATCCAAGGTTTAGTGTTCTTTATTTGTGGCCGGGTCGTGACCACCTGGTTGTCTAAAATTTGGCTTCAAGGCTCAATTATAAAATTATCTTCTGAATTTGAAGTTTTGACCGTTATGCGATTTGGTCGCGTGAAACGAACATTTTTTTTGTCATTTGCTCGTCTAGCTTTTTGACAATAACGATTTCACGGGAACTTTTGCCGTTCTTGTTCGTTCAGGACTGTGATAAATTCTTACAGTTCTTAGAAGGATTACAACTGTTTTAGTTGTCTGTCCGTTTAATTCCTCGACTACGTTCTTCATAGTCAGTATTTTGTTATATGACTGTTTCCTTTCGCTCCCTAAACCGCTTTCTGAGTAAATTCCCCGTAAAGCATATCATGCCTTTGCCGGCTGTCTTATTTCTTTTCCAAATAAGTTACCCTTAACTCCAACTCGCTCCATGCGAGGGAATACGGAATATATCCGGGCAGTTGTTCTTGTAAATGTGGAATCCAGTGCTTTGGAATCCTGAATACAGCTCAAGGAATCCGGATCCTCACTAACGATTGAAAACCGCAATCCAAGTTCCCCTGACCACGAATCCAGCAATCCAGTGCCTGCAATCCAGAATCCACGTCATGGAATCCAGAATTCCAGACTATCTTGGATTACTTAGATGGGGCAAATTTCATGATATGCAGATGATTCTTTAGTTCCTCTAAGGTGTTAGCTTCAGTGCCCGCACTTAAGGTATTTGAAGTCACGTTCCGAGGTGGCCTTTCTTTGAATAGCCAATTAAGTTACAACTCATAGATCAATTGTTCTTCTCTAGTTGTTCAGTGACCTTAAAAGAATGGTAAATATAAAAATCCCCGGGGAGCGATTCAAAATTCCTGCTTAATCTCGCCGTTTCGTGTGTTGTTCTGACATCTGTAAAATATAACTATTTTGTTATTACTTTCAGCGAGCTTTGTGACTGACAATCGAATATGTGCAATCAAAAGCCTATAGCAAGACGTTCTTGGTATAGGCCTAAATGGGACGTGTTGAGTTGATGTAGATTTGCTGCCTTTATGAAAATGGGTTGCGAGTATCAGGCCTTCATCAGAGTCCAAAAGGAGGGAAAGGGCCTAAATGTACCAAATCAGTTTTGCTGCTGATTTATGTAATTCATCATCAGCTAATTTTTTCGTAAACATCTTGTTTTCAAACTTTATACCAGCTTCCATACACTATTAAATATTTGCAATTGTCACCCTAACAGTTGAACTCAATTATCTGTATTAACCAAACGAGTCGGAGTTGATTGTTCTTGATTTGTGGTTCGTGACCACGATCTAAAAAAGGGTTATATCAGCACTCAAGAACGTGATTATTATGCGATTTGGTCTCGGTCCACGAGCATGATTGAACATTACTAAAGCTCTAGCTTTTTCGACAACACGAGCGGTAACTGTAGTCTTTTTCGTGACAGAGTTCTGGCTTTTAAAATGTTTCTCACGCCCTAGTTAAAATTAAGGTGACTCGTGATAGTTTTCTCGCTCGGCTATTATATTTTTGTACAAGGTTACTTTTGGCCTGTTTTGACTGAAATTCGCGCACCAGTCTCCATATATACTGATAAATCCTTGTTTAACCACATATTTCCAGAGAAAAGTAATTCTTCATTACGCTCAAAAAAAGGTGTACACCGGTTCGAGCCAACGTAGTAAAAAAGCAAAGATAAATACATAGCAGAAATGATCTTAGGAAACCCAAACTTTCAGGACTTATACGCTTTGAATAATTTATTACATTTGTTATTGTTGAATCATCAATTGCTTTCGCAATGAATATTGCTTCTCAAGCACTTTTCTTCCTTTATTTCACTTTTTCTCGAACGGGTTAAAAACATATGAATACAAAAATATAAAAAGTAAATCTTTTGGTAGTTTTCTCAAAAAAGAAGAATTTGGAAATATATTGCCATGTCCTCAAAATACTTTAAGACTTAACATTAAACTTCTTGACAGTTCAACTTTATAATTGTTATTGTTTGAAACGGAAAGACCGTCGCTCTTTGAGTCCTTGGTTTAAAAACTTCTTTCAGGCGAATCTTTATCACTCTCCTTTAAGGACGTTAACATAAGTTTGTGGCATTCAAAATGTTCGTTCGCCCACGATAAAAGGAGTGGTGTTCGTCCTTGCTTATCCGGCATATTGACATCAGCTCCTCGTTGTACTAACAGCTTGATACACTCCAAATTGCCCTTCGCAGCCGCTTTATGAAGTGCTGTTTCTCCGGACGAGCTTGGCTTGTTAAGATAAGAGGGCTTTTTATCCAACAGTTCTTTAAGTTCAGAAACCGAGTCCTGGCTTGCAGCGGAGAGAATCAATGCGTATATCGAAAATGTGACCCGTTTGCAGATTTGACTTGGGCTCGCTGTAGTGTCTTGTTGCTCGTGTCGAATACAAGATTTCACAGGAACTATTTCAGTTCTTGTTCGTACAGGACTGTGCTGAACTCGTACAGTTGTTCGGTATGTCGCAGTTGTTTTAGTTGACAGTTCCTTTCTCTCACAACCTTTTTCTTCATTTTCATTGTAAGGTAACAGTTTCGTCTCGCTCCGTAAACTGCTTTCAGAGCGAACTCTCCTCAAAGTGTTTTCCTCTGTCTTATTTCTCTTCCAAAGAACCGCTACACCTTCCATAAATTTCATGATTCGCGGTTGTTTTTCGAGTATGAACAACTCGGTTAGCTCATTAAGTTTCTTCATTGTCCGTCTCCCTAGCTCTTTCACCGTTCGGATTAGTTTGACAAACTGATCACGCAGACTAGTAAACTTATCCTCCGGACGTTGTTTTGTTATTTTTACACATGGCCTTTCCTTTTGTTTAGCTGCAGCCCACGTCACTATACCCATAAAATCACCTATTGTCCTGTTAATGTTTTTAAATCTATTCACAACCACGACAAGTGCTTTGTTCCAGATCGTTCAAGCGAGTTCTTACAGTCATGTCCGACTCAAGATAACTTCAACTGTTGCAACATCACTTATTTGCTCAACACTTTTCATGTAGACTTTTTCTCTCTCTAAAACAGGACACATTTACA